ATCTTCAAAGGCAACATCCTCACGAAGCTGATGAAAGGCTTCGAGGAGCTTGAGATGTGCGATACAGACGTCAGGGGTTGGTTTGGGGGAAGGGATTAGGTTGAGATTGGAGAAGGCTGCAGTAATATCAGGCACCTCAGAGTGGTATTCGCCCTGTGTGTAGGCTGGAGGTGGGGGCGAATCGTTGGGTGGAGTGGGAAGGCCATTCTTCCCGGTTGCCGTCGCTTTTGAAGTGGGCATCTTTTGTATCTCTTTTCTTTTTAATGCTCTTCGCGATTAGAGAGAAGATGTAGATATGCGCATACTCTGATGTGTGGTGGCTCTTAGAGGATATAGGTATACATTTATATCTGATGCGTCTTACGGCACGTAGGCTCGATTTGCGGCGGGCAGTGCTTCTGCTTTCTGCCTTGCGACGATAGCTATAAAGTAGTTATTGCCCCCCCCTCCTCGTCAAGTCTTTCTAGAAAGGGTTTAGCGGATGTAGCGGGCTCATCAACGGAGCCGGGATTTAGCGTCAGCTTTGCTATTTTAGGTGTAGCTTCCTACGATGGAAGCTTTTTAGCCGGATTCCAGATGCGCAGTTCCCGCTAAGCCTTCGGAAGGCTCACTGGCACATCATTGGGCAGTACCTTACTCTACCTTCCCTTACCTATCCATTGATTCCCCCACTAAAGCTTCATGATGCTTAATGAGACCTCATAGGTGGCCACATAACCTTGATGGTTACCTACCTTAACCTAACCCTATGAATGACCATGAGTGAGATGGGGCTGTTTCGAGACTCGATGTTGTGACGAGGTAATCTTACAGCAGTCAAGATTGAAAGTCCCTTGAGCATCAGAAGTAGAGCTCAAGGTTGTTCAGTCGTCACTAATGCAGCCAAAACATCGTACAAGCTGGGATGAATGGTACTAGGCTGAGAGTGCTGCTGAATCCGGAAGCGGGGCTTGGAAGAAATTGCTGAGTATGCCGTTATTCCGGAGGAGGTGGTGAGTATATATCAGAGTGCCGAGAACGATGGGCGAAAGCGCGTAGCTGGTAAAGATGAAGGCGGAGATGGAGGTCGAGGATGCGAAGACGCCAGGGCCACTGTTACTGCCGTAGATGGACACGCATGTTTTTTTCTTTTTAACCAGGAAGCTGAAGTCAGAAATGCGAGGGCAGAAGATGAACGGAGAAGACGATGAGCGCGATGACGCGAGAGTATTGGACAGTGGTGAAGAAGAAGAAGAAGTAATAAGCAATCCCTATAAGGGACGTCCCAAATCATCGTCCAAGAAAAGGGAGAAGTACACTAATCATCCCAAAAAAGAAAATCTCGCACACAACAAAAAGTTTCGGCAAGCATTAGATCTCCAACACCTGCTCCAACACCAGCTGCCTTACCAGCAAAGTACATACGGCATCATCTGCAGCCAACCCACAACCAGCATCCCCACCCTCGCCTCCTCGCCCCCCACAAACCTCGCACAAATCTCCCACCGCATCCGCGCAAACTCGACCGGGTAATCACGGCCCGGGGCTCCGTCCACGACATCGGTAGAGTGGGCGGGAGTCAACGGATGATGTATCCAAGGCATGTTCTGACCTTGTCGATTTGGATCTGGATGTGGATCAGGGGAGAGGAGGACACGAGTGGGGGGAGGCGAGGTTATGTGAGTGCGTCAGGATTCCGGAGGCGGTGTTTGAGGGTGTTTGTATTGCTCTGCCGGCGGTTAGTACAGAGGCGTTCGGGAATAAGGCGGATGGGTTGGAAGTTGAGCGAGGAGCAGATGGGGAGGGCGATGGGGATGGGGTTTCAGTTTGGGGGCGGGGGTTTTCCAGTTTGTTGTAGCTAGGCTTCAAGGTAAGGGCTGAGGTAGTTGAGTGAAGTGAATAGCAGTAACGAAGAGTTTGTAATATGTAAGATGCGCGCCCGTCAATGAATGCCAACGTTGCCGTCCTGGAAGCTGGCTCAGGCGGCTTCGTTATCAGGAGGTAAGTGTATTGGTGCTTCATCTGCTGCCTGTGGTTTTCTGCGACCGTAATATGGAATTCTTTTTTGCATAGTGCATCAGCGCATACCTTACCAACAACAGCAGGATTTTTTGGAAGTATGATCACCTACCTGATCCCTCCCCACCTCCAAATTCAAACATCAAGGAATCCTCCCACTCATCCCCTCCCTCCAACCTGCTCCATACCTCCTCAACCCTTCCACCGCCAACATTCCCGTCACCAGCATCACGATCCCCGCAGCAGTGAACAACCACCCATTACCCATGACGTCAATCAGCGGCTGCGCGATGGCAAAACCGACGCAGGCGAAGAGGTTGCGACCCATGGAATTGAGGGCGACGCCGGATGCGGGTTTGTTGGGGAGGAGCTCGGTGACCATGGTGGTGACGAGACCGAAGAGTATCATGCTGGAGGCGCCGAAGAGGAAGCCGGCGATCATCTGACGTGAGTCATTAGCTGGTCGTCAATGTGAGGCGCCGGGGTAGAGGGGGGAAAAAGGAGACTCACGGGAACCCACCAAACGACACCCTGCTGCACCACCCATCCGTACCAAACCAACAACGAGGCAAACACCCCAACGCCCAGCCACGCATTACCTCTTACCCTGTCTTCCGGCCTGTAGATCAAGCCCCCGCCTTCGCTCTCATCTCTGTACCTTCCCGCCTTCCTCGCTTCCCGCGCCATGATCGAATCGCTCCATTTGCCTCCATAAACACTTCCCAACAGGCACCCGACGCCGATGGGTATGTAAATGCACCCTACGACTGTTGGCGATAACGAGTACGGCGGACGCGAGAAGGTGGATTGGTAGGAAATGTTGAGCAGGCCGGTAGTACCAAAGGCTATGCTGGCGATGTAGATTGTAATTGTTATGGCGGGAAAGCGGAGGTATTCTAATGCGTGGAAGGGTCCGATCAAAATGTCGCCGACAACGCCTGGATTGAAGCGTGTTATTGGAGGAGCAGGCTCATTTTCAGTAGATTGTGAGTTGCTGCGAGATCTTTCGAGTCGGACGGTAATGACTGTCTGCCTGGGCGAGGTTTCGGGCAGATTGAAAATGATAAGGACCAAGACGACGCCTCCGTAGATTGCCAAAAACCACTGCGTGGCCCTCCATCCCCACGTTTCTGTCAGTATTCCACCGAGCAGCGGGCCCAGCACCAAGCCCACACCCAGGTTTCCCAAATAATAGATACCCATTGCAGCACCGCGTTCCTTGGGCTCCCACATATCTGCAACAGTACCCGCACCCACTGATTGGAAGGATGAGGCAGCGCTAGCACTCAAAAAACGCATGGCGAGAAGCATGCCGATATTTTTTGAAATTGCGGCTAGTACACTCCACAGCACAAAAAGAAAAAAGGAGACAATGTAAACTGTGCGCCGGCCTAAGTGCTCTGAAAAGGCAGACCACCAGAGGGGGCAGAACGCTATGCCAATTTTGGAGAGGGAAAGGGTCAAGTCTGCTAAGTTGAGACTGGTGTGGAGGTCCGATGCTGTATCTTGCAATGAGGCTAAAGTATGATGTATAAATTAGTCAAGAGATAGCCGTGCAATTTGCTTGTTGATATTTGTTAGCTAAGCACTTACGGTAGAAGATGTTTTCGCCCTGGAGGTAGGTTAGTATTCCATGTTCTCCTTGGAGGCAAAAGGCGTTTAGAATCTTACAGTGGTAATGACTGCAGCTCCTGCTGACACGGTGAAGGTGATGAGCCATTTGATGCTTCTGCTGTACTCTTTCGAATTTTCCAATTCAGAAATGAGCGTTAGTTGACTCAGAAGTCCACGTCTTTTGGCTTTTGGAACGATCGTGGGGGTCATCGATGTCGAGGTCTCTGATGTGGGTGATTTGAGCCCACGATTAGGAGTAGAAGCCTTGCTTTGTGACGTCAAAGGGGTGGAATGCATATTATTCATCTCGCTGATGGATGCATTAGGTAGAATTCATCTTTGAATGTTGTGTCCATATCGTGTCGGATATTTATGGCGGCCACTTGGACACGAAACTCGCCGAGACAGCCGTAGATATCTAACAGATCTATGCGCAGAAGGTTCTCACCGACCCTGGTTCTAATCTTTTTGGGATCTATCCGCAGGCGGAAAGTCTTAATTATATAGAAAATTGGATTCAGGATCGCTAGTAAGGAACCTTTCCATGTCGCTTGCAGTCAGATATCGAATACTGTTCAGTGCGTGTAGATCCGCTCGGGACACGGGCTGAACGGATTGGCCGTGCGGTGTCCATCACTTCTGAATCTCATGACGGATGTCAGGGAAGACTGACAGGTACATCGCGCAAAAAATATCGTAGGGTAGTGGCCAGCTAAAGCACGGGAGAATCTCAATTGCGCGTTGACCGTTGAGATTGAGATTCTCATCTATCTTGCGACGTCGATCGAAAAGTAAAGTCGTTTGAAATATTTCCCTTTCCAGTAAGGACCCAATTTGTGAACTTCGAGAACACTGGCAAAACGGAAGTCAAACCACCTCCCCTGCCAATGTGGGGAGATGGAAATCGTTGAGCTAACCAGTCTTGCGCACCAACCAGACGGAATTACCGAAATGCTGGAGCACTGAAACCCACAAGTTGCATATTGAACAAGCATGCAGGATAATTTGACATGCAGTTTCCCCGCAATATGCCCGTCACAACGCACAGACTTGTTAGTTTTGCACCCAGACGAAATTTGAATCAGTTTCGACATGATACTTAGGTATTCGAGTGCGTTGGCAAAAACATAGCCTTGAGAATGTTACAAGGTATGGAGCGATGAACAGCAGCCTGTGAGATACTGGAGAACTTGAATGGACGGCGTCTAGAGGAGGCACTTGCGCAACGACCGCCAGGTTTGTGGGGAACGCCGCACCGCCATCCGCATGCAGAGACGTTGAGGTTTAATGAATCCCACAGATGTGCAGTTGACAGATGCGCAAGCGGTGCGGATCGGACAACAGATGGGAGATAACAGCATCTGAAAGGGGCGCGATCGACCTTTTCTTTAGCCAAAGACTTGCAGCATACGTATCAATGCCTAACTGGATGCGTAACACATCACCGAAAAAAGCAATCTTCTTGCATGCAAAAGATTCAAACCACTAACCGTCGAGAATTAGGCAAGACTTTCCTGTGTAGGAGAGAGTGTGATGGGGTTGATATGCACGCATGAGTGCAAAGTCGGCGCTATTGCATGTCCAGATCCTGGCGCTACGCTTAGGCACCAGCGAGCGCCGACGGTCAGGTACACAGCGAAAAGGGAGCAGGACCTCATACCAGTGTATGCAATTCTTTGGAGCGCTCTGGACCTGGTCGAGCCACCTCGTTTACAGGTTCTTCTCTGTTTGGAAGCTCTGCTACCCTCTGAGCATCCTACGAAAGAAGCTGACGTCGGACCCAATTTTCCCAAGTGCATGGTGATAGTAAGTAACTCAGTACTTCAACGGCTGATCAGGGGCCCCTCCGTTCGTACTGGGTCCCGATATTGTGGGGCATGACCTCGACATGTGCTTCGTTCCCGGAAATAAGGAAATATATTGACGAAGTTCATGCCATACTAGTAAGGAGCCCAGCAACCGAAAACCTTGCATTGCTTTCGTTACCAAGCGCTCGACATGTCAAATCCCCGGTTCTGAGGTTGAATGGCTCTGTAGTCGAGTTGGTACCGGTCCTTTCGGCAGTTATAGCAAAGGGCAGATGACACTCATCTACCAGCTCCGTTGCTACATAGCCGAGCCCAAACCAAGGCTTCAGGCTCTTTGTGAACGGATACTCTAGCGCGAAGACTACTGCACAAGTCCATAGCATGAAATAGCTCGAACGAATCGGAACCCGGACTAGCACTCTCAGTGTGGAATGTACCGAGCCGCCTGAGATGTAAGTGGGGTATGGGATCATAGATGGCTCTAGTGCTCTCGTAGCGTCGGTAGCTGGGTGAGGACATCAAGCCTTTGGCAAATTCGGAGTCGGGGTCGGAGGATGACGGAAGGAAGAGGGACTTACGATCTATTATATTGTCAAAGATGATCAATGCTGGGTCAATGTGAAGAAGAAGAGAAAAACAACAATAGACCAGTGGTGAACATACGCTAGGACGCATTCTTGTGGTTCGGACTCGCACGGTGTCTGAGCGAGTCATATTGGCTCCTTTGAGTGCTATCACAACAATGAGCTGCCAGCTCCACGTAGACGAAATGTCAGCAGAATGCTGAAACATACGGCAACAGACTTCACGTTTCCGGCCCGAGTTGACTGAGAATTCATGACGCTGGTTCATGAATGCTGATGAGCGAGGCAATGAGTCTGCGAGAGCAATTGCTGACAAACCATTATTGCCAGGGTCCTTCCCCTGTTGTTAGAGGTATTTAGTTCGTATTAGGTTCGATTCCTAATGGCGCTGGTACAATGGTGTTGCGGTGCTTTTTATTTTCTTCCCCCGTACAAGATAGTTATTTTGATTAGGCAGGAAATGATCAAGACGAAGAGAAAGGGAGATGTCCTTCCAAGGGCAAAGATTTTTCCGCTAGGAGGCCTTGAATTCTTCGTCACTTTCATTGGGCTGCCTACTTGCGAGGGGGCTTTCAGTCAGTGGACGTTCCAAAGCGCGCATGGTTGCTGCCAGCCTGCCTTCGGTATTGGCTCCGGGTGTGTATAAGTGAAAAGTCTCCGTTGAGATACGTCTTGCCGCTGTGCAACAGGCCGACGTTCAATGATGTACCAAATATCTTTCGGAAACATCCTCTTTGCAGAGCAAGATGCTGGCTAAGATGAGAATGAAGGAGATCCGAGCTCATGGGGAGATCCTCCGCTACGAGTACTAGTACTCTAGCGCCGGAGACAAGTCGGCCCTAAGACAATTCGATAGAGAAGTCGCGCCTGCTCCACAAGAGAATCTTCATCATCCCACTATCTACACACCTCTGTTTGGATTCACTGCCATGGCTAGTTCATACGACGAAGAGCATAGCCAACTTTTAGTAAGGCTGGCTACAGGTTTCGGTGCGATGCTGCAACAGGTCCAGGAGCTGGCAAACAAGAACACAGAGCTTGAGCGACGACTTGCTCGCGTCCAAGTAGAGGTATCTTCATCCCCTCATTTCCTCGTTCTATCCGCCTTGCTATGATGTTACACAATAGCTCTAGATCTAGAGTCACTAATGTGACGGTGATCGACAATATACCGATAATTTCTGAGCATCCACAATGGTTTCGTTCTACCTGGTTACCTTGTATTTGCGACTGCTGACTGGTTCCAATGCTATAGGCTCAGTACTTGACCCGATTCGACGGACCTCTATCTGTGAATGGCTCTCCAGATCAGCTCCAGGAAAAGCAGGACCGCTATTCGGGGCCAAGACGCCACCACTCAAGCTCAGAATCTGGAGAGGAACAGACCTTTATGGGGATAGAAGACCAAAAAAACGCCGTGGCAATTGCAGACGGCGTGGAAGCTTGGAAGACAGTCACTGATGGGAAAGGACCTTTATGGCGTCGTTACAACGCCCAAAAGTCACATGAACAGCGGACCCGAGATTTCGCGGAGGAACCCCCCAAGCAAGATGCAATGCCTAAAGGCCACCCTGCTGTAGATCAGAAGATCTCAGAGAATGCCGAGTGCCCATTCGCTGCGATGTCTCATTTGGGCGAACACAAGACTATCAAGGTCGAGTCTTCAGTGATTCCACGACCTGACTCGCTACCTACGCCACCACATACCCAAGAGCATTTCGCTCGTGTCCCTCATGAGGACGTCCACCAGAGACACGAATCTCCTCCACCATCGACTTCGGGATCGATTTCCAAGTGTCCTATACGTATGCTCGACGAACGCTCTCCCGAGGAGATTGCCGAATTTTTCGAGAATCACAAGCACGAGATCCCGCGAAGTCATGAAGTATGTGTGAGGCGATATCAGAGCAACTCACAGACCATTCGAGAGCTGGACGCCAAATATGGGAATCTGGCCAACATGATCAAAGGATTGGGTGTGAAGCACCAGCCACTACTGCCCAGTAAAGAGGACGATGAAGAGGACGATGCGGCTCTGGATACGAAGTCAATGCGAAAGGTGGAGAGTTGGGCACATAATGTCGATGTGGTACATGAGGGCGCAGACATACCGAATGACACCAAGACACATCTTTCGGGGTCGAATGACAGGGAAGGGCACTTTGACAGACCGCTAAAAGAGATCAGAGTCGGAGAGTCCCCAAGCCGGCCTTGGGGGATCTCCGTCCCCGCTACAATTCCACATTTGAACCTAGGTGAGAACGCTTCGACTCCTACACCCAAGGGCGCCCAGACGGAAGCCCGCGATGCACATGTTGGGGATACGGCCAGGATCGCTACTGGTCACGGGACACATGAGCCTGGGGATGACAAACCACGCATGCTCTTCACGGGTCCAGTGTTCATTGGTTATGGGCCGGAGCAGGCAGCTGTGTTGATCAGGGAATGCGACGAGTTGAGAACGCAAGGAGCGAAAGTTTGACTTTTGGTGATTGATACCCTATGGCTTTCATGGCCTTTACATTCCGACGATACCAATGCATCCAATAAGCAAGCACATCTTCACGTTTCACACGATCCGACCCTTTTCAATCATCTCGTAATGGCTTGGAATTGCACAAGCGACCTCAATGACTCTCTCCACTGCTAAATCACTCCACATCAGCTGCCTCACACCAGTCCCCCACCAATCCTGACCTTACACAAGAGCTCTCTTTTACCATTTTCTTCCGCAGTCGGTTTGCCAAACACATCTATCTCTCCTCCAACCGCAACCCCAAACCATAAAAGCATGCCTCCGCCCTCCCTACTCCAAGTCTCTCATCCAACCTCTCACATCTCATCTCAATTCACATCCATCCCCACAAACACAAACACAAACACCCGACCCCCCAATTCCATCCAGACCATTCTCCGGCCCCAAATCCAAAACGCCGCCAAATCAGACATCCAAAACCCGACTCAGCTGCGTCCGTGTTCGCCCCACCTCCCCCACAATGCCCACAACACCCTCGGGCCTCCGTATGAGCGCCGCGCTGACGGGGTGCGTGCGTGATGGGCTACAGGCGGGAGAGATGGGGGCGCGGCTGGGTCGCGGGTGCGGGCGAGGGGAAGGCGGATGCTTTGGCTGGCGGGGGTGGGGCTGGTGGATCGGGCTGGGTGGGGATAGGGATGGGGATGGGGATGGGGGGGAATCAGTCGGGTGGGAGAGGCGGAGAGGCGGAGAGGCGATGGATGACGTGCGAGAGGTTGGGGGACGAGTTGACAGGTTTTGGGTCCTTGAGGGCTTCTGTTGGCTTGGGAGTTGCAAAGGGGGGGGGTGTCGATTCCTTCTTGAGACGCCGTAATGGTTCGAGGATGGATGGTCGGTTTTGGAGAGTTGCCTCTCTCTGCGATATCTGTATCTTTTGCCCCTGAGCCTGCAGTATGGGGGGTGAAACCGTTGTTGTTTAGCATAGCATTCCCCTTTCCTTTCCTCTAGACCCTCTCCTTCTCCTCTCCTCTTCGCCCCTTGACCCTCCGTCCCTTCACGTCAACGCCATACAGCCATCTCACCCTCCTCCTCCATCCTCCACCCCCTAAAATAGCCTCCCATACTCCGCCTTCATCGCCGCAATATCCCACCGTGTCCGTCAGGCACAACCGTCATCTTGCCCAGCGACGTGGACGGCGGAGATGCAGAGCGAGGTCTTGGAGCCGATGCTGCCGGCGGGGCAGAGTGGGGAGGGGATGGGAGGTGGCCGGAGATGTAGATGACGGTGGGGGTGGTGAATGTTTGGGACTGGTGGGGGTGGGGGGTGGGGATTTTGTTTGGTCAGGTAGGTAGGTACATAGGTAGGTAATCACTTCGATAGTGGGGGCGGGTGGGGTTGTGGGACGCACGAACGTAGGGTCCAGCGGCTGTGGGAAGTTTTCCTTTTTTTTTCGGGAGATTAGTCAACTTGGCGTCTGTGGTGGGTGGGTGGGTGTTTGGTTGGGGGATGGGGGCGTGCGAGGACAGGCGTCTCTCTTTGGTGCTGATTGCACCGACTTGCCATTTGTTGCCGAGGCAGGCTCTGGGTCAGAGTCGAGGCTCAGGTCGTTGGGGTCCGATTTGCCCCATTCGCTTGCCGAGGGGTGTGCCGGGTCCGGAGGGACGGATCGGGTGGTGATTTGGCGGGATGGAGACTGCATGTCTTGGGTCGTGTGGTGTGACAGTTCGGGGGGGACGGGAGAGAAAGGGGGGGGGGGGGGGGTAAGTGGGTTTTTGGGAGGTCTCGCTTATCTCGTGGGGCTGAGGAGATAGGGATCTTGATAGTGCTGTACAATACTGTGGCTTTTATCTTTGTACGCAATCGAAGGGGATAAGAGGACTGGAATGGATCTGGGGGAAGTGGACTTCACGAGGAGCCGAGATAGCATCATATATTAATATCTATTGAACAAATAGAAATGCTTTTTCTGAGGTGTGGCAGCCATACCTTCGCCCGGGTCGGATCCCACGATGAATACGTAGGTATTCATCATTGCATAAAGCGCAGGTGCCTGGTCGAGCCATTCTTCAGTCGGGGTAGCTTCAAGGGGTAGCTGGGACCGAGAGTCAGGCCATGCGGTCGGTACCTGTGCCTTTTTTGAACCTGGTTCAATGTTCTGCAGCCCTGGAGTCCGATAAGGGCATGTCACTGTTGATCATTCTGATAAAGAGGTAAAGTGCAAGGCCGCGCTGAGCGAGTATCGCAATGCAATGCAATGTAGCACGCAAGTTCCGATATATTGTCAGAAAGGGGTTCCAAAGAGAGAGAATCGGTCTAGATGACTTCGCAATGATCTTGCTCATACTCTCTGTAGAACGATTGTGGAGGTCCGTATTTGGATAGGATAGCTTTTGTGGTTCCCGCGATGACGAATCCTTTTGTTGGTCACTTGTCCGATAATTTATGTGGAGCAGCTTCATGAAAAGGTGCGGCGATAAAAGCCGCCATCGGCAAATCCAGCAGCCAGGTGACGTAGCATGGCATGTCTTCCAACGGAACAGATATTGTGAGATCTCCGCGGGATTCAATCGACTTCAAGTCTTTCCAGACTTGTCCTCCTGGCTTGAGAGCAAAGTGTAGACGGGAGCATTGAGCTTCTCGCGGCCTTTCAGGAAGTCAAGTTCGAGTACGAAAACGTAGCCAAGCAGTACACCACCCAATCTCTCAACCAGTGATCCAGCTGCAGCAGCGGAGCCACCTGTGGTATCTGTCAACCAACGAACGTTTTGCTTAGGAGCGTAACCGTACCAGTAGCAATGATGTCGTCTACAATGAGTACCAGCTGTCCCTGTTTGATCGCATCCGCCTGTATCTGGAAGAAGTCTTGCCCGTACTCTTTCTCATAGCTTGCGGTTTCTGTAGGTCCCGGCAGCTTGCCCTGTTTCCTGACAGGCACAAATCCAGCTCCAAGGCGTAGCGCTAAGCTTGGGCCGAACAGCCAGCCCCTTGCCTCTAAGCCCACAATGATATCCGGTCTTTGCCCTGGAGCGTAATTGGTCTTGATGTGGAGCTCGAGAGCATGGATGAGGTCTTGGTGAAGGGTAGGATCACTGAAGAGAGGTAGGATGTCTTCAAATAAGATGCCGGGAGAAGGAAAGTCCGGGAACTGGCGTAGAGACTTGTGAAGTCTTATCTTAAGACCGGCGAGTTGGGAGGAGGAGGCGGGCTGATGGGAGGACTGTCCTGAGGTTTCCGTGGCATCTGGACGGTTTCTGGGTGGATGTGAGGAGGTAGAATCTGGCATGGTGAAAGAAAGAGAAGAAGAGAAAGAAGAAGGAGAAGAAGAAGGGGCAGGAAGAGCGGTGAAGGAGGGATTGATATAGCTCTGAAAATTAGAGGATATGAGACGACAGCTGGGGGTTGTGTTGCTGAGTGGTTTTTTGCGTGGTCCCGGTATTCTCACCCATCCCAACTTTTTTTTCTTCCCTTGCGGGATGGATAGCTAGTTGTGTGCTCGTCCAGACGGAGTCTAGCGTAGGAACGCCAACCAGATTTCAGGCCTGTCTCGCCTGTGAATCCCGATGCCGAACTTTCCATCAAGGATGGCGTCTGCTACCAGCTCGATGACAGGGAGAGAGGATAGCGAATGGAAGAGTCCGATGGCATAGTATGCATCCAGGATCGCCTTCTGTGGAGTACGCGTCTGCAAGCCACGGCGCCCTTGATAAGACCTTACTGCCACCTTCTCCTTTCTCCGGAAGTCGTAATCGCAAACAAGAACAAAGGGAAGACGAATTGATCATCTTCGACTTCTGGACCCTTGAGGTCCGAGCGGGAGTCACATCAGTACAGGACCAATAGAGCAGCTTCTTTGCACGCTTCGCCCCCATTTCACCGCTCTCACCGCTTCACCCCCACGTTGACCATGGACGCGTGGGGTATATATTTAATACCTTCCATCTCGCTGGCGGCGGGATCTTAGGAGAGTATACCTACTAGGCTCTAGTGCGGCAGGGTGCTCAGAAGACGGGGGATCCTCCGGGGCTCCTCCCGGCCATTGAAAATTTCGCCAAGTATAAAAAATTCCAGTAAGACCACTCTTTAATCTATCCCATCACAGCCCAAAATGAAGATATGAGGGGCTTTTTCTTCGCAGACACCAGAATCTCGGAAGTATTACCTAATGGGTGAATGGCGTACACGACATTCCTTTGTTTTCTTTCCGCCACGGCAGTAACAATCTACACCATCAGGAGGACAACCTCTACCATTCTGACGTTCTAAGGCTTGGGCTCTGCTGAGATTGACTCTTTGGGCTCAATGGTCACTCCCCGAAATTGACAAATACTTCACGAGCTATCGGACGATCATCGGCTGGCTTCACTCAATGCCTCTTATCTGGCTGGCAAACAGGCCGCATTTCCGTTTCCTGCCTCAACAAGATGCGTTAGGACGCCTGGGTAACACTCATGCACGCTGCTGCTTCAGGTTTGAGGACTGCAACCCTGGCTTCGTTGTACGGGCGCCGAGTCTGAAAGACACGAAAAGCGAGGCACAAAGTGAATTGTGCTGGTCACTGACATGAACGCTTGCGGATCTGTCATCAGTTGTTCGATCGGTTAGAATTGCTTTGTCGGTTGTGCGGCATCATTGCCCATCGGCGCATGGCAGTAACATGATCCGGGAGGACCTTGTGTTTTCACCAGTGCGTTATAGCTCACAGAGGCGGACCATTGCATGGATTTCTCTCATGGAGAAGAAAAAAGGTAGGCATCGTTCGTGACCTTTTTTCGATTCGTGGCATATTCACCTCCGTGTGCCACAATGCTGACAAGGCTGAGAAGATCTCCGATGACTGTATGGAGAATGAGAAATCTTTATTGGACACCCGCCGGCCCCTACGCATCTTCTTTTCCGACAACTCCACTCTCTGGATCGTTCAAAGGCTCATAAAGTTCAAATGGATAATACTTCTCTTCGCAAGAGCCTCCAGAAGCCTCATCCTAACGAGGTCAGACCTCCGCTTTCCGTAAAGCAATCAGCCGATCAAAGTGTCTCGGGTCGCCATCAAACTCCTGATCTTCAAAAGCCTTCCGATATCCAAATGTACAGACGACTGACTTTTGGACGCGAAAAGCTAGCCGGTACTCATTCAGCCTTTAGTCAAAGTCCATCAGTCACGCTGCTTAATTTGGCCAGCAATTCCCAAGAATGCCAAAGTATGAAGTTCAGAATTCCTAGTCGTCTACAATTACTAGTCCTTGACTCAACTGCTCGAAGCTGAAACATGCCATGCCTGGGTGGCTGCCACTTACACAACGCTCAGGTCAGCCGTGGTACAAAAAGGCAGCACGTGACCCCGTGAACATGGCGAGGCCAAAGCCGTCCACGTGGCAACGACATCGATGAAAGCATGTTTGTCTATGGAAAATCTGGATCGAAAATCATGGCTGGCATCCACAGCATTTAGCGTATGCAAAAACCCTTTTTTTTTATTTTTATTCATCAACGTCACAAATGCACGTTGAAGCGTAAACATTCCTATAGATACATTATTCTTCTTATCGCCGCCATCACACTACAGCTGAATTGTCAAAAATCTATCAATAAATATATGATTTGAATGCTTGGGAATTTACGCGAGGCGGTTTTCGCCGCTCCAGATTCAGATTCCCTTTTTCTCCTGGACTTGATATAGAAGAGTAGCCCATACCTGGATTCTTTAATATAAAGTTTCTGCCATATAGTCCTAGGGACCTAACCTTGTTATCATTCTTTACAGTCTGACTTATGAGTGTAGAGTGAAGAAATCGAACCTTGCGTTTACAAGGACTTTTGCACACGCTAAATTCAAGATGGCCATGTCGCCACAATTACGGAGTACAACAGTGAATTAACTACCGTAATACTTTAGGCTTTTTGTCGCCGAGTACCCGAAGCCACTAAAGTTGACAACGAGATAAAAGTAAAGTAGTCACGTTATATCTTGTATACACGTGTTTTAGGATTTTGGACAAGAGAACGCGCTCGTTTCTCTCGGAACCGTTCGACTTCACCAGGTTCGATGGTCCGAGAGTCACAACCTCGTGCTTCTTAGTCTTGGAAGGGAAACCCGTTATTGGGGCAAAGACGTTGATAGAACTGCGAGCTCTGGAATTTGACTAACCTCATCCGAGAAATCGAGGCTGTAGGTACCAGAAAGTGTCTTCACATATGGCCATGTCATCGTTCGATCGTTGCCTGCACTGACCTCCGGAACAGCCTAATGACCAGCGCTGATCAATCAAACCCTCAGCGAGTAGCTCTGACTTTGATCAGGTACAACCAACCGAGCCCGCCCATACCTGTTCGAAGCTCTTCAGCTCTGGCTCACATAGTAGAAGGGTTCGCTTCCTAACTCTTCTCGAGATCTACGACCGCAGCTTTGGATTCTATGAGCGCTGCATATTTGCCTCCGCAGTCAACACGTTTGGCTTCCAGAAGCATTCAACATTTCTTGGGCAAAACCATATATCTTGAATGGCAAGGTTAGACGCCACAAATTCATGATTGCCGGTAAGACTGAGACTGTACCTCAACGATAAGCCTTCATGCTACACAATCCTTTTGCTCAAGGTAGCTTTAGACTTTGTGGCCATCGCGCAAAGACCGGCTAGCATCGCTTTCCCCAAATCACCCGCTCCGGCCTCTCGCTTCTCACCTGCGACTTCAACGTTACTTGGCGTACTCAGAGGCCTTGTGATGCATCCGGATGGTTCCGCCCAAGCCTTCTTCCGCCTCGCGAGCCTTGATTGTCTTGGCAAGGAGAAGGCAGTAGCATCAGGGCCGATGGTGCATGTCTATTCATCTCAAAGACTCTAGCCATTTCGTGTTTGTCCACGTCAATGTAGCAGCACTTCTCATCATTTTCCATTATCTTCTCCGACTAGTTCGGGGCATCTAGAAGCAGTCGAGATCAACGGTAATACTGTATGTATGACTTGTATATGCTTTTGACTTTACATCATGCCTTTCTAAGTGTCTTGCATATGCTTAACATTCTCCACACTCCGACGCCTCCAGCCGCCAGCCGTAATGGGTGTTTAACTCTGGTGGCTGATCGGAGTGGGGACAGCGAATTCTTATCTTCTTTCAATAGGGCTTTGCCACCGTGGGTACCTGAAAGCACACGTTCTCCACATTTTTTGGTTCCTGGCAACGTCTCTCTGTTTCAAGTCTCTTTGACTTCTTGCAAAACGTGTCCACGAGACCAGCTAGACTTTGCAAGCAATGGATCGCCTCGTGAGGCCGGTAAACGAGCACGAGTATCAACCGTTTAGCATGGAGCGTGGATTCTATAAGAGAGACTCACGAGCCCACGTTTCTTCTCTATCTTGTTCATCACACAGCCAACAGCCTCTCAGTCTCTCACTCCACGAGCATTCGACCCGTTCTACCATAGAAACTGCAACGTTAGAACGACAACGCCATCCAGCAAACGCCTCTTACCACTCAAATCTTCGCACGTTCGCATCGCCATGCGTTCCCACGTCATTATCCCTTCCCTTCTGGGACTAGCCGCTGCGGCTCCACGTGCTGCCGAGCAGAACGTTGAAGAACGTGGCCAGGGCGCCGTTTGGGCTTCCTGGAGAACGGCTACTACCACCAGTGCCAGTGCCACCGGCTGGACCGGCTCCACCGCGGCTTCTTCCACTTGCAATGGCCCGGTCACCGTAACTGTTACGGTTGATCATACCACCCAATGCAGCGCTTCTTCTTCTACTGCTCCAACCTGGTCGTCTTCGCCGACAAGCAGCGGCCATTCTACGACACCATCAACTTGGTTTCAGACATCTCCTTCAAGCAGCGCTTCTTCTTCTACTGCTCCAACCTGGTCGTCTTCGCCGACAAGCAGCGGCCATTCTACGACACCATCAACTTGGTTTCAGACATCTCCTTCAAGCAGCCAATCCACTCATTCCAGCATTCAATCAACTAGCTCTCCGAGACTTCCCAACGACAGCAGCTTATTCCAGCATTCAATCGACTAGCTCGCCTAAGACTTCTCCAACGAGCAGCCAGCCTACTTATTCCAGCATTCATTCGACAAGTTCTTCCGAGACTTCTCCAACGAACAGCCAGTCCGCTCATTCCAGCATTCAATCGACTAGCTCGCCTAAGACTTCTCCAACGAGCAGCCAGCCTATTTATTCCAGCATTCAATCGACTAGCTCTTCCGAGACTTCTCTAACGAGCAGCCAGCCTACCCATTCCAGCATCCATTCGACTGGCTCTTCCGAGACTACTCCAACGAGCAGCCAGCCTACCCATTCCAGCATCCATTCGACTGGCTCTTCCGAGACTACTCCAACGAGCTCGCCAGCCAATACAAAGACCACAGGATCTAGCTCATCAAGCCCCACATGGGTTACCACAAAGACTTCGGGCTCTAGCTCCTCGGATTTCACACCAGTAACGTCGAAGACCATAGGTTCTAGCTCATCAACTTCCACCCCAGTCACCACAAAGTCTGCGGGATCCAGTTTCAGCTCATCAACTTCCACCCCAGTCACCACAAAATCTACGGGATCCAGTTTCAGCTCATCAACTTCCACCCCAGTCACCACGAAGTCTGCGGGATCCAGTTTCAGCTCATCAACTTCCACCCCAGTCACCACAACATCTACGGGATCCAGTTTCAGCTCATCAACTTCCACCCCAGTCACCATAAAGACAGCTGGGTCCAGCTCTAGCTCTACCCCATCAATTAGTCTTTCCAGCGGCACGAGCAGCACGCATACAGAGACGTCCACATCCAGCAGTAGCAAGATCTCTGGGTCCTCATCTAGTATACCTACTTGGACGTCCACTTCTGCATCCAGTGGCAAGATATCTGGGTCATCCTCAAGTGTACCTACTTGGACGTCCACTTCTGCATCCAGTGGCAAGACATCTGGGTCATCCTCAAGTATACCTACTTGGACGTCCATTTCTGCATCCAGTGGCAAGACATCTGGGTCATCCTCAAGTATACCTACTTGGACGTCCACTTCTGCATCCAGTGGCAAGACATCTGGGTCATCCTCAAGTATACCTACTTGGACGTCCACTTCTGCATCCAGTGGCAAGATATCCGGGTCATCCTCAAGTACCCCAACGTGGACATCTACATCCACCAGCGGTAGCAAAACGTCTGGCACTTTTTCAAGTACACCTACATGGACATCCACATCCAGCAGCAGTACAAGCATGCCTACTGGGACATCCATTTCCAGTAGCAAGGCTTCTGGCACTTCTTCAAGCACCCCCACATGGATATCCACATCCAGCAGCGAGACTTCCGGCGCTTCAAGCACGCCAGCAACCATAAGCAGTCCCTCAGTCTCGCCCTCAATCTCGCTCTCTGGAACCTCAAGCACGCCAGTAACCATAAGCAGTCCCTCAATCTCGCCTTCAATCTCGCTCTCTGGGACCTCAAGCACGCCAGCAACCATAAGCAGTCCCTCAATCTCGCCTTCAATCTCGCTCTCTGGGACCTCAAGCACGCCAGCAACCATAAGCAGTCCCTCAGTCTCGCCCTCAATCTCGCTCTCTGGAACCTCAAGCACGCCAGCAACCATAAGCAGTCCCTCAGTCTCGCCCTCAATCTCGCTCTCTGGAACCTCAAGCACGCCAGCAACCATAAGCAGTCCCTCAATCTCGCCCTCAATCTCGCTCTCTGGGACCTCAAGCACGCCAGCAACCATAAGCAGTCCCTCAATCTCGCCCTCAATCTCGCTCTCTGAAACCTCAAGCACGCCAGTAACCATAAGCAGTCCCTCAGTCTCGCCCTCAATCTCGCTCTCTGGAACCTCGAGCACGCCAGCAACCATAAGCAGTCCCTCAATCTCGCCCTCAATCTCGCTCTCTGGAACGTCAACATCTAGCTCAAGCACACAAGCCTACACTTGCACAGCCTCACCAGCAGCGCAGTCCGGATTTTCAGGCCCAGTCAAATTCAACGGCGCCATCCAAGCACCTTCCGGTTCCACCTACATTGGTGTCAAATTCGAAGCCGGTACTGAGCTCGATGTTGCCTTCTGCGCCCAGCAGTGTCTCGAGAATACTGCCTATGACAAAGCTCACCCCAACTCGGACGGCTCCTACATGCCTTGCAACTTCTTCAATGCTTACTTGGGCTACACTAATGGTCAGATTGATGGTACGCACTGCGCCGAGTATACAACTACATATGGCTCACCCTATGATACCAATGTCGGACAATACCAGAATGGTGCTTACTACGCCGTCGAATGCAGCTTTGGATACAGCTTGACCCCACAGGATTGCGGATCAATTGACTGCGGCTCTAGCTCCAGCTCTGCCCCAGCTACCTCCGCAACCTCGTCCACGACAGTCTCTAGCCCCATCTTCAGCTCCACGGCTCCCAGCTCCACAGCTCCCAGCTCCACGGCTCCCAGCTCCACGGCTCCCAGCTCCACGGCCCAGCCCACGCTCAGCTCACGGCCCAGCCACGCCCGCATCATCAACTGCCGGCACACCAACTTCCCTCACCTCCAGTACACCAGCGCCCACCACCATGAGCACCAAGACCAAGAACCAGAGCAAAACCCCCGTCGTCCTGACATCCACCACAGACGTCATCACCACCGAGATCGTCTACACCACGGTGACCAGCTGCCCCGTCTCAACCACAACCCACCACAACGGCGGAAGCACATCCGTCGAAACCATCACCAGCACATCCACATTCCTCACCACAGACACAGTCACGACCTGCTCAAAATGCACCGTCACCACACCAATCTTCAGCCCACCCACGCCCGCTTCCACGACCACAGAGCAGGCCTGGACTGCCATCTCGACCACGGCTTCCAGCACATCGCAGCAGGCTTGGAGCACATCGCCAACAGTGTCGCAGCAGACATCGAGCCCGCCGCAGAATTCCGCTACTCAGGCCGCTTCTGTCAAGCCTTCGACTACCATGGTAACTATGACCAAGGGCCAAGGATCCTCCTGGTAGACGCATCAGATCTAGGCCAGACAGTCAGCGATCATACAATCATACAATCATTTCAAGCGTTTAGATTTGGATATTCACTCATTTAGCATTGGAGTTGGACTGGGACATTCATTTAGACATCGTATAGACTACTGCTCTTCAGCGATTCGGGAAACGGTTGGCGTCATTCGCTTTTTGATACAGCTTTAGCAATCCACAGGGTTTCTCACCACTTTCGACTCTCTTCCACACTTCCTTAAATCGATGTGACTCTTTCCTTCTGTTCTTTCTTTCTTTCTCTCTTTCTCGTTCCCGCTCATTCCTGATCTGTTTTTTTTTCTCTTGGTGTATTTACTTTTTCTTTGGGTGATCGACCGGGAGACAAGACATCTCTACATAGCAGAAGCATCGCGTGGCATTTCACCAAGGTAACAAGACAGCTCTGGAGGACTGAAGGAGCTTTCTGCGCCCGAAATTCTGGATATGCGGCCCCGATTCGCTACCAAAGGGGATGCATTTACTCCGAAAATACTGAACTCTCCTCTTTCTCTCCTGCTCCTTCCTCCCCTTCTTCCTCCCCCTTCTCCTTTTTTCCCTCCCCTCCCCTCCCCCTCCCCTTCCTCCCCTCCCCCATCTCCCCATCTCCCCATCCCCCACCCCCCTTCTCCCCTCCCCTCCTTCCCTCCCCCCCCCTTCCTCCTTTCCCCCCCCTTCTCCCCTCCCCTCCCTCTCCCCATCCCCCCCACCCATCCCCCATCCCCCACCCATCCCCCCATCCCCCCCTCCCCCCCCCATCCCCCCCCATCTCCCCCCATCCCCCCCCCCCCCTCCCCCCCACCCCCCCCCCAAAGCACCCAATCAACCAACCCCCCCAACCAAAACGCACCCCCCCCCCCCCCCCTTCCTACCCACAACCCGAACCAAGAACAGAAGAAAAAGCGCCTCCTATCCGCACCCAGGCAAGCGAACCCCTCTTCGCAAAGCGATAGAGGGAGATTTAAGGGCGTGTCTAGACGGCCACCTGAGGTACTTGGGCGAGGTAGGTCGTGGTGGGTTCGCAGATATGGAGTCAGGAGGGTGAGCGGGCTGCGTGGTGTTGGTTGCTGCGGGGGGTTTGGAGGGTTGATTGGGTGGTTGGTTGATTGATTGATTGGGGTATCCTTTGTTGGAGTTGAAGGAAGGGGCTTTGTGCTATCGAGTGTTTCTGCCATGTGGGTTTTGGGCTGTGGAAGAGGAGGGAGGGTCTGTGGGGTGGTTTGTTGGTGGCAGATGATGTAGATGTATATGTGTCTGATGGAATGAATGCATATCTGTGATATCGGAGTATTTTTTTGTATATATAGATAGATGGAGATATATTTTTAAATTGTTCTTCTCCAGACATTGTTTAAATATCATCCCCCCTCCTGCTTTGACTCCACTAGTCTCCAAAGCGCCCTCAGGACCGCCACACCTCCGCTCTGCGTTTCCACAGTCCTGCCTCTTCCTCTGTCGTTGATGTCGCGGGATCTCACTTCATTATCACGCCCGTCATAATCGCGCCAACTCCTTTCCTGATTCCCAAGGTCCTTGTCCATATCGCATTTGTACATTACATCGTCTTCCGGCAGTCGCCATATCTCATCCATCGGCACGCCTTCATTCCTATAATCCGTCCCTTGTGTATTCGGGCCCTCGAACTCATCGTCCTCTTCATCTCCATGCCGTCGCCGCCTTGCAGGCCTACCCCACCATTCTCCATACTCGCCGTCTTGATTTCTCGTCAGGTATGCAGCGAACGCATTATGGCGTATCCAATCACCGTATTCCTCGCAGCTCTTTTGGTGCAGCTGTTTAGTTTCTTCATCGTCTAGCAAAGTCTCTCCGTTTTCACCCCATTCCTGGCGGATTAGTGGACTGCAAAATAGCGTCAAATGATGGAAGTAGATCCCCTTGAACGTTTGCGAATTCTGGCTGCATGACCCACTCCAATCGCACAATTCCTCCATCACGCCACCTCTTCCTAGACCGGCCCAGCGGTATCGTTGCTCCGTGTTACGGTCTTCCCATCCAGTCGCGCGGATCACGTTGCGCACCAGTTCATGCCCGTCTTCCAAATAACATCTTGAGCCCGTAGCTTCCCACAACCCTTTCAGCCCAGATAGGATAACGCCTTGATTGTATGTGTACACGTTTTCAGCCCTCATATCACATTTTCCTGTCCCGTTACTCCCATTCTTTCCGCCTCGCCAGCCGGTGATGTGGAAGCCATCCACGTATAACCCGTCTTTGTTCCTCATCTTGCTCTCTTTCAACCACTTATAAGCTTCCGCCGCGTTGTCCAGGTATCGTACATCGTGTGCCTTCGCAGGCGGTAGGCCCGTATGGGTGAGGAAAGGTGAGGAGTCGCTATCCCCAGGAAAGTATAGGTACATGCTTACCGAAGCAGCGATGTAGAGTTCATTCGTTATGGCGTTCTTGTAAGGCGCGAGGTGGGGATTCCAGAGCATACCACCACCGCAGAGAGTAGTGTCCCAGCCGCGAGAGGCGAGATCATAGAAGAGGCGGGCGCGGTGCGCGAATTGGGGAATGAATTGGCTGGCGTACCATGTTGCATTCTTGTCGTCGGATGAGGTGTAATGCAGCGAGGAGTGTAGCTTGATGAATTTTATAGCTTCCAACCATCCGAGAACTACCCACAACATATCATCGTAGGCCTGTGTGCGCAAAGCGAACGCATTCTCGCCAAAATAAAAAGACGTGATTTGGGTAAAGTAACGGTTGATTAGGTTCTCGTGGTCGCGTGCTTCGTCTATGCAGAGGAGAGAGGTGGGTTTGAGCGTTTGAGCGTAGGATGTCATTGCGAGGAGGGTTGCAGAGACTTGAGTGCCCATTACTGCGGCTGTCCAATCAATGGCTTTGGGCCAGGTTCCATAAGCGACGGCGAAGAAGTGGTTTTCCATTGTCTCGAGGGCGTTGAGAAGGGCGGTGTAGGTTGAAGGGTATGTGTTGGGTTCTTGTGGTGTAACCCTGAGTAACGGCGCGTTGTCGTCAGCAGTGAATGCATGCTGTTGCGGCAGACCCTTTTCGCCCAACAGTGGTTTTGAGTCGACCAGCGAGCGTTGTGCTACAACTTCATCATTTGATACTGACCCGGCCCCCCCTTGGCCTGGGAGCGCAGTGACAAAGCTTGAAGCAGAGAGGTATATAAAGGAGAAGACGAGCCATGGTGCAGCAGCGCTGCCACGATTCAGAGACCGCACAATCATCGTGTGCAAAATGCAAAGACTGAAAGCAGAGAGGAAGCAACTGCCAGCAGCTCAGCAGTAGCTACCAAAGACCCAAATGTAGTGAGGAAGACGCATATTGTACAGTTTGGAGTATGATGCTCTCTTCGCTGCTCAATTGATAGAGCAGTAAGAAAGAAGAAGCGAAAAGTATGATGCAATTGCAATTTGGACCATTCGAGAACAAGGTTGGAGGCCGCAATGCGGGATAGGCGCGCTAGCCCCGATCTTGCCGCCAAGCTCTGGCGGATACCTCCGCCACAGAAAAAGAGACATCGCTGATACCTGTCATGACAGAGACATCGAAAAACAATTTGGGATCCCGAAGATGGCAAAAATGTATTGACAACTGAGGGATTCGAACCCTCGCTCTTTCGAACTAGTAGATACTGTTTACAGTTCCTGAAACTAGCGCCATAACCACTCGGCCAAGTTGCCGTTCTCAAGAACTCAAATATGCCTAAACTACAATATATTCATTGTTTTGGCGGGTATTAAGACATCGAAGCACTTGGCGTTAGCTCAGCAACATCGCTGCCTGGGCAGTCCTCTTCGTTCAACGCTTCTCCCGGATTCGCGGATTATGAGGCTACAATCTGCGAGCTCATGCAAGTAATAGAATAATGAGCGTCATCCCAGTGAGGAGGTCCTCGCGCTGTGTTCGCTCTCTGTTTCCTTACCCATTCACTACATGTGCGTCAGGCAAACACCTCATTGGTCGGCATGACGTTGCAGCAGTCATAGATATTATACTTTGTCGAACAGATTCTGTGTTAGAAAAGCAATAAGCGCTTGGGATACGCTGTCCAGAAGGGTTCTAAATAAGTAGTATATACGGCCATCTACCACGTACTGATCGCAACTGCCTCATTAACCACCCACTCACTCTACAGAAGCGTTCCGAGCAGTTGTGGTGAAAGCAAATTTGTATACCTTGAACGCTTAGGACTTCGGGTGACAGCCTCCCTACTGCCGTAATCAACGAGTAAGTCGCCAGTCTCAGGGTCCACTGGTCCCGATGAAAATAGCGAGGCCTCCATGCATACGCTGTATCATACCCGAACCTAGTTGGTAGAGAAGGACGTTTGCATTCACGATTTTCACCCGGGCGCCATACTCACCACTCTGGTGAAATATGCGAGATGAGTATAATGTCGACCTTTCTTTCTCCAGGTGCTTTAGTGTGAAAATGACTTCGTGCCCACAACGAAACACAATAGATGCAGAATAAAGGAATTTCGCTGCTCTTGTATCTCATCTCCCGACTGTTTCGCCTACTTCAAGATCTTCTCAATCCTCTGCTCCGTTTTCAGCAGCTCCAGTACCCACCCCACCTTCGATTTCATGGAGATCCCCTTCTATATTCCCGGTGGAGCCCCGACAAGGCAGCCCAAAGAAAACATGGAAGCTGTATTTTATGGCGAGAAATCTCAGGTATCGCCGGCGGATGGTACCGTAAGATGTCGAATAATGGAACAGGGGAGAGCTCTTTCTGGTCTGCTTGATCAAGACGCCACGAGGCTGCGAGGCAAGAAGTAGCGAGGGAATGGGGAAAGTGCAAGGCGCAGCCAACATCAGGCGGGGAAAACCACGCGAGGCTCTCGTTTATACTTCAGTCAAATTCAGGAGCGACATATCGCTAACCTTGACTCAATAAGTAGAAGATGGTCTTCATATTCCGCAATATCATCATTCCCACCTAGCGTAGACGCCCTTCCATCTCATGTGCTTTTTCACATCATTCTCCGGATCTTCTACATCGCATTCATTACATTTCAGCATTTGTTCTCCGCCATGGGCCTCGTAGTCGTTGTCAGATGGATTTCTTCCCTGTTGACAGCTCTCTCACCATTTCCTTGGCAAATTTCATCCGTACAAAGATCAGACCCAATCACTCTGGCAGACTTCAATAATATCTTCACCAACGCTCCGGACCCTAATAGGCCAGGTGGCTGTAGTAGAACCCTCGGAACGTCTATTCGGGATGGTATTGGCCTCTCACTTGCAGCCCTCAACGACGCTTTGAACATAATCAAAGGGGCCTCAGATCAACTGGGTTATGACAGTGTGGATGGTACAAAGAAAGGGAAAACGCTTCGACAACTTCTATTCCTATTCTTTGGCTTCAGATTTGATCCATTCGGCGGTGTAGATATGGACAATTGGCATGATTACCAGTATGTGCGAGGTATGTAACTTGTATTCCCGCATTCCCCAATTACGAGGTGCTGATTGAGGTTGATGGTGCCGGGAATATCGATTCCGTCGTGTCGTTTTTGACCCAAAAAAAACCCTCATCCTATCCGACCAACTGGTACTGTGACAATGATTAGTTGATGCACACAATAAACGAGGTCGGTGCAGATGGCAAAGAAAATCCGAATCCTCCTCTGGCCGCTGAGAAACAAAATTGGAAGAGTAAGCGATATATGTTTCTTTTGATTCTCCTCTCATTCTTTGCAAAACTCCACTCATGTCTCTGACTTCATAGTGAGGAACGGCTAATATTTTCCTGGCGTGCTGTGGGACAAGTTAATGGCCACGGGCTACTACCCATCTTCTGAGGAAGATCCATATCATACTCGCTGCAATGTTATAGTCAATGGCAAGCTGTTCACCTATAGATACGTCGCTTCTTACAACGACAATGGTATTGGTCATAGGACAAGATGGAATCTCAGTCTGTGCCCATGTGCGTTCAGCAATTCCCCAGTTAGCTATTATGGGGAACCAGGCAGTGGCACAGAAGCTGCGCCAGAACTGCTTAAGGTGTATATGAGGTCAATAAGTGTTACGACGGCCCACGAGCTGTTCCACCTAACGTCAGATTCAGGTAAATAGAGCTTTTGCCAACCCACCCCACATGCAAATTCGACTGACTGTGAATATCTCAAAACCAGCCATCATAGACCAACCTGAAGTGGTAACGCCAAACAACGACGGGAACGCCATCCAGAAGATGAAGGGATTGCCGCATGATGTGAGCCAAATGAGATGGCCTCAAAGCACAAAGCGCAATACTTACGGTGTTACGATGTCGGGGTGGCTAGGGTTTGCTATGCCCAACCTAGCTCAAAACAATGCAGATAACTATGCGGCCTTCGTGCTGTGTCTCAGATACCCGACCTTGGACTGCGTGGGTACTTTTGCGATCAGCGTTAGCAAGAGGGAAAGCGTCCCGTTCACGGTCCCGCTGAAGGTGTCTCAGAAACTGAGAAACCATGGAATGTCTTCGACGAGGAAGATGATGATGTAGCGCTAGAACTCTCGGTCATGGAGGAATATGATGGCCGAGACATCCGGTTCTCGTCCTGATTTTACTACTGCTGTCGCATAGTGCTTGGAGATAGCGCGTGTATATAGGTCATGTTTTCACATCCAAACTGTACTCAGTCAACTTTCGCTTGAACTGAGACGCTCCAAATCTGATCCTCTATCACGGATCAGCAAGATCTCCCCCAAGCTGGTGTGTGATACATCCATGCTCCAGGTACAGGTCACACCCAAAGTGTGTCAATCTTGCGTCGAGCAAGGAGCGTTCACTTTGTGTTTTGATCTTCCAGCTTACTCCAGCGCAACAGGGAAGCGGTTGTGACCCGTTTCCATTATCTACCTGCGCGCTGAGTTGTTTGTCCCGTAAGCCTCGAGGGTCCTTAAGCAAGTCTTGTCCACACGAACATCCACACGAAACAGTGTCACGAGATCAGCCGTTGCAAGAGTCTCCAAGCTGATCATCAATGTGCTTCGACCCGCACAATTCGCAACCGATGACATCGGGCGTAGGAGCGTTTGTGTGATCGTCATTGTCGTCTTCATTCCGAGGACTCCAACAGCCGTTGCACGAGAATTTGTTTCCGACGCTTGGAGTTTCCATACCCTCGCCGAAGCTAGCGCAGTAACCGTTTTCCTGCTCCCAGGACGTTTCCTGAGGCTAAAGTAGCGCTGTGCGCCTGCGAGGTGGACGTTGAGACTCGAGACAGCCAAGTTCGTATTTCTGGACAGGCAGAATTTCGATTGCACCGAGGGGTTGAAAGTGCTCGAATGTACCCGTTTATAGTAGATTACTAACTCCGCTATATCTCTTATATAAATTTCGCTTTAATAGATAGTAATATAGATCAACTACGATAGCTAGTCTAAAAGTCTTCTCTATTTTATTTCTCGCTCTATTATTCGATAATCTCTCGAATTTAATATAATAAATCTATCGAGAATACTTCGAATATTCACAACGCGTCTTTTTTCTTTTTTTCTTTATTATTTAATTAATTATAGTTTAATATATCTAAAACGAGTAAAGGCCTATGAATTAAATTCATAATTTTTTTTTGATTAAGGCTATCGAGTAAATAGGTGAGCGATCTTTGGTGAGCGAACTTTGGTGAGCGGGCTGTTACGGCGGACGACGGCTGACACTACGACAAAACCAAAAAGAATTTCTCTTTTCGTTTTTTTCTTCGCGATTTCTAGTTCTCAACTCTTCGAGAGATACTTTTTGAGGCACTCTTTTAGGGGCTACTCTCCGGGGTACTCTCCGGGGTACTCTTCGAGGTACTCTCCGGGGTACTCTCCGGGGTACTCTCTCGGGTACTCTCCCGGGTACTCTTCCGGGTACTTACGACGGATAATAACTAACACTACGATCGAATATTTTATAAAGTTCTTCGCAAAAAAAAAAAAAAAAAAAAAAAAATCCCGGGAAGTTCTTAATCGTAATGAGAGTACCCGGGAGAGTACCTTGAAGAGTACCCGGACGAATACCCCGGAGAGTACCTCGAAGAGTACCCGGAAGAATACCCCGGAGAGTACCCCGGAGAGTACCCCGGAGAGTACCCCGGAGAGTACCCCGGAGAGTACCCCGGAGAGTACCCCGGAGAGTACCCCGGAGAGTACCCCGGAGAGTACCCCGGAGAGTAACCCCTAAAGAGTGCCTCAAAAGTACCTCTCGAAGAGTTGAGAATATTCTAAAAAGAATATTTTGAAGAGAGTTACTAGAAATCGCGAAGAAAAAAACGAAAAGAGAATTTTTTTTTGGTTTTGTCGTAGTGTCAGCCGTCGTCCGCCGTAGCTGTCCGGCAGCGGCTGTCGAGCGAACTTTGATGAGCGATATTTGAATTCCTTGCGCTTTAATAATTATAAGACTAAATTTAAAAATTCTTTTTTTATCTAAAAGCCCACATTTCGTTCTATAATTTAAAAGAAAAATCTCAAAATTTTAATAGAAAATAAAAAAGTTATTTCATTTGTAAATAATATATACCTAATTTTTGATGAGGAGGCGCGGGAGGGCGAGATTTTGATGATTGCGGACGCTAATTTATTTACCCGCGATAACTCAGCCGGTCTAGCCAAAAAGCGTAGAGGACCCGAATTTATAATTGGCTGCACATACAAATTCAAGGTTTTCTAATTCAGCTCTATCTTATTCTTTTATATATATTAACGAGTAAAGGCCTATGAATTAAATTCATAACCGTTTTTTTAATTAGGGCTATCGAGTACGGAGTAAGTAGATAAGCGATCTTTAATAAGCGAACTTTGATGAGTGAACTTTAATGAGTGATATTTAAATTTCTTACGCGATATAAGTACTATTAACTATTAGATTATAGATCTAAAAAGCGAGAGTATCGCGCTTTATATATAAATATATCTATTAAGCTCTATAAGTTTAGATTAAACTAGATCTAATAATATCTCTCTTTTTAAAGCTATATCTTCGTAGTTCTAAAATAAGAGTAAAAGAATTTAATACGCTATTATTCCGAAGGCGTAGTTATAGAGATACTTTAAAGGGAATTAATCTTAAGCGAGTTAATATCTCTTATTATAGTAGCGAGATATCGTCTTAAAGATTTCTTATAAGATATATACGAAATTAATTCTTTACTCGCCGTAGCGATATAGCGAAATTACTTCGAGAAAGCTAGTCTTAAGTATATTATTTCTAGAGCTAAATCTCGCTATAATAAAAGTCGATCTTAAGTTAGAGTTAAACTCTTTATCTATAGATATAAGAATCGATACGATTACTTTTATAATAGTAAGTCTTATTTAATACGTATTCTAGAAAATTAAAGTCTAAAACTAAAGCGTAATATTATTATAAGTACTATTAATTACTAGACTATAGATCTAAAAAGCGAAGATATCGCGCTTTATATACGAATATATCTATTAAGCTCTATAAGCTTAGATTAAACTAGATCTAATATTAGATCTTAGAGCGTCTCTCTATATATATATATATTTATAGACTATATAGATTAATTAATATCTTTATACTTTTTTATATTATATCTTAAGACTTCTTTACTCGAAAACGTTTCTCTCTATCTTCTATTATTATATTATTAAGATATTTATAAGATAATTATAATTAATAGAACTTAAAGAGTAGTTATATATATTTAATATCGTATAGATATTAAAAAAATAAATTTTAATAGAGAGATTAATAGTAATAGTAGTATTTTCTTAAGAATTAGAGAGAGATATAGTATATATAAAGTCTTCTTATATCGTAAAGAAAACTATATAAAGCGATTTTATAATAAAATAGTTACTATATAGTCTCTAGACTAGATATAAGCTATTTATAATAGTTTATATAATAGAAGTAAAGTAGTAGTAGAGATGATAGTAGAAAAAAATGAATTTATTATATATGAGAGGTTATCGAATATGTAATAGTAAGATCGCTAACGACGATAATAATATTTTTACGATATCGCGCTTTATTTTAATATAGCGTCTATATAATATAGTTATATAATATAGCGCGTAGCCATTTTAACTTAAATTATCGATATTTTATTTAGCATTAGCTGAGGTATAGAAGTACCCCCCCTGTTCTCCGTTATCCGACACAAAAATCGGTATCAAGATTCGTTTCCGAAATTTCGAACGTTGGTGTGTGGCCCTGGCTGCAGGGTTTTGGTGTCCCCATAATGAATGTGAGAGTCATTGTGGGGCTTTGTAGACGTTGTTGCGCTGTGCTAATGGGACCATCTAAGTACAAGCATAGGGGAGTTGTCAATCTCCTTTTGCGATATCGTAGTGTCCAGTTGCTCGGTCAGCGTGCGACAGGAATGGAAAGAACCCGTCCTGAGTGAACTTGCCGCTTTCACTTTCCTTCGCCACTCTTCTTGCCATGTTCAATCCAAAAAACCGGCCCTCTTTCTCTTCAGTTATGCATACCCAACAGCACAAACTTCGTAAGTCTCATGCATACGTGACATATTGAATTCTTCGTCTGCCCTTTGTAGGCCGATTGCATCGTAACATAATGGAGTTGGGCCCAAAGTTGACGCGAGAGTGCTTGAGAGTCAAAACCCCACAGTACGAGAAAAACCTCTTTGAGCATTGAATTGGGTAGAAGACTATCGCAAATATCAGATTGTGCCCGGTTTGATCCTTTCCTCCAGGAGAATATGGCCAAATGTGCAGGCTGTAGGGTGCGGCATCTAATCTGCGACACACAATCTACCTGCGCTGAATGCGAGAAGAGTGGTAGAGAGTGCGTTCGTCTTAATGTCCGCTTCCGGCATCTCGTGTGCCCGTCAGATGAGATCACTCGTGCGGATTATACCAAATATAAGTTCTTCTTCGACAGCGAGCAGACGTGGATTGACACCAATGGCAAACTCCAATTCGTCACAGAAAGCGACAGCAGCGCCGACGCTTCACCAACGGACGAACTAGAGAGCAATGTGTTCGATGCCGTGGGCTTGGATGTGGAGCCTCGGCCCGCTCCAGTGGAGCAGTCGTCTCCTAAGTTCGTGCTTGGATCAACGTCTCAGACTCCAGCTGTTCAGGCTTCCGTTCTAGACGATGGCCCACCAGAGTATTTGGCAGCATTGGAGCAAGTGCCTTACGACCCGCCAGATAGCGTCCTCCTCGAAGATGCATCGGAAATGCCGGCCCATTCATTGCGAGAGGTATCCCAGCTTGGAGAGAAGCTACCGACCGACACGAGTGTATCCTACTTAGAGAGTGTGCTGCCCGCACCGGAGCTGGAGTGTCCATTGAAAAGCTTAAAAGAGGGAAAGCTACTCCAGCATTGGGTCACTCATCTCGCGCCATGGGTATGCACGAACATCCTCTCAGTACCGTGAGCCTTGGCTGATTCAGATTCAAGTTCGACGTTGGCGATAGCAAGAGACACTTTGGCAAGATCGCGACCCGCATGGCAGCGTCAAGTCCCTTATTGATGACCGTGATTCTCGCTATTGCCGCTCTTCATCATAGCCGAGTCAGCGGCCAAAGTGATCTGTACAGCGCAATGACCTACCACGACAAATGCCTGAACATAATTGTGCCGATGTTGAGCGACTCGGATCACGCCAACGATGACTGCGTACTTATGACGACGACCATTCTACATCTGTATGACGGTCTTGAGTGTAAGACTGCTCCTCAATCATCTGGTCGTATCCTTTGTTGAGTCTTTATCATCTAGCTGGCAATGACTTGCCAAGGCATCTCAAGGGAACTTCCATCTTCTTCCATCCGGAAGCTACATACAATTCGTCTCAACTTCGTAGGGCAGTCTTCTGGCTACATCTCCGCCAAGAGATATACAACGCCTTCTTGTATCAGCGCAGCGTTATCACCGATCTGAACAATTGCAACTTCGAGTTCGAGAACGAGTCTGAGAATGACGACATGTGGTTCCACCAAACCTTGTACATTGCTGCTCTGGTATCGAAGTGGGCCTTTGGCAAGGAAACATCACATGCCCGATGGTACGAGCTTTGCAAGATGATGGACGTGTGGGAGAGCAGACGCCCTACCAGCTTCGATCCGATATACTTCCGCACACTAGACCCAACAAACGGCAGATACTTTCCTGAAGTCTGTTATGCGACAGATGAGCATGTCGCCGCAGCTCATTTCTTCTACCTATCAAAACTGTTGCTCACAATCCACGATCCCAACCTGCCACGGATTGGACCTCGAATGAAGTCCGCGACCGTAGAGATGCAGAAGACGGCGCTGTCATATGTGCGTAACCTCGTCGGCATCGCAGTCTGCAACAACTTCATCGTTGCCAGATTCACAGCCACTCTTGCTATCATCATCTGCGAGAGTTGGTTCACGGATCGGCGAGAGCAGGAAGCCCTTTTCGACTTCATGCGTGAGACAAGTCGATGCAGCGGATGGACAACACAGAACGTACAGCAAGCATTGGTGGAGGAATGGGGCTGGAAGGAGGAACAGATATGAGAGCGTGGTACCTCGTAGGAGGAATAGTTTTACACTTGATTCCAGGCAAGCCAGGCGAGGTGTCTCACAAAGCAATGCTCTTTTGAAGAGACCCTGCTCGTCACATGAAGGTGAAGTTCCTTACGATTGGCAGGGACACAACATCCAGGTATTGAAGACGGTAGCTTCATCTTTACACCTGGCTGTGAGTTAGTTTTAACAGGCTGCCTTATCAGGCGTCGCTCAACACAAATACACAACAATCCACCGAGACTTAACTCACAATAACATCGTCCCTTTCTAGACTATATCCTCCAACTCTGATACTTTCTAGACTTTGATTTATACTACGAAACTTAAATCTATATTTACAGTTGATATACTTCGACTTCCGATCTACTGTCTACTCGCAGCTCTCGCAGCAATCCCGTAGCTTGTTCTTACATTTTGTGTCCTCGAAATCCGAACTTTTCCGGTCATGCCCCTCAATATGCAGCAAACACTAAAATCCCTGATTATGTCTCCGAATTCGAGAACAAACTCGCCAAAGTCAACGGAGTCGTTATTGCCTCGAAGATTCCACCGGGAGAACAATAGTACAAGATGAAGCCTCGGGCGGTCGACAATCCTGGTCGTGAAACACAGACGAGCATGATCTGCAGCATCTGTAGCTCAGCTTGCCGGGACTTAAGACAGCTTCGAGGCGACTTCGTGACTTGTGTCGGCCAGAACGGTAATCCGAATGGAGCGCGCTGGGACGACGGCCTTACGCCAGACGACGCCAGAAATATGAGGTGTGACGTCTTTCCAAACAATCTCTGTCGTCTCTTGCTGATGTGATACAGATCTGATCCCAGGTATGCCACCTTGAGAGGCGCAGCGACGGCAGATGCCCTCTCGAGTGAAGATATTGCAGGGAAAACACAACAGAACGCAGCGCCATGTACACCCGTGCATCATGTGCGATCGGAAGTTTGCTAAAGGACACCAAGTCCGTGTACACTTTCCAACGTGCGTAAGGCGAAACAGAGACCCCACTGGTGCGCGATGGAATGAAGTGTGGAATAGTGCAGCTTCGCATGCAGGACATATGAGTACGCAAAGCAGGTAGGAAAGCTCCCAGCTGGTTGGTTGAAATTCTAGACAGACTCGGGCATTGGCAGGGGATCTCAACATCTCCGGTCTGAAGACTTACGGCCCCAAGACCACGAGCCTGATGACGTTGATACTGATGTCCCCAGAATGGACAACTCCCTCTCTGACCGCTGCGCAATCTCGACCGCAGCTAACCTCTGCGTCCACAGACGGCTTGCAGTCATGCCACCCTGACTTTCAACAGATCGACCCTCAATTGAGCAGTCCACCCCTCAACGGCGTGCAGCCGTACGACCCTCGGCTGACATGTTCGTCACCGAACGGCTTAGGAATGTATGACCCGTACCTTCGAATCGAAATTTTGACTAATCAAGCGCTGCTCTCAATGGTTCAAGCCTGGCAAGACGTTTTTAATTCGGAGAAGAACAACACACCCTGGAGCACCGAAACTTCGGTCGTCAGTATCGTCCGTCAGGTATGGCTTATTGTACAAAGCTTTGTTCGCAAACAATGTCGCTTCGTTAAATCCATTGTTCTCTTCTCCACCCCTATAAAACTTCATCTCCCTTATCTCGCCTTTGTCTTCCACGCTACATTCCTGTCTCGACACCAAATCCGCAGAATCTGACTCATCCCACCTTACAATTCACATATCCCCTTCACAGCGGTCACCTACCCACTACGCTCCATCGCAAACTCAATGACAAAGGCGCCCCAAAAATACCTCGCGGTCATCGGCACCGCGCGCAGGCCAAACAGCGCCGATCTGAGAGATCGCGGGCTCGCCGGACTCCCGGACCCGGGCCCCGACGTCGCGCTTCGGAGAGCAGAGTTGGAGTTGGAGCAAGCGACCTTGAAGGCGCAGGTGGCTTTTTGGCACGGTGGTGGGGATTTTCCGGTTTCGTTCTCGCGGACGAAAATCGATAAATACCACGGTAGTGATGACGGCTCGAGTTCAAACCCAGAGACAATGAGGGAAGATCCGGTAGTAAAAGTAGAGCGGGAGCATATCATGCATGATACCATGGACGATGAGCAAATGCGGAAATCGACCGCCGACGTCGACAAGCCTAACTTGTCAGAGTCAGTAAGAGTTGCCGACAAGGCGTGTGAAGCGGAAGAGGGTGTGCGCTATCTACGCGATCGAAAGCCTGTTCAGCTACACCCTTACGCACTTGAGCGCGAGGTGTACCGTCAAAGAGTAAAGGATGGAAGAGTGGCGTGATTCTGTATCGCGGAACAGAAGAACGAAGATGTGGAGGCGCGCGGCGACCGAAGTTACAGTAATTTATGGTGACTCCACTCTTGAGATGGCGACTGCGTTCTAGATATCATGGCATTCGCTTGGTAGGTAGAGAATTGTCGCCGTTGTACGGTTCCAGTCAATTGAGATTTTGTGCCACATTAGACTTTTGAGAGGTGGCGAAGTGATTCTCAACCTAATAACCTCGATGATCGGTTCGAACATAATCGTCAATGACTCCATGTTTAGATGAGAGTCGAATTCACGCTAGGAGTGGGAAAGAGTGTATGGATCTGACCAAATCGAAACGGGTTTATTACTTGTTTAAATGACAGTGATAGTATATGTGTTTCCGCCGTGACTTTCTTCATACTGGAGCCAAGGCTCTTGCTCCATATCTGGGACAGTAGTTTCGATTTCAGTCAAAGACATGTGCACTATGCCACATCGTCGAAATTGACCGTTTCGTATTCCCGTCGGCTGAAGCATCAGTCCTACAAGCGTATTGGGGTTGCCTAGTTGGAGTTCGATGACAAAAAAGTGGTATCGATGGCCTCCGGTGGTTTCTTCTGACGCTTGCAGCTCGCCAAGTACGTCCTCGTACACTACTCCGCTCCTTTCAAGTCCCCCCATCCGCACACCGACGCGGGAGAGCCTGCTGATATCGGTTTCCTTCCGGGGGAGGAACTGAGCCGTGCATAGGGGACCGCGCAATCGCAGGTGGCCTCCAGTGACTTGGCCAGTGGTATCTTGGCCCGGACTTTCGATCTTGACCTCGATCACCTTTGCTAAGATACCCATGTCGTAGCAACGACCAGCCGTAAGGCCGCGATCGGTCTGAGGGTTCACGGAAGCCCACGACCAAGAAGGCGCGCGGTACTTATGAGGCCGTGTTCCCGGAGAGTCATAACGCCAGAGGAGCTGAGAGGGAAGACACTGTTGCCATAGGCCGGCGAGATACCTGTCGTGCAAGATAGTTTCCATGTATTTTGCCACACCAGACAGCGCGATCAATTTGTCTTCTTCGTGCGATAATGCGCCTTCCGAATAAGACTCGATGATATTATCCCACAGATAGTAGGCATCAAACCGGTTAGTATCTATGTGAGTCGGTCCCACGTTACGCCGTATCCTTTGCCCGTCGACAGAAGGGTCCAGTCCCTTGAAACGTCGCGGACCGTACTCGAACGGTAGTCCATCGGGATAGGTTTGGCAAGCCTCCACTTCCAGGCACTCCCATAGCACTTGTCGAGCACCAAAATGAATAACGCGTGGCGCGAGAAGACGCTCTTGGAGCACCCACGCTCGTTGCAAGAGAGGTGCTCGCTCAAGCTCCATTCTCCAAAATCCATCACATCGAACTTCGTATAATCTTTTCCTGCTCTTTCCCCAGTCAGGCTGCTTCCTTAGCTTTTGGACAGAACTCTCAGGCCAATCTGTCTCAACGATGCACCGTGACACCATGTTAGCATTCCGGTCGTGAAAGAGACCGCCATGGCCATCTGCGGAACCAGTTGCTGCGAGGTTACAGAGAGCTCCCTGATAAACATCTGCCATTGCAAGAGCTTCTCGGCTCCAATCAGACTTGAAGTCTTGGACGATGCAGAGGGCGTCGATCCATAGATATTTTAGGCCAAGTTCCAGCGTAGCACGAATTGCGTCGTTGAAAGTCCGAGATAGCAAGGTTTTGCTGAAACCTGCCTTCATCTGATCAACAGTAGCTGTCGTGAGCTTGAAGTATTGGCCAGAGCCCCAGCAATGACTCAACGATGCATAGGGGCCATCTGGTGTGGTCTCGTTCGTAAGGATAAGACGTAGCTGATTATTTGATAAGTCGAGCAATCGAGCCGGGAGTCTAGCATTTATACGGGAAACATGCTCGTTACATTTCACATGTCCATTGATGCATTGCCCCAGCCATTGCTTGATGAGTGTCCAACTTTCCTCGGAATCTGTGTTGGTCGTAGATCGATCTCTCGTCACCTCAGGAACATGGTATCCGTCTAGCAGATGCTCCGCAGAGCATGGTATCAGCTAGATATTTTTTGAGATCCCACAGTGATTGTGACTGACCTGCTACAGGCTCAACGTAGAAAGCAGGATAGTCGTAGTCCGACTATTATGGCGAAGCGAATGTCGCTACGATTAGTACCTTCGTGTTGGCTTCCCAATTCGACCAGATCTGTGATTGAAACTTACGACGAGCGCAAGAAGACCAGTATGACCATGCATACGGGACTGGTCAATGAACCTGTATGTGGTAAAATAATCTGCAGCATCAGTTGCCTCAACGTTCTCGTCGTCACCAATGAAGCTGCGCCATATGCAATCGCACATATAACAATTTTCTAAAGCTGCGGACTCTCGATGAAGATCCACGAACTTCTTGTAAAGGCGGAATTTGAATTCGATGGGCGCCCTGAATATGGCGTCACAGAGGGAACACAGCATTTTGAAAACAGTCATCGATCAGATTTGCAGAGAGGTCTCTACTCGCCACAGCTTGACTGGGGGCTAGTGAGGGGAGGCGCAGCACACATATCGCAATACAGCCGAGATTGCCATGTTGGAAGAGCCTTAGATAGGTGGTATCCCTCCTGTTTCTTGCTCCTCATCGCATTATGCTGTACAATTTTGTTAGACATCCACGGCTAGACCTGTCCACGTGAGAGCTCGAGACAGGACTGCTTGGCTTCATGAGAAAGACTACAGAGTATGCCGAAGCGAAGTGATCTGAGTCAGACCCTACGAACGAGGGTTGTATTATGGGGACGCTGCAACGAACCCTAGTCCCCAAGGTGAGCTCAGGTCAGTCATAATTCCGAAGCAGACCCAAGCACAACTCACCCGAGATTTTGACGCAGAAGTCTTGGCACGTCACTCCTGCTCGCACCTCCATCCACGCGACCGCGTTGGTCCACCGGGTCCGTTCAATCGGCCCTCAAAGCCATTACGGTGCCTCCAAATCAACTCTCTAGGCAGTCTCTGGCGGTATGTGAATGTGCATGGAGCATTTTCCTTTTACCTATTCGGTTTCGAACATTTGCAGCTAGCAATGCTACGCCACTACCTCGGCCCCGGCTACGGCATCTCCACCGATGAATTTTCCTATGTGCAAGTCAACGAGTCTAGCGAGAGCGAGCCAAGGGGGCGAAGAACGACACTCTTATCAGTGGAGGCTCGGGTGTGCGCGGAGCCGGCTCGACTGTGTCTTCGACTTCAGAACTGGGCGGTACTGCATACGAGAGTTCCAGGTTTGGCGCTTGAGAGAACAGAGTGCGTCTGGGTTTGTCAACATTTCGTAGCGGAAGAGGATGAAATGTTTCAACTGATCGAGTCGAACTTGGATGAATACCGTACGAAATCGAAGAGGCCGCGAGAACCAAAGCGTCATAGGTGTCGCCGCTGCAAGTTTGTCTTCCAACTTGAAGTCTTAGACACTGGCAGTGATGGCCTAGCAATTGTCATCACAAAGTGGTTGGACCTAGGATCAGGCTTGACACCAATGGATCCGAAATGGAGGGTCCTCACAGCTCGGTTCCCAGACCGCGAGAACGGGAATGACCACGCAAGCGAGGCTGAAAGATGTAGACTGGGGTTTGAAAAAGAGGAGGGGCCAACGCAACAGGCCATCACTCTTCGCAATGCGTCATGCTTACGTGGCCAGCGATATAAGGGTACAATGCAAAAGTGTTTCTGCGGAGAATGGTTTTTTGCAAGCTGATCGGCGCGTGCACTGGTATCATTTCTCAGACATACTGTTGCTGTCTCTGGTTTTGCTGGGATTGATGTTATGTGCAGTGATCCGCTGGCAGAGTTCCCACAAAATTTGATAGTCCGCTATTAAGTGCGCATGATTCCAGTCTACACAGCAGTCCTTGACCTGTAGAGGCTGTATGTCCACTGACAGGCCGATCTGGTCAAACACCAGTGCGAACGTTTCCTCGGTCATGCCGAAGCCGCCGGTCGAATTTTCCTCAAGACCACGAGCCGCGTGCAGCGCGCGGTCGACTCTGGTGTCTGCCGGCCCAGTTTCCCTGGGCCGCTGCAGAATCTGCCATATTGGTTGCGGATCGCAGTGCATCGTTTAGCTACGTGTTCGCGACAAGCGCAGCGACGTAGGTAGTGCTTTCTGTTGGTGTCGGGCTTTCTAAAAGAGGTGCGTGAGGGTTCATAAGTTGTAGGGGTTCGATCCCCGAGGGTTGGAGCTTTGACAGCGGCTGATGAGCTTCGGGTTCGATCTGCAAAGGGATGTCTTGCTGCTGCATTGGTGGGAGGAGGCCTCGTGAGCGCAAAGAAAAGGATGGCGAATTGGCGCCATATTGCGGGACAAATTTCATTCTGCTGTGTCACCACACAGCCGGGTTGAGACGCTACAGCGGCGGAGACTAGGGTATCATTCGGAAAACATAGGTCAATATTGAGCAATTCGGTAGCGAATGGTGACAGGCTGGGAGCAAATTAGTAAGCAGTGCGCGTCCGACCGCCTTGTTTAATTTGTTTCGGATGTGTCTAAGGGGAATTGAAAAGGCTCTGCTGCCTTGCTCCGAGGTGGCTATTGGCCAATGGCACTGATCAATGTGGGGTCTGACCCATCATTCCGGACAGCGAGCACGTTCTGGTAATTTGAGCGCTACTCATGATAGCTACTACTTGTATCTCAACGGATTTGCCGTCTGAGTTCTGGAAAATTGAGCATCACACCTGTGCAAAACCTGAGTTCAATGCACTCACACTGTTACCCACTCTCCACTCCAGATCAAGTGGTCATATCGAATAGCTTTTCCCAGATGACCCTCCAGCTTTCCTACCGAGCTGAACCCATGGAGTCCCTCAGTGTCACGGCAAGCACCATTACCCTCATTGCCACCGTCAAAAAGACTTTAGAGGTCCTTCAAAAGATGCGTCACGCACCCCAAGGGCTAGATGCGCTGATCCAGGAGGCTTCTGATCTTGCGCTCGTCCTCAGGGACGTTGAACCCTTCCTTCGAACCTCGGAGCCCAGTCCTCAAGACGGTGCAGAGCCCCAACCACAAGATCTTGGCCTTTTGCAGTGGTCGGAGCGGGCAAAATCTACGCTGAATGAGATAGAGGACCTTGCAATGATCCACGTCAGCTCCAAAGGCCCTGGTTCTCAGCTCAGGGGCTTGTGCAACAACGCGAAAGTTGTGTCTCAATTGAACACAAAGCGCCAAGACTTGCAGACTGTCAAATTCAATCTCTTAGTCGTGAGCTCGTAAGATCATAAACCATCAACGTGCTTCCACGAATATCTCTGGTGGTTAGGCGGCATCAAAGCTCGACAGACTGACGCGATTTTAGCTTTCGATCCTTTCGTATCGAAGCTGGCGTACACCGGCTTCTGACAATGAATGCAGAGTCGGCAGCTTCACAACGAAACTTCCAAAGGGTTGCACTCAATGCATTGCTCCATCAGGGCCAATCGATGCAGAACATCCGTGGGGAGGGGCATTCAGTGTCCGAAAGACGCAACCTACAAACCTTGAACTATCTCGATACTGGGAGTGCGCCCTTACTGCCGACGGGCGATCCCTCCAACGACCTTGCTCTAGGACCTTCAGGTACTCATGGCCCATGGTTGCAGGCTGAATCAGGGTGGCAAGGTTCAGAAGTTGGACATCCACGTCACGACAGTACAAGCAATCGCCGACTCCAACCTCGGCGGGAGTGCGATTGGGGTTGCAATTGCTCGTGTCATGCGTGTCGGTCGTTGACATCTCTGGAGCGGTTATGCTCGATCATAGGCAACGTTTCAGTCAAATTTAGAGCACCTAGAGGCAATTCCACCTGCGATCCACAATCCTGCCGCCGAAAGTCTGCACCCATGATACAGATCGACTACCTCTTCCCCCCATGGATGCTCATGGCCATTACATCAACCACGATAACTGTCCCCAGCTTGCATTCCTGGAACATCACCTTGCGAGTTTGCAGAGTCGTTCCGGATTCAGCCATTATCTTCCGCTTTGCTTTGGACGGCAATCTTCAAGGCATGAAGATGTTGTTTGATGCAGGATCCGCTGCAGCACATGATGTTGACGCTAGCACTGGAACATCTGCTTTACTGGTGAGATTGCATGTCACTGTACAAGTCTTGGTGAGCTGATTTTGTAGTATGCTACCGATAGAGGCCATATCGACGTGTGGAGATTTCTTCTGAAAGCAGGAGCAGATCGTTGTCAGGAGACTAAAACCCACCAGTAAGATGTCCTGTCGGTACTGAAAATGCCCTTTTTTGACCTTCTGAAGCTCACCGATGGATGTTGCGAGTGGCCGTATCTTAGGCGGAACGGCATCACCGGAGATCACAACAGCATTGACCGAGGACTTTGATATCGAAGAACACCTCGAGGAGCGACAACTTCCCGTTCTTCACAGAATTGTTCTAGGTCTAGCTGAGGCGGATTTAGAAACCCAGCTGCGATTGTCAACTATGGTTAAGATCAACGCATTAGACTACCAAGGCCGTACAGCGCTGAGCTGGGCGGCCATTAGAGGAGACAGTGCATCCCTGAATCTACTCCTGAAGTACGGCGCTGACCCGAATGTCGTCGCCTACAATGGCGACGCGCCACTTCATTACGCGACGAGGGCGCCTGTCCCACGCTGTGTTAGGCCCTTGCTTGAGAGTGGTGCGGATGTCAATGCTGTGAACGCATGGAAGGTAAATCCATTGGCGTACACCACGGCGTTTCGAGACGACCTTCGGTACTTGAAACCCTTGTTGGAGAAGAGCGTCGACATGGAACATAAAGATAGGCACGGACGCTCGGCACTAATGCGCGCAGTCCTCAACAATCGTCCAAACCTAGTCAAGTGCTTGCTAGGAAATGGTGCAAAGCTTGCACAAGCCGATGCTTGGGGTTTCCGGCCGCTGATGGTAGCTGTTGAGCGCAAGTTTCACGCAGTTGCTCACATCATTCTGCAGAGCAGTACTTCTGTATTGAGCGAGGAACCCCTCTCGTCTATTCTCGAAATGGCTTTGGTCTCTGGCGACCGTCAAACCGTCGAGATGCTTGAAGGACTTCAGTCACGAGTACTGAACGCTGGTGAGGAGGATTCTGAAGTTGTAGGAGCTGCTGCCAACGACTTAAAAGACCTAGGGACACAGAATGTAACGTCCCCAGCTCAGACTGCCTTGCAGGCATGGCCTCTAACATTCCGCAGGATACGACACATCTTCAACAAGCTGCACGAGCCCTTACAACTGGTTTCCAAGCTTCAAAACCCGCGGTACCTGTTTTAGTGTCCAGAAAAGAAAAGGTAAAAGCTGCTTGAAACAAAGAGGGCGAGAAGAAAAGAGTGCGTGACTATAACGAACAGGACAGGCGCTCTTCTAATCTGTAGTCACGCGAAGATGCTCAGGTGTGCGCTCCATATCCCCAATTATCTAATTAGCGTATTCACGAATGCTTGACTTCAAGTCTTGCCCATAACGCCATGAGTACTGTATGTATCAAAGAGAAAGGCAAATGAAAGTCTATTTTTCGATTATTGAGACTCTAGTAGTGTACTGTCGGGTTAGAATCACGCCCCGAAACCCCGACATTTTCGAGCGTGAGATGAATTGTACTAGTAATCTTGAGCGTCCTCGGAATCCATCCTGCAAGGAACCGGATATTCTCTCACCAGCCGGCACGGTGGGATAAGGCTGCAGCGTAGACCAACGGTATTCTGATCCACGGCTTCGTAGATTTCGTTCCAGTCATCGTCGTAGTTTTGGAAACGGCTCTTAGAAATCGGAGAGACTTCAGCTGGAGAAGATTGATGGATACACTTCATTGGATTTCCGTTGCAGTAATGATCCCCATACAAGATGAATGACTAAGGATCCGGGCGCAATTTGTTCACCACCTTGCGGGTCGGTCCTAGTCCAAGCACAGAGAATCCCCTCTCCAAGTTTAGCATGAGGCTTTCCCATCAAGCATTGCATTGGAAGATGTGGATGCCTACATCGTGCAAGACGGACACTTTATGATTCTCTCTCCGTGGATCGCTGATCCGCTTAGACACTGCGGTGGTGGTTCTGGCCTGCGCCGTACGCTGAAAAAGATACAGCTGTTTTGAGACCAACACTAAGCCTGATCCTGCCGCAGCGTCGCCCCACCATTCCTCAAGAACGCTCCCAATCACAAGTGGCCACGTGAAGCTCTTTATCGAGATAGCTTCTTTTGAGCCTCCTCAAGGGAATGGGTGATGTGATGGCCTTTCGGAGCGGGGCCTGCACCTCATATTCTCAGCCTCAGAGTGGTCTGTCGTTTTCTAGCCACGGCACCGCGCAGATAGACACCCGGCCTCCTTGAGCTTTTTATTGTCTCGAAAGCCATGCAAATGCCATTGAGGTCCCTCCTGATATTCAGTCTCACTACTGGGATGTAGCGGCGGCCATAACTTCGGCGTGCCATCATCTCCAATTCGGTCTCGAGCGCCAAATCTCATCATGGCAGAACTCAAAACAATCTCTCTCTCGCAGCTTTTGGAGGTCGACCCTCAAGCGATGAAAGAGCTTGAGGATGCAGCCACTTTGCAAGGTTTTTTCTACCTCGATCTGCGGGGATCAGAAACTAGTCGGACACTCAGAGACGTAGAGGAGTGTGTTGAAACAGCACGCGAATTCTATGCCATGCCGTTTGAAGAAAAACTGGGGTATGACATTGACAAACTGGGCATGCACAAACTCAATGGGTAGATACATCAGTCGCATCACATACTTGATCTCAGAGCTGAGAGTGTACCAGATACAAACCGGAAGGCAGGAACGCGGGAATCGAAAAAGGTAAACAAGACGGCTTTGAAGCCTATCTTGTTCGTCCTCATGTGATCACATGATGAGTCTCCATTGATAAAGGCCTAGGTTCCTCGAGACGGGATGTGTAATCCGCTTTTTGATGGGGGGAAAATAATGCTACCTGGCCCTCTTGATGCACACAGGAGTCTTCTCGAACGCCTGATGAATGATCTGCACGCAATAGGTATTTCGGTTCTTCGCGCACTAAGCCTTGTGCTGCGTATCCCCGTCGAGCGGAGCCTCGAAATGAGCCACCGCCATCATTGCTCATCAACGAGTGCCCTTGGTGTCCTCAAATACCCTCGGCTATGGGCCGAAAGCCCTCAGCTTGGCCACGGTGCACACACAGATGTCGGCTCATTGACCCTGCTCTTCTGTTCGGAACCTGGACTTCAGTTACTCGATCCAAAGACCGATCAATGGGCGTACATTCGGCCTAAGGATGGCCACGCCATAGTCAACGTGGGAGACTCTCTGCGCTTCCTCAGCGATCATCGCCTACGCTCTTGTCTTCATCGCGTAGTTCCACCTGTGGAGGGGAGAATTACCGATCGCCTTTCCTGCGCGTACTTCCTAAGGCCTGAGTTGGACGCTGTGTTCATGGACGACACGGGAAAATCTTGGAAGAGTGTCGACTGGCATGACGGGAAATATAAAATGTTTCGTGCACCGACGGAAAAACAGCAGCAGGATTCTGTTCTGACGGGCAAAGCCGGCTTCTTGGGGTCTTGGTGCCCTGACAAGTATATGGTCGGCGTGAATCGATTTGTTTAAGGTAATCAAAGAAAAAAGATAGCACTCACATAGACACACGATACAAACACTCTACTACGTCCTCCAATTATCCTATTCTTGCAACGCTATATGATAAAGCGATACTCACCCTACGCTAGACGAGAGGTAAGGTAAACAGAATGGCGAGCTATGGCATGGGAGTAAGCAAGAAGGGCCCTTACTTTTCCACGGATCCCTACTCTGGTACCCCATGTCTGGGTGCTGGGAAGGCAATACTGATTCTAAATCTCCATCAGACTGGACAAAAATGATCATGATGTACTAGCATCACTTCGATTGGTCGCACAAGCCTTCGAGATCTGGTTCTTGATGATCGCAACTGCACTCCTCTACGATGTCGTCATGATCTTCGCTAGAAGTCCCAGTGGTCTCTACGTCGGCTACTTGTCGACCTAGCTGGAGTTCAGCAATGTCAAGAACATGGCCAATCCACTCATGTGGACTTCAGCCTTCCCCTCACGGCATAGTTCTCAGGCCGATCGGAAACGCCACGGTGTCACAAAGTTGATTTTGTTCGCGCTGCTCGCAGGCATCCCTAACAATCTTGACCAACCTGATGGGAGCTACGACAGCAGTCTTGCCCCTACCCAGTCTTCAATGGGTCGAATTAGAGCGGGTTCCACAGCAGAGACACGACGGACTCGCGTTGAGCCAACCTCACCAAGGTGACGTGGTTTTCGCTGGGAGCTGCAATAACACAGAATTGGTGGTTGGCAACTTCTCCTGCACTACTAACGTATACCGGGCCAAGCCTAGGCGAATGGGCAGCGATGGCGCTATCATCAAGTAAACAATCCGAGCAACCATTTGGGATGGCCATCCTCGCCACCTCGCAGGAGAGTGCCGTGCCATGCCACCACGGCGCGCCAGCGCCAGCGCCAGACCCCGCTGCCGCTTCACATTCACATCCACAGCAGCAACCCTCCCCTCCGCACCCCACCCTCTCAAAAAACGCCCAGCAGCAGATCTGGGCCTGGAGCCTCAGCGGGCGCACCTCGAACCTCGCCGTCGAGATCGCCACCGCGGGATGCGCGTGCGTGCTCGCGCGTCTGTGTGTTGGGCTTTTGCGTGCGCGGCGGGAGCACTCGCCTGTTGAGATGTTGATGGCGCTGGAGCATGGTTCACGGGCGGGGAACAGGTGGGGATGAGGGAGGAGCGGGAGATGGCGAGCGTGAGGTAGAGGTTGCGTGAGGGGGAGGGTGGAGAGGTTAGAGTTGTGCTGGGGAGATGTGGCAGGTGAGAGAGAGAAAGAGAGAGTCGAGGGGTAGTGGAAAGGGGATGCGGTGTCATTTTGGAGCGTAGGAATGGATGGGCTAAGACCAATCGTTATTCGTTGACCCAAGAGCAATGTATATGTATCTTGTGATTCAGTAAAGCCTTCTGTATAAATCCAGGTGAGGATGGGGCTCACGATCGGCAGGGTCTTTGTTCCATGGCCAAAATAAATAAATCCTCCCACACTTTCCTTGGCAACTCGTTATTTTCAGAGATACTGATGCGGTATATCAGGCCGTGCACATCTGTAGGCCAACGCCTTTCCATTTCCCTGAATTCCCCTTTGTATAGAAGATCAGACGTCGTCTTCTGCGCTTCGCTTCTCCACCCTCTCTTGATAGGATAGCCCAGCATGTCTCTCTTCCTCTGTAACTACTTCCTCAGCTGCTCCAATGTGACTTCTGCTCACTGACACCCTCACCGCCAGCTCGACAACGGCCCCGCCACCACCGTCCATGCCAACGCCGGTCCGGCGTATGGTCCTCTAACTACCCCTACCAAACCCTTCAACAACGGCGCGGTTGCGGGATGAGCGATGCTTGCTAATATTGGCCCGCAGTAGTCGTACTAAGGAGGTGGGCTCAGGCATCTGAGGGTGGGTGAACGCTTGAAGATGGTCTTCGGACAGGCCCTGGCCCTTTCTCGGCAGGGAATGTTCTTCATCCAGTCATTCTGTATGTGCGTGCCAATAGTTCAAGCTTCATTCTCCGGCACAGCTCTCTCAAGCCATCCGCATAAATCCCTAACCTCCGCTCCCACCGTACTATGTCCCATGCCCTCATACAACTTCGCCTCAACCCTCTCCCCTTCCCAACCCTCAATCTGGTCCTTATATCTCATAAACATCCACTTCGGCACCAACTGATCTCTTGATCCATGACCCAGGAACCACTTCGTCTGCGATGTATCCTGTCCCTCCTCTTTCCTGTCCTCCATCATCTTCCCCACCCTCCCGCTCAACGGCAGATAGCCCGACAAGCCCACCACCCCACCCAGCTTGGCTTTGTATCTGCTCATGAGTCCGAGGAGCAGGGAGATGGCACAGCCTTGGCTGAAGCCACCAACCACCAGCCTTTCCGCTGGCACCCCAGCTTCGACTTCTTTATCAATGAGCCCGCAAATATATTCCACACTCTTCATCATCCCCTCTTCGTCGTCCTCCTCGTCGTCCTCCTCCGGATCGGGTTCTCCAGAACGCTTAGGCATTGGGATAGGTGAGAATGGCTTCGGCATGAACCAGGCTTGAGCCATGACATCGCGGTTCTGAGGCGCGTTGGGTAGGATCCATTTTAGGTGGGGCAGCTTGTGAGCGGCGTGGAATTGGGATACAAGATCTGTGAAGAGAGAAGAGGTCAGTCAAGTTTGAGACAAATTGAGGGAAGAGCTCTGCAGGCTGCGCACCTGTCCAGCCATTGGCATCGTCACCGAGGCCGTGTAGGAAGATGATTGTTGCGGGAGAAATCGAGGAGCTGGGGGCCGGGATGATTATGGGTGGGTCGTTGGACATCCTTTGGAAGAAGGGTCTACGGGAATGCTTCACATACTTTTGCTGGGAGGTAGGAAATCAGACCTTGACCAACTTGTTTGAAATAGCGTCTTGATTCTTGCCTCGGTCCCTCAGACCTGCCGCGCTAAGCCCCTTCAGGTTAGCGGGTCGACTGCACAGCTTTACGGCGGCAGGTCTGAGTGCAGAGCCACGTATTTTTGTTCAGGTTTCGCGGTTTTTTTGATTATTAATTTCGCGAAACGATCAGCCTTCTACCTGCAAGAAAACATCTGTTTTTAAGTTTAGTGTCCTTTGACATAACAGGAAGAGCCGGGGTAAATTACATTTTCATACCCCTCCATCAAATCTTGGGGTATGAATCGGTAATTTGCCACTCCTTGGGGTATGAATAAGTATTTTATTAAACTACCTCTTTGGGGGGCGTCAAAAGTCATCATCCTCCGAGGTAATCCCGGCTACTACTGGCTTCCCCATCAAAATATTATTATAAATATTTCTATATCGTCAACTATGGAGCATAATATATCCCCTTATATATCTACACGTAGCCTTTATCGTTAAGAAGCTACTACGCGTAAGAAAGCTAAATTCTTTAAAGCCGTTAATACTCGGGATCGTGGAAAACGATTAAAGATGTATGCGTCGAGAAGGATATTTCATATAATATGGGCAAGACTTGGTTAAGAATTAGAAAACTTAAGGGCTCCCCGGTACCAGAAAGCTTGGAAAATAGCGTTTCGAATATCCCTCTAAAGTCACTTAAGCTATATACGATATTTTACGAGATATAAATAATTCTATTCGTAATTAACTAATAAAACGTCAAGTCAGATATTATAAGATTCTAGTTTATCCTCGAATTATTCAACGAAATGCGTTAAAGTATACTAAAAATGCTTAAATATATAAGTAATATTCAATTAAATAAGTATCTAATCTTAATATAGAAAAAGATTAGACTACGAATACGATTATAAGAATAATACTATAGAGAATTACTAGCAATTTATTATATAAATAAATAAAAAATATTAAAACGTTAGATTTATATAATAGGGTCGTACTTTTTAAGACGCTAATATTGCTAAAAAGCCTGAAAATATATAATCTATACCTCCAAAATAAGATATTACAATTTATATATCCGCGGATATTTCTTAGAATTATAAAGATAAATTACGATTCTATTATAACGAGCTTAATCGCTCTCGAATTATAGTAGAAAAACCTTTAAAGCTATATTAACGTTCTCGAAATAAAAATAAAGAGAAATATTAGAAGCGTATACGATAATGGAAAGCTACTATATCTTACGATCCTATTATAAAATCTATTAGAAATAGTATAATAATGAAATATTATACTACGTATTAACTTTCGAATTATTATAACTCGATAAATTAACTATAAATTATATATAAATATAATATTTTATAGAAAGACGGTAATTTAAGTTACGAAATAAAAAAAGTAAGAAAGATAAGAAAGTTAATATAGAAAATATAGTCACGTAGCTAAAAATTAATTATTAGATCGAGACTCTTAATTACTCTACTTAATCACTTAATCTTAATTTAATAGAGAATATCTAAAATCTTCTAAATAAATGAGTATATTAAAGAAAGTAGAATAATTAATACGAGCTTTATATCGTAATCTTGAAGAAATAAAAGCGGATTAAACTTAGTAAAATTTAGATTAGAATTACTAAAATATCTTAATAATATTATATACTACGTGAGGGTAATTATAATAAGCTTATTAAATTAAAGCTATGATAGAAATATATATATTCGAGTGATAGAAATAATGTATATAGTAGAAAGCCAGTAGTAGCCGGGATTACCTCGGAGGATGATGACTTTTAACGCCCCCGGTAAGTCCTTCTTTGCCCGGCCCCCGGCCCCCTCCTTTAAGCCCACCCCAACCAAACCAACCCCCCCAAAAAAACCCCCCCCCAAATTTATCGCGGGTTGCGGTTAAGTGGGAGCCCACCTCGACCCCGAAGCGAGGTGAGGTTTCGACGGGTTACAAAGCGAACCCTAGAGACCTCCCTTCGTCAATAGATTTCACAATTAGAAAGATTCTAATATGCGATAGCATGTCTAATAGAAGTAAGATCCTAATACTATGTTTTAGAATAATAGAATAATACAGTATAGAAGCAGAAAAGTATAAAGTCGTATAAGCTAATTACATATTCATATTCATACCCCAAGGAATGGCAAGTCACTGATTCATACCCATTTGGTGGAGGGGTATGAATTTGTAATTTACCCGGAAGAGCCGATTCGTTCTGGTCGATAGTCACGACGATATGCGTAAATGAAAAGAAAGAGAGCCTTCTCCTCTTGCGAATCGAGCTTCATCTCTATACATGACTTCTGCTAAATTCTGTTATAGCGATTGAGTGATTACGGAAGGAGGGGGACTGGATCGCAGCTACCGATGTCAAAACACTCATTTGGCACCATCGTGCTTAGAGATATCTCCTTAAATAGCTAGTAGACTGGTTCGGTGTCTCCCGTTGCGGGCGTGAAGCCATGAAGTCGAATCCAAACTCATTAGAGGATAGTTCTCCTTGGTAAGTTCGAGGACCCGTGGATAACAATATCATCGTCAAAAATGGGATCTGAGCGTACATGGCAGTGGTGGGAAGATGTGGCCCTTGAATAAATGATATTCGTTAGATACATGTAGATATGAGATTGAGCCCACTGTCTCCTCCATGTATCGTCTGTAAAACTCCTCTGTAAATGTACACAAACAGCACGCTTGCTGCCAGAGAGTGACAGTAGTGTGTGCAAGCAAACTTCCGCATCCTCGAGATCGCTTGACCAATCCTTCCACCCTCTTTCACCTCCCGAGGACAAATAGCAAACGAGCTCGACTAGTAGACATACACCGCAGTCAGTCAATACCAGAAGCTCTGTAAGCGTGTCCCGTACAGCGAAGCCCAGTCACCGCGGATGGTGCAGAGGGTGAGAGATCGCTGTTTCGAGTGTAGCCGAAGCTCTGCAAGTATGGCCCAATTTTTTCAAGTAAATTTCTCATGATTGGCCGGTAGCATCATCCAGTAGCTCAGAAGCGTAGACATACACCGAAGTCAGTCAATACGAAGAGCACACAGCGGATCTCGTAGTAGATGAGTGGAGGATATTCTGAAGAGAGGGGTCTCGGTGCTGCCAATTTGGTATGAGCTAGGGTGGGAGGTGAGCATTATGCCATCGTCGCTTCGCGGGATACTACGCTTAGTATCATGGGAATGGTGGCGGCAACAACAAATCTAACAGGTCTAGTGTTCAGTATACCGGTCGACAAAGCATCTTGGGTGACCCTGAATTAAGCAGCCAAGTCTCATCGACTCCTTCGTGGCGCGGTATGGTTGTGGTCCTAAAGAGTGTATGCGACCATAGCTGTGGATACCAGATCCCCCTTTTGACTCGATGTCTTCCGAGGCGTCCTGCCAGACTCTCGGAGCCCAGTCCTGGAGATGAGAGCCAATGCGAGGCCTTTCAGAGATGTATTAGAGACCAGCTCTATTGTATCGTACTCGCAAGCTTGACGCACATAGTAGCTCAACCACTCGAGCAAGGGAGCAGGGGCCCCAGAGAGTGAAGAGTAGATAGAACCTATCCACTGGTACTGGAGATCGACAAGCAGTCAAAAGGAAAACGGTCGGACTTTGCTCGGCAGGCCGACTACGGGAGTTGTACGAGTTCCGCAGGACCTTCTCCCCTAGTACGCATTTTGTGAGTAGACGGTGCTGCTGGGCGCCGTTTTTCCTGCCGGGATTTTGAGATCCTTGAGTTCCCTTTGACAGCGGGTGTCTTCTTTTGCTTCGGGGGTTTCTCGGCCAGCTTTCCTTTCGCAGGCGGGCAACCTCGAGGACGCACAGAGGTTATGGCGTCTGCATCATTTGCGGCTGGCTTGGGTTTGAAGGATGGGCGCCCTCGAGAGCGCTTGGGGGGTGAGGCAGTGATATCCTGCATGGCTGGCTTTGCCTTGGTGGCCGGGCGGCCTCGCGAACGCTTGAAGGGCGCTGAGCCCTCATCTTTGACAGCTGGCTCCTGTTGAGCGCCTGATGCTGTCACAGCTTCCTTTTTCCGAGTCAGCCTGCCGGCTGCGTGAGCTGTCCCTGCCACTTCTCGCATCTGGTCTCCAAGGCCCCGGTGCTCAGAATCAACCTTGTCGGCCAAAGACTTCCGAGTACTCTTGTTGACTTTGGGCGATACCGTAGTCGATTTTCCAATTCTGTTGGTGGGAGTGACGTGTGGTAATTTCTGACGCCTTCTCGGCTCTGCGGTAGGCTTGATACATTGGCGGGGATCCATTGGAGGCGAGCCTGTCATCGATATCTCAGGACTTGCTGGAGTCTCTTGATTGGCGTCGTCATATCGTTCAACCTGTGGGTCATGTAGGTCCCAAAAGTCGTCTATTGTCATACCCACTGGTTTAACCCCCCAGAATTTGTGCTTGAGATCGTAAGTGCGAGTGTAGACTTTCATTTCTGTTTCCTCCGTCGCACCGTATATGCCTTTGAAGCCATCCAGAGGCATAGCCCAAGCTCGGGCCCCCCATGCTCGTCGCTTTTCAGCAAGCCCAGCTTCGACCGCTTTTTTACGATTCTCTGCGGTGTCCATTCCGGCTTCCGCTTCTAATCTTTGGGCTTCGATGTGGGCATTCACAGCTGCCATGCCTTTCTTCATTTCCGGATCCATTGGGACCATTCTTGGGGGGTTTTCGCGTGGATAGCCGATGCTTCCTAATAGATGGCGACCCAGATCCCCAACTTGTTCGGCATCCATTGTGAAATTCGATTCGAGCTGAGTTGCGACTCAGTTGACGTACAGATTGTTCTGATCGAGATCGGGGCAGATGCGGTAAATCAGCCTTGAGCAAGCTACGCTGGTGCACTTAAGTTTGATGATGTTCGATTACCGAGCGATGGCCCAAGTATCTTTTCGAGTGGTGAAGGAAGATATGATATTTGTCTGGCAGCAGGAGCATGCAACAAGCACCACAAAAAGAGATGTGTTGGAATGAGCTGAATAAGCTGTTGTGCGACTCTGTCTGTGGCAGTTTCAAGGTGAGGAGAGAAGATAATGGAGCACCTTTATTGTCTACGTGATAGCTTTGGTTTACTATTTCCTATTCGCATCAAGAATAGAATGAACAAGACAGAAGGGAAGAGTGCTTGTCGGGCTTCTCTGGTGACCTTTCAGCAGGCCCATGGAGCTAGCAGTCTTGGCAGCGGCATCGTTTCATCTAGCGCCGCCCCTTAGCCTATAATTAACCGTCTAAGGTAAGGTACCTGAGTACTTATTGGTGTCAACAAATCACATCACTAATTACATTTGACAGAATTTCATCAATTCCTTTCTGATGGGCGCCTGCGTACATTCAAAAGATCCGAGGCCAGCCTATCATTTCCAATCATGGTGAAACACACTCTATACTCTCACTTGCATTTGAGAGGTCCATGGTGTCTACATTACTGGCTGCTTGCGATTCCTAGGGTCAATCTGCCTATTCGAAACGCTAAACTTCGAATGCAAGTAACGGTGAGTAGGAAAGATCGCCCAACCACTTCGGGTTCCCTGCCTCAGTCGTGTTTTACAATGCATCAAATTCTAAATATATATTATAATAAGCTGTCACGCGAATCATGAGTACCTAAGTTCTTCTATCCATCTTCGTCCGAGACCATATACTGTGTATGAACGTCGAGCTAATTGGATGAGCTAAAGCCCGTCATGTTATGGTCCCTCCCTTCTGTGGAAATTGCTCAGACAGAGTCTTCACGCCGATCATCGCGGCCTACCGCCATGAATCCATCCGCAGCCGCAGCCTTTAAATTAACCTCGCATTTGGTACGTGACTTATAGCTCCTGAAACGATTCGTATTCAGTGCTTCTGAGCCTTTCATTCCCTAGCTCCATAGGATGATCTAACACGTGACAACGATTCTTGCGCTCCCATCTGTCTCCATATGAATATCTTCCGTCACGGCATTTCTGCTTCTCATTGTTGCATATCATTTGGGTGATCTAGAACTCCTACCCTTCGCCTCAGAACCCAATTGTTTGACCTTCACCTATCGAAACTTGAATCTGGAGGCCGCAGGCCTCCAAAGCTCTGTCCGTCCCCAAAACTTCTGCCCCCCTCTCAAAGCTCTGTCTGCCCAAAGCGCTGCCTGCGGGCCTCCAGAAGTGTCCAGCTGCAACCGAACCAATATCACAATGGCCGAGACTAACCCGAGGGGCGACGTTGGTCAACCGGATGCCCTCTCTACTGCGGTTGTGGCTCTCTACCTTACTGAGGAGACAGGCCTACCGTGCAACACAAAGGACTATGAGATAACCGCCCTCGAAGTAACGAACTCCACAGGAGCTCCAGTGGAAAGGCGGGCGTTACGGGTTACATTCGATGAGAACACTTCTACCAAGCAGCAACGTCACCTGCTCACATTTGGATCTGATGATCAACAGTGTATCGTCATCCTCAAGGCAACTGAGGCGAGTCCGATTCACTGCAAAATCTACGCCCAACTAAACTCTGGCGCCAATGTCTGGGTGATAGAGGATACCTCTGACCATGGAACCGAATACGTGGACGAAGAATCACGACTCACCGGCATATCCAAAAAAGTCGTCGGTCGCAGAGTCGCAGCGCATGGACTGTGTCGCATCCGAGTTGGACGTAATATCTTCACCATTTGGTCGCCCTCAGATCAACAGGAGAAATCTCGGCGTGAGCGTTGGTTCCAGGACCTTGACCCCATTCTTGTTACTGAGGATCTCCTACGAGAACAGCTCCATGGCGTCGCAGCAGACTACCGCCCATTAGGTGTCATCGGCCACGGTGGGATGGGCGAGGTGTTTCAGTACATGGAACTGACGACTGGCCTTATGATAGCTGTCAAGGAAGAGGAGGTGAAAAGCAAGGAGACAGATGAGCGCATTAAAAAAGAAATTGGGTACATGCAGACTTTAAAACATGTAAGTCGGACCGGACGATCCATCATCTTGAATCATCTACTGAGTCTATATAGCCAAACCTCGTTCAGTATATTACTAGCAGGCCTACTACAAATGCAGGGGTCAAGAAATGGCATACGGCTATGCCGTTGTACCAAGGACGGCTATTGGATCTATTGCCTCTTGAGGTCACTGCTATTGAGGACGTCATGCTTCAACTGTTTGATGCCGTAAGTTACATGCACAGACAACGGGTCCTACATAAAGACATCAAGCCCGAAAACATTCTTGTGAAAGGAAAATCACGGCCAGATATCGTTCTGGCGGACTATGGAATATGCGCATCTCTGAACAACCGGGCTGAACTCATGGCACCCACTGGCACCCCCGGATTCGCCGCACCCGAAGTCTCGCGGATGGTCGTGCAAACACCGGCTGGTGATGTATTTTCACTAGGGGCTACTTTCTTCTTCGTCTTGGAGCCAGAGAGGTGCAACGGGCAGCGGGCCACTATTGCAACTCTGGAGAACGTTATGCGTCGTCCACCAAAAGTATATGGCGGTCTCGTGCAGAGTATGATGGCTCATGACCCAAGAGAGCGCCCATCCCTGAAAGAATGCTCCGAAATTGTGAAAGCAAAACAACGTGGTTGGAAGAAACGGACTCCCTTGGTCCTACTGCCATCACCTGTACCCTCCGCTTCTGGCCCACGTCGGAGTCAGAGAGTTCAGAATGCCATGGTACAGGATCCCCCTATTCTTGACTTGGCGAGATTCACTGCTCGCAAGCCCAGGCTTGCGCCAATTGTGGAGAACAGACAGCATCAAATACCAGCAACGCTTAACTTCAAAGCTTGGGATCAGGTCGGGAGAATACAGGGATCAAAGGCATTGAACCCACCAACAGCGCCATTGCGCAAGCCTCAAGTACCTGCTCCGGTGCAGAGAGTCGACTTCTCCGTTCCTCCACCATCCATCCCATCCAACCTCTTCGCAAACCCGGATCGAGGTTCTGTATCAAACATTGCCCTCCCAGCCCGCCGGCAAGCAGCCCCAGCAAATCACGAACCAGCTCGCACCCCTATCCATAAACCCGACAACGACGTTAAACGCAAGATCCGCCGTGGTTGCGAACGCCGCAAAATGATCGAACGCTGGCACAGCATCCGCGTTCAGAAGAACAAAGTCTGCCGCGCCGCTGGGGAACTCGCATCCGGAACACCACTGAACATCGCCCGTGGTCTACGCGATATAACGAATGGCGGTCTCGGCTTCACGGGTCAATACCTAGGACTGATCTTCACGGATCTGGCCGCCGCAGCGCCCGCACTTCGCCACATAGCTCCACAGACCAGCAGGTGGGGCTTGAATACCAACAAACGCTTGATGTACGGCTTGAAGTCCCAGAGCCTCTGGCCCATGACGCCGGAAGAGTTTGAGGCGGAGCGGCTGCAGTCGGACTTGAACTTCCCGAATACGACCGAGGGCAAACGCTTCCAAGCCAGGTTGGATGCACAGGCGGAATACTGGCGACGGGAGCAAGAAAGGACACGGGCTGCAGAACGGGAAATGGAGAGGCGGGAGGCACCTCGAATGGGTCGGCTGCCTCAGTGCGTGCCTCGTGGCAGGTAGTGAGTCGTTCTCTTCTGACGGTCCTTGGCGAGGGGAAGTATGAGGAAGAGGGGTGCTTTTTATCGAAGGTACGATTTGTTCAAGGGTTAGCGAGTGACATTTCTCATTCTTTTAAAACTGCATGCATAGCGTTTGTGCGAATATGGGAGGGGGTCCAATGGCAATGGGCGTGGATGGATATGCGAATCAACGAACGACAACTGCCATTATTTCTATTCCATGTACAACGTTGGCCAGAGTGGAGCGGGATGTAGTTTGAGTTTGGCCACCAAAACACTCCTTTCGTCTGATTACGATTAGATAGTACATTCATTTTCAGCGGGATGGGTTAGATAGAATCAACGAATGTCATTCATTACTACCTGAGCATGCTAATCTTTCTCCAACCTCACGGCCGGATTACTCTCCACGAAATTCAAGTCCACTTTGTGCCCCAGCAGCTCTCGGATGTTCCTCACGCCGTATTTTATCATGGTTGGTCTCTCTAAACTCAATCCCCAGCCGTATATCCTCATATCTGGCGGCAGACCCATAGGCTCTAACATCTCGGGTCTGAACATGCCGCTGTTGCCAATCTCCACCCACTTATCCAGTCCCTCGTGGAAACCAAAGATCTCCATGCTGGGTTCGGTGTAGGGGTTGTAGGCGGGCTTGAAACGCAAGCGGTGGATGCCCATTTTCGCGAAGAAGACTTCCATGAAGCCTATGAGACCTCCTAAGGTTAAGCCGTAGTCGGCAATGACTCCCTCGACTTGGTGGAATTCAGCGAGATGTGTAGCGTCGACGCTCTCGTTGCGGAAGACGCGGTCGATCGAGAAGTAGCGTGCGGGCCGGGGATTGGCGGCGAGTTTATGGAGCATGTAGGTCGAGATAGCCGTGGTGTGAGTGCGGAGGACGAGTTTGAGGGATTCGTCGTCATTGTAGGGATAGCGATAGCCTATGGAGCCATACTTGCCAGTTTCGTGGACCTCTTTCACGTTCTCGAAATATTGCTCGTAGTCTTGCTTAGGCTTCTTTGGTAAAGGTTCGGATGCTGATCCATTGGGGAGGTGTTGGGTTTCTTGGGGGTCTTCGCGGGGTCTGTCGGCGTAGGGTGGGTCGGAGATGAAGAAGGTATCTTGTTGATCGCGGGCGGGATGTTGTTGGGGGACGAAGAGGGCGTCGAAGTTCCAGAAGCCGGTCTCGACATACCTAGTAGATTCAGTAAAGAGTGTGCATTGAAGTCGGGCCGCATATACCGGTTTGTTGGCATTTCCTCGAAACCCATTTCAAAGAAGATCTGTCGGAACTCGTGCCGTACTTTGTTCACTATTGGCGAATGTTAGCCAGACCAGCCTCTTTCTCTGCTGATGTGAGCAGTGAGGGTCCGTACGAGGATGTAGAGCCCCACTACCGGTTGGGGCACCCATAGATTTGAAATTGTATGGCTTGAAGCTGACCGTGTTCCAGGTCCCACTGCATGGTATCAGCTCTTCTGTTACGCCATGGCACAAGCGGGAACCCTCCTACCTAGCCAGCATTTCTGCCGTCAAATCTGTCTGCTCTTTGACGAATTGCCTTGCAAACTTCGGTCCTTTGCTAAGTTTGTAGCTTATGACTTTGTGCATAGTAACCAACTTTCGCTTCTTTAGGTCGTTGAGAATCTTAGGATCGGGGTGTGTGCGAGTGCTTTGTATTGTTTGGAGTTGTTCGCGAGATGTGTCTGTTATCGACTCTCTCTAAAAAAGCTGTCAGCTGTGCGTCTTAAAACGAAAGCTTTTGCCCTTACATTGGCCCTCAGAATGTCGTTGTCCTTCTTAATCCAGCCCTCTTTGAAAGCTTTACCCCGGCCGATCTTTGCGCTCTCCTGGCCAACAGCTTTCTGCCAACGTGGTCAGCACACTATGATGTACATCACTTCCAGTCGACCTGGCATACAGTTGAGCCAACGTACTGGCAGATCCGAGATCTTCATCCCCTCCACAGCTTGTAGCACCGCCTCGAACACCTTGGCCTCATGACTACCATTGGCGGCGATATCCTCAGCTTCGGGGGTCAAAATAGCTTCGTCTTTGTCCAGCGTCTCATAGGCCACCATCTCTCGAGACTTCAGCCTGTCTAGGGCACTTTTGATTTCCGACGAAGGCGTGGAAGGGAAGGCATCGGTGCTCAGGATTGGTTCGTCGGTCTGGGACAGGACGTCCAACACCTTCGCAGTAAGGTCCGTCGCCATGGCGGAAAACGTAGTATATTACACTATGGAAGTGGGTCTGTCCTGTCCGTTTTTGCGTCCATTGTGCGTATTACGGTAGTCAACCTTGTTGACTCAAAGCTTCCACGAACATCTGATGCCAAGACCATATTGAAGCTAGTATCAAAGCAGCGTCTGCAGCCGAGCGGCGGAGGTCTCATGCAAGATCGGAGAGTCAAAGTGTCCTCCTTGCATCCTACAGCGAGCAGGTCCAATTCACGTTGCTTCTCTTTGCTTTACCATTCCTACGCTGGCATGCAATGTTCAGTCCTTACCCAGTACGCGCCCTTCCCATGTCTTTAGTTCCTCGCCTGTCCCTCTGTGATGCCCCTACGTTGCTGGAAGTCAGAGGGCAGTCGCATTACTCGCCTTCAAGGACTGTTTTTGCTACCATGTCTCCTCGTGGTTTGCCTCTGGGCAGACGGCGGTTGGACCATGACCGATGGCGAAATCAAAGGAATGAGGTACGAGCAGTAACAATCCTCAACGCTGCCTAGCTAATGACCGACCACAGACTTGAGGCTGAGCATATGTTCTATCATGGTTTCGACAACTACATGAAGCATGCTTTCCCAGAGGATGAGCTGAAACCTATCTTTTGCGGACCATTGACGCGGGATCGCGCCAACCCTGCCCACATTGAGCTTAACGATGCCCTGGGAAACTATTCCTTGACTCTGATCGATAGCCTCTCCACACTGGCTATACTGGCGTCATCGCCGTCGACAATTGGAAGCAAGAATAAGGCGATGACCAAATTTCAGAAAGGTGTCGGAGCTCTGGTCGAGCAATATGGCGATGGATCTAGCGGCAAGGCTGGAAAAGGCAAACGTGCAACAGGCTTCGACGTAGACAGCAAGGTTCAGGTGTTTGAAACGGTCATTCGAGGTGTTGGCGGACTTTTGAGCGCACACCTTTTCGCGGTTGGAGATCTACCCATCGAAGGCTACCATCCAAAGGATCAAAGCTCCAGCCAGAATGATCGCGGCGCAGAGCAGATGCTTCCGATCCAGTGGCCAAACGGGTTTGTCTATGACGGGCAGCTTCTACGGCTTGCCCAGGACCTTGCTCGCCGCACATTACCAGCGTTTCATACTACAACCGGTATCCCATATCCCCGAGTCAACCTTCGGCATGGTGTGCCATTCTACGTCAATTCTCCCCTTAACCAGAATGCCGAGACTGGTCAATGTCAAGCAACCCAGAATTCGAAAGCAGAATTGACCGAGACATGCAGTGCAGGAGCTGGTAGTTTGGTCTTAGAGTTCGCAACTTTGAGCCGGTTGACAGGCGATCCGCGTTACGAACAACTTGCAAAACGAGCCTTTTGGTCGGTCTGGGAGAGGAAGAGTAGCATTGGTCTTGTTGGTGCTGGCATTGATGCTGAGTCTGGGCTGTGGTTGAGTGGTTATACAGGCATAGGTGCCGGTATCGACAGCTTCTACGAATACGCACACAAAGCTAGTGTCCTCCTTTCCGGCTCGCCACTGCCAAGGGACCAATCTCATAATCTGACGGAAGGAACTCCGACCTCAGTACACACGAAACCAGTGCCCGAAGGACAGCAAACAGCTGAAGCATTCGGTCGTGTCTGGCAGGAATCGCATGCTTCCATCAAACGGCACCTTTACCGCGGAGATATGTACATACACCCTCATTACGTGCAAGCCGACCTCTACACCGGTGCGTCTCGAGCTTTCTGGCTTGATAGTCTGAGTGCTTTCTATCCTGGCTTACTCGCCACGACCGGCGATCTCGAAGAAGCAACCCAGACGCATCTTCTCGCCACCGCACTTTGGACTCGCTACTCAGCCTTGCCAGAGAGATGGTCAACATCGACCGGTAGCATCGAAAGTGGCTTGAGCTGGTGGGGAGGGAGACCTGAGTTTATTGAGTCCACCTATCATCTCTATCGCGCAACTCACGATCCCTGGTATCTACATGTTGGCGAGATGACTCTTCGAGACATCAAGAGGCGTTGCTGGACGAAGTGTGGCTGGGCTGGTCTACAGGATGTACGAAATGGCGACCTCAGCGATCGGATGGAGAGCTTCTTTCTTGGGGAGACGACCAAGTACCTGTTCCTGCTCTTTGATGAGGATCATCCGCTGAACAAGCTTGATGCACCTTTCGTATTTAGCACTGAAGGTCATCCACTAATCCTTCCCCGTCGGATCAGTGAAAGATCTGCGTACTCAAGAAGCCGGCAAACTGGGATGTACAGTAAAGGTGATGGCGACGATTCTCAAGGTGCTCTCACTTGTCCCATGCCGCCAGCAATGCTTCCATTCAGCCTTTCTGCCACAGCTGCCAGGGCTGATATTTTCCATGCTGCGAACCTTGCGCGTCTGCACCTAATGCCGACACGAGATAACGTGGAGTCGCCACTCGCTGAGTACTCTCGTGACCACCCAAGCATATCTATATCGGATGTACGGTCGCCATCTAATTACACATATTTTCCGTGGACGTTACCATTAGAATTAATCCCTCACAATGCTACTTGTTCCAAAATAACAGCTAAACATACTTTCGACATAACGTTTCCCACGGGACCCAACATGTTGATGGGTCCTGGCTTCCTTCAGCGCGTTGGCAATGGGATTTTAATCAATTCCATGGGCGGTGTGCGACTTGGTATGATCCAAGATGTGCCTTTCGAGACTGACGATGGTGCAATCGGCAAAGAATACAGGGTCCAAGCAATCAACAACATTCTTCTAGGCAAGGATGAACGAATCTTCATCGCCAAAGATACTGCATCCAATGTAGTCAACCCTCTAGATCCGAACTTCACAAGAATCCGTGACACCTCCATGCTCGACCTCATAGTCGACGTTCAACCATCTGAAGAGGCTGAACCCAAAGGACCCACTAGTGATCCAGTCGATAACAACGAAAGCTCAACCTCTGGCTCAGAGCTGGTCCTCGACGCCTCCATAGCAGCTAAAGCCGAAGTCGCTTCGAACATGAAACAAGCCTTCAGCTCCCTCCTGCAGCATGTCGCCTCCTTGATCGTCGACCCAACTCCGGCCCCTCCTTTACCCAAGCTGAAACACTCTCCACGCGAATACGTTGCTGCCATATTACCCGTAGGCGTTGGACTGGCACCCTTACCAGACGTCGACGATGCCTTAGGGCCAGACATTCACGGCGCGCCTCAAGGTGACGTCCCGTGGCACAGCATCTACGTCACCAACGAGAACTGCAAGAGCAGACTCCCCGCCTCCGTACCAAAGGAACATCAAGTCATAGTCATCAAGCGCGGCGGCTGTAGCTTTGACGAGAAATTACGCAATATACCCATTTTCGCCCCATCGAAGAAGTCATTACAGCTCGTCATCGTAGTCAGCTACGAAGATGAGCCAGGCCTACCTTCTGGGTGGCTGATAAGGCCTTTGCTGGAGAGTCTACAGACAACGGCTAGTGGGCTGCCAAGGCACCATCCGATCGCGATGATTATGGTGGGAGGAGGGGACAGGACTTATGAAATCTTTGAGAGAGCTGTGGGTTTGGGGATAAAGAGGAGGTATTCGGTACAGGCGCAGGGTGTTCCGATCAGCAATTTGGTGATATTATGACCATGATTTGACTTTTTTGGGACCTTTTCATAATCTGTATTAAATATGTCTGCATGATACATGTTTTTGGAATATACAGTTGAATGTACGAATGACGTCTTTCACATGATTGCCTGCGGCCTCTTCAGTGAGTGTGCAATAGCCGGAAATTCATGAAGCTAAGCCTATATATTTCTGATAAATAAACTTACAAAGAATACGAAGTAACGTCTGAAGAATATGTGTCCATGGATGAAAGCCATGTAAGCAGAACCTGAATCTGCTGGAGAACAGGTACTCGAAATGAAGTCTACAGATATGTGAGATGGTGTGCAAGGCCCATGTTAAAAAGGGGGTTCAAGCCATCTAGAATGATGAATGGTAGGCGCCTGCCAGTGCCTTCAATCTAGTGCATATGCCGCAGCTGGGGACGAAGGAGCGAAATGCAGCAAAGTGTAGCGAACGATGGCTGTGTGAATTGTTTGGTGTGATATAATATGAATAATGGTTTATATGAGTGGGAAATGTGGACTACATAGGGCCGCCAAGACCTGTGCCAAGCAAGGGCCCATGGCCAAGACTGGTTACTTGATAAAGAGAGGACACCAATCGATCTAGCGATATCCGGCCAAGCGGAAGGATCTATCGGTGTCCTCGTTTCATCAAGTAACTCACTTCTGGACAACAGGAGTAGGTAGAAAGCATGACATGGACGGCCGCCAAGACCTACGCCAAGCAGAAGTCCATGCCAAGACCTATGCCAAGAGTCTTGGTAGGTAGAAACCATGAACACAAATGGTCCAAATGATGACAGTCAGGCATAGTACGAAGCGGCTTGGGGGAGCATGGCCTGACGAGATGAATTGTAGGATCCATGGGTGCTATATGGAGTGAGTAGGACCTACCAGTGAGCAGAGACGAAGGTGGGATGTGACGCCAGCGAAGAGTCGCTGGTATGAGTGATAGAAGTAGGGAGCAGCGTGCGGTGGATCTAGAAGAGACATGGATGCTGGCGCGTCCAGCAGTGATGTGAACCGGATGATTCTGCCGGAGCCAGGGCCCTTTGCGATAGAGAATTCTCAAGATACTATGGAGAGGTGTATGTCACTTCCACGCGTTGTGCTAGACAATAGAGGTTGTTCTACGCGACAGTGCGAGACGAATGGGGGAGCGCGATGACCTAAGAGGATAAAATGCTGCGCAGTCTTTAGTCTATGACCATGCGTGTCGATCTTCGCCGATAATCGTGCGCTCCAAGTATGATGGCCGAGATCACGTGATATGTTGGCCATGGGATGGATGGTCACAAAATCCTTCATTCTGAGTCGGATTCATCTGCAGGCTGCAGTGCCAACTCGGTTTCCAGCGTAGAGTCGCGGAGCGGTGGAGGATAATTGATGAGTCCATGGTGGGGTAAAATCGGGGTGGGCTGTAAAGTAAGACCGTGCCTGATTGGCTGGATTCGCTTACCCTAGCCGGTTTTGAACAACAAAACCCGGGCCCCCCTCCCAAATTTTTCTCTTCTTCCTTTTGTTTTCATCCTTTCCACGGTGGTCTACCTGGATACCATCACCCACTATTAGCATTTGTGGGCCATCAAAGATCATCAAAATCTATCATCGATCCTTACATACCTGTTTCGAGTATCACCCTCCCTTTCTTGGTCCGTGTCCTATTCCTCGCCGTCTCATACTCCACCCTCCCATTTCATCCGCCCCAACCATGTCGTCGACCACCCCGACCATCAACAAGACAACTTCCATCAACCAAAACTTATTGACTCAATTCGTCAAAACCAAAAAGAGTAAACATTCGAAAGAAGTCATGATTCACCAATCAAGGGCGACGCCGCCGCCAGATGACTTCGTGCTCTTTCCACAAGAGGTAATTAAGGAGAAGCATTCGAGTATCAGAGCTGCCAAATCATGCCAACCTACCGCAACAAAAAGCGCAAAAAGTTCGTCGTCACCGATGCCTCGACATCACGTCATTGAGCCCAAGTCAGCCACAGCTTCACGGCGAGAAGCTCGCAGGCCCTCGAGACGACCAGTATGCTTGGAACATATGTCGACAGTCAATTGTACTGTCGACTGCGCCAACGCCAAGCCACTGGCGCATCTGAAGATGCCGCCTAAGGCGCCATCACCACCGCGCCTGCCCACGCCTGATCTATCTGACCTTGAGGACGATGATCTCTGGTCTTGCTGTGGATCGTCTTGGTCTTCTTTGAGTAAGGAGAGTATTCGCTGCAACCGTAACGCTGACATCATGTGGGATGAAATGGGTGCGTCATCCAATCCTTGGCATCAAGGCAACAGAATTCGCTGACGATACTGAAGAAGGGAAGCTGACGAAAGGAAAGGCATGGCAGAGTAGAAGCAGCAGTGATGCGAGAAAAGCGGCACTCAAAAGAGATTGCTGATTTGGGGGCAGGATCTGGAGAGAGCTCGGCGCTATTTATAACTGGATGGATACGAGCAGACGATTTCCCTATATATAGCTGGATTCGTTTCTTTCTCAAGTATTATGAGGTCATGGTAGAGCGATGTCAATAGCTGTCAGAAGTATTAGAACATACCAGTAGTGGAAAATGGACTGCCATCCTAAAGCGTGCAAGTTCAGGACCGATGGCGTCCCTTGGAGTCCGAGTCGTATCCTCGCCAATCTATGGTCGCAATCCGATGCAATCTTAGGCTCTAGGGTCAAAGAAGCATCACACTGTATGTTCGGAGGATTCTAAGTCAAAATCGATGGAATTTGAAAGAATTGTCTTTGCTCATGGTATGAGGTGATGTTGAAGCTCAATGTACTATTTCTGTTTAGGCTTGGTGTCACTCTAGCCCGTGCGAGCATAGCGCGAAATTCTACCCGAAGTCTTTCACACAAAGATCTAGCATTATCGACAACCACAAAGACTTCATTTTCCTTTTCTACGAACAGTGAATCAAGATGGCTAAGAGAGGGTACGCACGGCTATCAACATATCCGCCATAACAGGCTCCTAGCTGACTTGAATACCTACAGACGCGGTGGTGCCTCGGGCAACAAGCTCAAGATGACTCTCGGTCTCCCAGTGTACGCACCACTTCCTACCAATAGCGCCCAATGCCTGCACTCTAGATCTAGACTGACTTGGCTTCCACAGCGGCGCTGTCATGAACTGCTGCGACAACTCCGGCGCACGAAACCTCTACATCATCTCCGTCAAAGGCATCGGTGCCCGTCTCAATCGTCTTCCCGCTGCTGGTGTTGGTGACATGGTGATGGCTACAGTCAAGAAGGGAAAGCCTGAGCTGCGAAAGAAGGTCATGCCGGCTGTGGTGGTACGGCAGAGCAAGCCGTGGAGGAGGGCGGATGGCGTCTATCTGTACTTCGAGGATAATGCTGGTGTGGTGAGTGATCATCCTTGTGTGGATGTGAATCTTAAGGCTACGAGACTGTCGAGATTGCTTTGGTGGACCTTATACGAGAAGAGATGGGATCAGCGGCAAGATTGGCATGACTGCAGCTGGGACGTTCCAACGGTCAATCGCGGCCTTTGAGCAATGACACGCTGACGCAGCTATCCTACAGATTGTCAATCCAAAAGGTGAAATGAAGGGGTCGGCTATCACAGGTCCCGTAGGAAAGGAGGCGGCAGAGCTGTGGCCGGTATTTACTTACCCGTCCACCGTGCGAAGCTTCTGCTAACAAGCATCCAGCGTATTGCAAGCAATTCGGGTGTCGTGATGTGAGGATGGTGAATTGCATGGAACAGCAAGAACGAAGATGAGCACTGATAGCTTGATATAGCCTCTGCCGTGTCTAGACAGCTCAAATCAATGGAGATGTTTGCAAACGGAGGCGCTGTCACCAGCTGTGTCTCTGTCTATTGTGCATCAATGCGATTCTGTGGGGCCAATTGCTGAATTGCCAATGGATGTAGAGCGCCATAGTAGAGCAGCCATGAGCTGTTAATAGGCTTGATTGTATAGTGTAGATTTGGAGCTAGCAATGCGATCGCCAGCTGAAGCTCTGTCCAACATCTTAACTTCTCCCCTGAGCTTCACCCACAATCCAACCTACACACATGTACAGGTAGGAAATTATTCTTCATGCATCAAATCTTTATAGCTATCTGCTGTATCCTCTACACAGTTGCAAATCTATCGACATGCTACCTGTATCTCTACCCGCTTCTCAAAGGCTGCAGCTTCCCGACTCCACCCGCCCAACAGGACGCCCAGACCTCCAATAGCTACATCGCAGGCCAAGTCCCACCTTTCCGTCTCCTTGTACTCGGAGACCCCCAGTTAGAGGGTGACTCGTCCCTCCACGAAACCACCAATGGCTCCTTTCCCAGTCTCGAGAATGTCTGGTCAGACATAAAGACCGGCAGAACCCGAGAGGAGCGGTCGGACATATTCCTGGCACACTGGCGAGATCTTATCTACACGGACATACCGCGCCTTTTCCAGTCCTACCGCAAGCGATTAGACCTCTTCGGCAATGACTACTACCTCGCCCACATCTACCGCTCGCTGCACTGGTCTACGCACCCGACACATGTCGCTGTGCTGGGAGACTTGATTGGGAGTCAATGGGTCACTGATGAGGAATTCGAGCGACGGGGGACGCGATATTGGAAGAGGGTGTTTAATGGTGGCACCAGGGTTGAGGACGAGCTCACCGACAAAGTTCGTACTGAGATCATCGGTCTGGATGAGAAATGGGTGAATAGGGTCATCAATGTGGCTGGAAACCATGACATCGGATACGCTGGTGATATCACTTCGGACAGGCTTCAAAGGTTTGAGAGGGTCTTTGGCAAGGTGAACTGGGAGACAAGATTGAGGCTGCCTTTTCCTGAGGAGGAAGGTCAAGAAGTACCTGAGTTGAGGCTCATTGTGCTCAATTCGCTGAACCTCGACCCGCCAGCGCTCGACTCAAGTATTCAAGCCGACACCTATAAGTTCATGAACGACGTCATCTCGTCTTCGCGGCCTGTCGAGGACAAGACCAGTGGGACCATCCTACTCACCCATCTACCGCTCTACAAAGAAGCTGGCGTGTGCGTGGACGGGCCTTACTTCACCTATCACCAGGAACAGTACGGTGCTGGGGTCAAGGAGCAAAATCATCTCAGCTACGATGCAAGTATGAACATACTGGAGGGAATCTACGGCATGAGTGGGAACCTAGAAGCTCCTGGCAATGGCTTTGGCAGAAAGGGCATAATATTGACCGGCCACGATCACGAAGGCTGCGGCGTCTACCATTACCTACCTGAGCATGAGGATTTCGCGTCGAGAGCTTGGGCTGCGGAAAATTGGAACACGACAAGCTTTTCTCGACACGGTGCCGTTCCAGGTATCCCTGAAATTACGGTCCGAAGCATGATGGGCGACTTTGGTGGAAATGCTGGCTTGCTGAGCGCCTGGTTCGACCCCAACGTCAAAGAATGGAAGTTTCAGTACTCGACATGCGCTTTGGGATCACAGCATATTTGGTGGGCAGTACATGTCTTGGATATGATTACTGTTGTGTATTTGGGTATCGTGGGCTGGAGACTATATGTACAAAACGGCATCGTTGGATGGAGCCTATACACAGCTCGAGAGAATGGGGATGCTAAGGAGAAGACGCTGTGAGCCCATGGAGCTAAACCCGAACCGGATACATAGTTGGAAGGGCCCTTCACCAATCAATACATCACTCGAGAACGCCCAAAGAGCGATTGAAGCTTGGCATTGGCATCAATCCCGGTGTCCCAACCCGACTCTATCTGAGATTATGACCCGCCTCCCGTCACCGCCCTCAGCAATCCCATGTACAGATTGAACGTCACCATCATCCCTGTGGGCCTGTGTATAAAGTTGATCTGGTACGTGTTTATGTAACCTCTCTTGGTCATCCTCAGCATATCCAACGCAAAGTGCTGTACGATTATCCAGCTGACGACGACCCTAGGCGGCGCCACAACCTCTAGTAAAAGCTGTCCAAGCCATATTTGGTAACCACATGAAGCGGGAGTCAATGTGATGGCCGCGTACGCGGCGAGGTCCTCATAGAAGTCTTGCATAACCGCGGCGGCCGTGCCGATTGGTAGCATACAGGTAAAATCGTGTTGGTCGACTATCCATTCTGGGCCCATGAGGTATGGCACAAAGGTGACTCGAGGCTTGAGCAATGTTGGAGCGACAAAGGGTAAGGCATCCAGGCGGTCAAAGGAGAGTCCTCGGCGCGATGCATGGTATTGGTTTCTTGCCTGCTCATGTGAGACTAGGGAAGACAGAACAATGATGAAAATGGTCGTGGAGAGTATCAGCAGCCTGGATAACATTGGTGGCAGTTGCAAGGACTGCGAGAGATTTTCCCGTGCGAAACGGAAAGCGCAAAATGCAGACATCAGGCTATATGCGTCATGGCCGTGGGCGGGAATAAAGATCCTATCCAGAATGTCTCCTATTGGGTCAGATTATAGCAACAGTGCCGATTGTAGCCTGTCGCTTGTGGCATTTTGCCCTGAGCGCGTTTTTGGACTTCATCTTTTGGACGGATCAGCGTAGGATTGCTTTCTTTCCCAACGATGCGTCTCCATTGGACGAAGATAGATCTTTTCAATCTTATGTAGCATGCACGGGCTACAGATAAGAATGACCTGCAGTATCATACTACCATACAAGCCTTCTCTAGGCATATCCCGTCACAACCCTTATCTGTAGCTGTACCCCAATACAATAACAGAAGGATGTGTACTTTCCGTTGCGGCTTCAGACTGAAAAAACATCAGTAGTCCAGTGGTAAAGCCAGGTCCTAAGTAGACCCTTCCCAGTTTACCGTGTGACGTAAGCTCTTCCGTGCAACTTGCGAGAAGCCTCAGGCTCTTAGGGTCAACAATGCGTTTGCCCGAATTATTGCCTGCTCCTTCATGGCATCTATTACACCATCACATAACAGCATTCTGAAACGTCGTACAATAAAGTCATTGACCTCAGCCCGCCAAAGTTGCTTGATCAACCCTCCTCTCCTACAGACCTCCTCCCGCAACATGGCTTCTTACCCTAAAGATAAGAAAAATCCTAAATTTGGCCATCTCCCTCTGTCAACCTCTGGTCCTGAAGAATGTGCTTTGACTGTATTCATTGCCCAACTCCCTTACCCATTCTCTCGACCAACCCATCCTGACTACCGATCCAGGGCTCAGCACTCCTCCGTTCCCCCTACCACAACAAAGGTAGCGCCTTTCCATCCAATGAACGCAAAGACTTCAAGCTCTACGGCCTACTACCTCCTAATGTACAGACGTTGGAAGCCCAGGTCGAACGAGCCTATCGACAGTATTGCAGTCGTACCGACGCCTTGGCGAAGAATACTTTTATGACGAGTATGAAAGAGCAGAATGAGGTGCTTTACTATAAGGTACGTGTCCTAATCTACCTCCTCTATTCTTTTCTAGTTCGTTGAACTCTGCTTGCGTGCATCGTCGCAAGATACTGACGGCCGCTTTCTTTGCGCATCTTTCAGCTGATACAAGAGCATCTCAAAGAGATGTTCGGTATCATATATACGCCTACCGAAGGTGATGCCATACAGCACTTTTCAAAGGTGTTCAGGAGACCAGAAGGCTGCTTTCTGAATGTCTTCGACCAAGATCGGATTGAGGACAATCTTGCTCAATGGGGTGATCCTGAGGACATTGACTATATTGTCGTGACTGATGGTGAAGAGGTGATTCTCCATGGACCCAGTTGACTTGGTTCGGAAAGGGTTGACCAGAGGACAGATTCTCGGCATTGGTGACCAAGGTAGGGAGGACCGATTCCAGTTTCATGGCACCCGCTCATGGTTGGCACAGGCGTTGGAGGCATTTTGATCTCCGTTGCCAAACTCGTTCTCACTACTCTTTGTGCCGGCATTCATCCCTCTCGGACATTGCCAGTCGTCCTTGACTGCGGTACAGACGTGCGTCACCTCTCTATTCGAGATGTTAACAAGCAGCTGACCATAGTCCAGAACCCCCAACTACTGAACGATGATCTCTACCTCGGTCTTCGACGACCGCGAGTACGTGGTAAAGAGTACGATGAATTTGTCGACAAATTCGTCCAGTCCGTACGCAAGTTGTATCCCGGCGCCTATCTACACTTGTAAGTTGCATCCGCAACGCTTGAATACCTGATACATTGCTCACATGTGACAGCGAGGACTTTGGCTTGACCAATGCCCGAAGAATACTGGACAATTACAGGCCAGAGGTCGCTTGCTTCAATGACGACGTCCGTACGTACATTTCGGAGCTGGTTATTCCTATTTTGTAATGGAATTGAGTCGCCAGACATGTTTCGGGAGCAAGAAGACCTTTTCACTCAAGAGATCTGTCTTGCAACTCCTTCTCCTAGCTCGATTAAACAGTGCTGACTCCGAAAACTGCGTAGAAGGAACAGGAGTCATCACACTGGCTGCTATCATGGCGGGTCTCCATGTCAGCGGCTTGAAACTCACAGATATGAGGCTGGTGGTCTTTGGCTCTGGAACAGCAGGAATCGGCATCGCGGATCAAGTTCGAGATGCCATTGCAGCTGAGAGCGGCAAGTCCAAGGAGGATGCAGCGAAGCAAATCTGGTAAGTAACAACAAAGATCCAAAATTGATCTTCGCTCACGATCTCCTGCAAGGTGCGTTGATAAACCTGGACTCTTGCTCAAATCCCAGGGTGAAGACCTCACGATCGGCCAAGGCCCATTCGCTCGCGATGACAAAGAGTGGCAGGGCAAGGACCACAACGACCTCTTTACCGTGATCAAGGAAGTCAAGCCACATGTGTTGATCGGAACATCAACGAAACCAAAAGCCTTCAGCGAAGAGGTAGTCAGGGAGATGTCGAAGCATGTTGAAAGACCTATCATCTTCCCTTTGAGCAATCCTACTCGGTTGCATGAGGCGGATCCAAAGGACATCAATGAATGGTCAGAGGGCAAAGCTTTGATAGCTACTGGTAGTCCTTTCCCACCTGTGGAGTACAATGGCAAGAAGTATGAAGTTGGTAAGTGAGCGGTAGACAACCCCTCCATGCAGGACCAGAGCTGATCATCTCTGCAGCTGAATGCAACAATTCGACTGCATTCCCCGGCATCGGTCTTGGCGCCGTCTTGTGTAGATCACGCCTCCTATCGGACAAGATGCTTGTAGCGGCAGTAAAAGCCATAGCCGCTCAATCGCCTGCTCTCAAAGACCCAGACAAAGGGCTCGTGCCAGATGTCATCGATGTACGAGAAATCAGCGTCCACGTTGCAAAGGCAGTCATTAAGCAAGCCATTGAAGAAGACCTAGCTACCGAAAAAGATATCCCAGAGAACGACGAGGATCTCGAAGAATGGATCCGAGAGCAAATGTGGGAGCCACGCTACCGACCCTATGTCCGCGTCGATAAAGAAAAGGCAAGTAAGCACGGGAAGGGAGAGCTTGGAGTCGGCAGCGTGAGGAAAGAAGCGAAAGGACCGAAGCCTGAATAGTCCCTTTTCCACATCGCACGTGCGTACCTGTATTATAAACATAAAAGCTACACCTCCGTAGGCGCCAAAGCAACAAGACCAAACCCAACCTCATCCCCCAAAAACGTCCGCACCCCCAAATCCAGCGCCCTCCCATTCAACGCACCCTCGCCCCTTCCCCTATCAAGCGGCCCCCTTCATCCCCCCATTCAACGCCCACAAACGCCCATCATCCCCTTTCAGAAACGTAACGACATGACACCCGTACTCCTCCCCCCTCCCCAACCTTCATCTCCCCAGCCACCGCGTCTCTTCGCTGCGCCGCTCCGATCTCGGAAGAGTCGCAGAGCAGCTGCGCTTTACTAATTCGGATCGGACTGGAGTCATGAGAGGTTCAAGAGGGACCTCGATGTTTGAGGACGTGAGGTTGATCGATGGTTTTGATGGTTTTGATGGCGTTGTTTTCGATATCACTGCACTTGATTGATCAGGGGCCGGTATTGTGGGAGCGGGTGTACGTGCTATATGGCACTGTCTATCGGTGGTTTGATGTTGATGTGATGAATAGGCTATCTGGATGGAATTGGAGACGAGGTTCTGTCCTATCGGCATGATGCCACGCGTCTAGGCTGAGGCATAATGGGGTCAAGGAGGCTGGGTTTGGTGAGTCAGAATACTATGGCTCCTTAGACTCTTGTCAGTTTCACTTTTGATGAACCCATCTGCGGATCTGGTCTAAGTCACAGTCAACTGGCTTCTGTTACTGTACGGCAGATGGCATTCATGGCTACGGCTACAGACCAGATGTGTCACCGTCCAAACCCTATTTGTTAATAATCTCCACCTTGCCTGACGATGGCGATCGTTCTGCGAACAGCCCGTCTCTGATCATCACTTCAGTCGGAGGGCAAGATGATAAAACACGCCCTTCGTCCCTGGACAGCTGCTCCACCCACGGTGCTGAGTACTGGGCTAGCCTCATCCGCCAGTCTTACGGCGCCTTATACAGTGGTGGAACGCTAGACACGGAATGTCTGAAAGCTCCTCGTCGACGACGTGCAGGTAGGTATGATATGGAGAGTCGGGAGACGGGTTCCGCGGGGCATGACGGGGTTGTTGCTCCTCGCAGCCATATCTTGTGTTTTCCGAAGGGGTATGCTGATCTCCGAACTTTGCTAGATCGAGACAGCGCCGCTCTCGCACTTGGAGTTGGGGGTGTTTTGTATCCAGGTAACTCCGAATCGAACATATCAACAGGTGATCAAATACGAGAGAGATATCGTGCTCCTTCGGAAAGCGATACAAGCCCGGCAAAAAGCGGAAGAACAGGCTAGAGCCGAGGCGAGACACCATACCGAGTGGAATCAGCGGGTTCTTCGTCAAGGTCCGTGGGACGGAGTCAAGGATCCACTCCCTCTCACCGGGGCGCCTGCACTGCCTATGCCTGTCACGATCAGTGATGAGGAGAGTTTGGCAGCGTTCTTCAACCACCTGAGTGTTGGGGATTCTCATGATACGTTGATTGTACGTCTGCTTTTTCAAACAGCTTTCTTCCCGATCGATCCGTTTTCGAGTCAGCAGAGCTAGCAGACGGCTTGGTCCCACGCTCCGTGACCCTGCTATAACCCAAATTTTCGCGTCGACAAACTCATGCTCGAAAACAAACGCCTATTGTTTATAGTTGTTCACAGCCTGTTTTGGTGGCTTCGCCCCGAAGTTTGCGTTCTTCTCCTCAAAAAGTATTGTTTGGTCGCTTGACTTTTGCTAGGGTGCTCGTCCCACCCAATATCTCTCAGCTAATGATCAGTCTGGAAAGCAATAACTTCATTCGCCACTTCTTGCTCGGTAATAATATGATTGGGCCTGTGGGTGCCCGGCTGATCTCGGACTTCGTACTTGCGCACCCCGACCGCATGGAGACCTGGTACCTTGCCGGTAATTGCATTGACCTCGCTGGATTTGAGCGCCTTGTCTCTGCGTGGACAACCTCGACTTCCATCACCAACATCTGGCTCAAGCGAAATCCACTTGGTCCAATAGCGTCTACTGCCCTGTCCGAATCGATCACTAAGACCTTGAAGTTACGCACCCTCGATCTCGATCAGACAGAACTGGGCGACGGAGGTGTTGCTCATCTCTTTTCACTTCTGGCAAATCACCATAGCCCCACTTCACTGAGACATATCTACCTGAACGCCGTAGGGATAGGCTATTCCGCATGCAAGAGTCTCGCGGATTACCTCTCATCCCCACATTGCACATTGGAGTCAGTCTACCTCAAGCGCCAACCCCATTGCAGACACTCGCGTAAGCGTACTCGCTGAAGGCCTTGCGGGCAGTAAATCACTACTTCGTCTGACTCTCGCTTCCTGCGGGCTGGAATCCGAGGGGCCAAAGTCGATACTGCAAGCTCTCAAAGGCCATCCTCGACTCATAACCATGCACATGGGACCAAAGCTTTGCACCGGAAAATCTTGGCATACGATACAATTACCTCGGAGATGATGTGGTGGACAGTGTAAAGGTACTGGTGTCAAGCTGCGAAACACTACGAATGCTCGAGCTTGGCACGACTGGCATGACGCGATCAGCGCTTGAGTCCATTTCAGAAGAGGTAGTAAAATCGGAGACGCTGGTGGTCTTCGCACCAAAGAGCGTGTACAACAAGGTCTCCACAAGGGTCAAGCTCTCTGTGAATGAGCGCATCAAGGAGAATGTTCGGCAACCATAGGGGGTACGGAAGTTGCTCGCTTCGATGCCGAGGAAAAGCGTTGGTTGATCAGCCCCAAAGATGGCATGTAGGACAGCTTGGAGTCATGCCCCCGTGGTATTCCCTTTCGAGAAGAAGGCATGAACTATGATGGTCCTTTCCTCTTGCAACTGATAGATTGATCGACCTACCTCGCAGTCCAACGCATGACGCGTAGGCTGTTAGGTATCTGCACACTGAGTGGCAGCCTTGCGGTATCCCAGAAGCGGGTTAAGGGGTCGAGTATCTTTTGTTGCTTTGCTAGGAAGCGACAAGATGCCTGTGGAAGACAAGTCAAGGCACCGGGAGATGTTCGTACTTGTAACAATCGAAATGAACAACCACAGTAAGATATCCTTACGCAAGGTCTACTCTTTCTAAAAAGCAAATGCGATCTTTTGAATGCTGGGAATATGCCTTACTTCGATTGTGAGATAATAATCGGGCACAGGTCAAGAACACGCCGAGTAGAAGAAGTGAAAGCCGAACACTGGTTTCACTCCGACCCTCTAGGCATTCTAGCGGCCACAACAAAATGTAGAAAATTCTTGCTGTAGGGTCAGTCTCGCTCTAGATGATTGAGTGCAGGGAAGGAGGAGAGGCTCTGAGAAAACCTTTGGAAGAAACTTGGCTAGAGGCTAAGGCCTAAAGAAGTAAGATCTGTCAGCTAGCGTCGCTCTGAACCTCATCTCTGCGATCCCGTCTTCGAGTTGGACATTATTCAGAGCCTTACAACCCCTTGCTTCAGAGCTTGCCTACACTCTTTACAGGTATCGTTCGCCTTTGGAGAAGCCGCTGATTCAACAAGCCATGGGTAAAGCAAAGCGTAAGCACCCTGACATCGAAGAGACCCTCGCGAGGCCCTGGTGCTATTACTGCGAGCGGGACTTCGATGATCTTAAAATCCTCATCAATCACCAGAAGGCCAAACACTTCAAGTGCGAGCGATGTGCACGGAGACTGAACACGGCAGGCGGTATGTGGTCCTCTCACCGGCTGTCAAGTTCTCAGCTAACGCGGTTTCTAGGTCTGTCGGTCCACATGACTCAAGTCCACAAGGAAACCCTCACCATCATTGAAAATGCGCTACCCAATCGATCAGGTCTGGATGTCGAGATTTTTGGCATGGAGGGTATTCCGGACGATGTCGCCCAAAGCCACAATCAGCGCGTCCTACAACAGTTCGCCCAGGCTGAAGCTGAGCGCCGAGCTGCGACAGGCAACCTTGGACCTGCAGGGGGAGGAGGCCCAGCCAAGAAACCCAAATTCGAGCCTCCATCTGATCTGAAGAAGCGCCTGGCAGAACACAAAGCAAAAAAGGCGGCAGAAGAGGCAGCTGGGATTAGCAGTGGAGCCAACACGCCGGGTGGGATGGCGCAAGGCAATCAGAGCCCAGGCTTGGGTCAGAGTCCTGGCAACTATGTGAGTCATTCGATGACCCTGTTCATCCAACTTCGACTAAGTGGTCTTGAGCAGGCCGGCTCGCCAGGTTATCCTCCCCAGCAGCAGCAACAACAGCAAATGCCTTTTGGAGGCCCACCTCAAAACTCGTCCTATTCTGCCTTTCCTCAACCTTACGCTCAGCAACCACCGCCCTTTCAACAACCGCAGTCTCCATTTCCTCCGCAACAGCAGAATTTTGGTCCACCTCAAAATCAAGGCTTTGGGCCGCCTCAGCAATTCCCCCAGCAAGGCGGGCCGGGCTTTCAACCCCAATTTCAGAATGGACCGCCTCCTCAATTTCAGAACAGCCCTCCTCCATTCCACAATGGTCCTTCACAATTCCAAAGTGGACCGCCTCCTTTCCAGAACGGACCACCGAATCAGTTTCAAAACGGTCCACCGCCGTTTCAGAACGGGCCTCCACCCCAATTCCAGAACGGGCCTCCAAATTTCCAGAATGGCCCATACAGCGGTTCTCCGCCTCCTCCATACCAACAAAACCAATTCCAGCCTCCACAAAATCATACACCATTGCAGCATACCATACCCCAGCGTCCTGGAAGCTTGCCGCCAGCACCTGGACTGCCTCAAAGACCTTCCTTTGGTGCTCCGCCAGTGAACGCTTTCCAAATGCAGCAGATGCACCAAGGACAGCTGCCTGGGCCGCCCACTCCTACAGATCATTCTCACAATGCTCAACAGCAGCATGGTCAAAATGGAGGTCTTGGTGGGCCAGCGGGCAGTGGACCTCCGCCAAGCTCGCTCCCGGCCCCTCTTTCAGCCAACGCTACTTCTCTGGATGATCTTGTTTCAGGTGCGGCCAAAGACGCAGACAAAGCTGCGGGTGCTGTAGAGACCAAAACAGAGCTGCCTAAGGTCGAAGAGCCTGCCGAGGAGAAAAAGGGGAAGAAGGAAAAGGACAAGAATATGAAGCTGATATACTCAGACAACGACGTCAGCCCAGAAGAGAAGATGGCACAGATGCCCAGGTACGCATTCGCTCCTATTGGATAGTGAGTTCGGAACATGGCAACAGCCTGGGGCAAGCAACTACCACAGCAGACTCCAATCTCCACTCGGATGCCTCAATATATCATAACGCTGTCAGTCCTACAACAATTCGTTTCATCATTCTTTAAATCGACCTCCTATGCAAGTATCATACTGGGCTGGATAGCAGGAGATGGAGACAGATAAGTCACCGGCTCAATATTACGCATCGGCGAGTGTGCTTCATTGATCATCACAGCGGTACCTTTAGCTCATTTCGGATTCACCCTTACAACCTCGGCTTCGACGTGCACAACATACTTGATGACGGCATCGGGGTGAGTGGACTTGCTGGTCACCTGGGAGATTGCGTCTGACTTGGGGTCTTGACTGACAGTCGTCCTTGAAGGATGTAGCTGTCGCGGTGGATGGTCTCGCGCCAAATAATAGATAGCAGCTCATAATGGGTTCGGCGGTGCTGCTCTATGTAAGTGCAACATGGTTAGTCGTCTCATCTCTCAATCGAGGTCCTTGTTCCTGAACTGGCAATCCTCTACTTTACAATGAATGATTGAGGCAAGGAAAGAACGAGAGTGGATTGGGGACGTTTGGGATTAACGGGGGCCTCACTATGGTGCGTCCAAAGCTCGCCGCCCCAACATTGCAACAATCTTGCCATGTCCAGCCCATAGCCCTCCCCAGGATTGTAGATGTGCTATGACCTTCCCAAGGACGACTCTTTGCACGTGTTCTGTTTGCTTTCTTTGGATTTTGCCTCAGCAACTCAGAATGCATTTCTGGGGCTTAGATTAGGGCCGTTGCTTGTAGCACTTGTAATCAATGCTGGTAGCTGTAGTTAGACATTCATGATACAGCTCAAAGATTCAACTTCGCCCCAGACAGTGCTCTAAAACCCAATGTGCCAAGGCGAATGTTGCTAGCGTCATTGCGGATACGCCGCCAAGACCTTAAACCAAGTAGATAGCAGCAGCTTCTCATTCTTACAATTCCATGTCTGTTCCCAACCTCACGCAACCAACCCCACGCACTGAACGATCCTACCCTCATCCTACAGTTAGCCATAAGCTCCATCAACCATGGCCTCCAACGATATGGAGATCGACAGCTCCCCGCCCCGCAACGGCTCCAAACCCTCCACGACCGATCAGCACACCTCTGCCGGAGCTGTAGCCGTGCGCTCGATCGAGGGCTGGATCATACTCGTCACCAACGTGCATGAGGAGGCGAGTGAGGAAGATTTGCAGGAGCTGTTCGGCGAGTACGGTGATATCAAGAACCTGCATATGAATTTGGATCGGAGGACTGGGTACGTCAAGGTACGCCTACACCACATGGCCAAATTTTGGCGGCTCAGCAAGTGCAGTTGGCATGCCCAGTGATGGGTATACAACAGGTTGAGGAAGATCAGCCGCGAGAGTCTGGGCTGACTTATGGCGCCTTTACTACAGGGTTACGTCTTGGTCGAATACCCCACCGTGGCGAATGCCAAAGCGGCTATTGAAGGCGCCAATGGTACAAAGCTGCTCGATCAGACTATTGGGGTGGACTTTGCCTTTGTGAGACCGCCGCCTAAGGAAGGAAAGCAGGGGCAGGGGAGAGGTGGAGGGAAGGGAGGAAGGGGTGCGAGGAATAAGAGTCGGAGTCCGGAGGGGGATGGGGTGAAAGATGAATAAATGGCGGGTAGAAAAAATGATGGATGCGAAGGGCGGCAAGATAATGAGGATACTGAGAGGCCAGTACGCGGGACATTCGATGTCACCAATGGAGAAGATGGATGGACATGTGGTGCACATGGTGCCGAGAAGCTTCATCACGGAGGCTTCATCGGCATGTCTGTTTCTAGAAGCTCAGGTATGCCCCTTTATGACTATGGCCAAGGTCTATGCTAACGGCAGGATAGTGATACCAAGAAATGATTATGTTCGAGACTTTTGCATTGCTCGACAGCAAAGCCTTCTTTACTTCCCTGCCACAGAAAGCTTTCTTAAGCCCTATGGCCTCCTTCAACGTCCTCGTCTCATGGTCCACTACGCAAGAAAATTCCTCTTTCAGTAGATTCTCACACCCCAACACTCACGCAGAATTACAGGTCAGAACACAACAAATGCCTCCACCTGCTCCTCACTCCACTTCCAGAATGTCTTCGCGATTCCCGTGCTACCCTCCTCCGCTGCCATCGCCAAAACCAAATCTTTCCTCAAGTCATGATAGAATCTTCCTCAAGGAACAATAGGCTCCATTCCTCCATTCATCCACCTCCGGACTCAACCCCGCAAACGCTTCCGTATACGCACCAAAAGTTGGATCCTCCTGCAAGGTCCACAAAAGCAGTAGCTGCACCAGCTTCAGCATATGTCGATTCGGATCGCTTTTCAGCGCGCCGGGCATCAATGATACGCTGATGGTATCCTCACCTCCATACCGTCGCGCGGACTCGCTGCTGTGGAAGATGTCGCTCGCTTTGCTGGTGCCGCATTTCGTCGCCGCTCTCTTGTCGATGTGATAATCGAGGTTGGCCATGTCGATGCCGTTTTGCGGGCTGGATATCTCGGCGCTGTTGGATGAGACCCAGACGACGGGGACAGAGTGTGCGGGTGCTCTTTTCGCTGTGAGGGCGGGCATGGGGCTTAGGAGTTTCGTGAAGAGGAACAGGCCCAGGCAGTTGGTGCCGAGTTGTAGCTCGTGGCCTTGAGCTGTTTTGCTACCTTGCGGTGGTAATAGGACGCCTGCGTTGTTGAAGACAATGTCCAGCCGGGTGTTCCCGGCGAGAAAGCCTTCAGCGCGATTGCTTTGATCGTTGATAGGTCCGCGAGATCGAGGAGAAGATCTACGAGCTGGCCTTCTGACTCTGGACACTGGGCTGATGGATCCGATGGTACGGAGTGCTTTCGTTCTCGGAACGAGTTGCGAAGATTAGACTTTGGCGTGCTTGAGAGAGGAGAGGTTGGCGAGTGCTTCGCCAATGCCGGAAGAGGCGCCGGTTACGGTGAAGAAGCGGCCAAGGAGAGAGGGGATGGGGGAGGTGGTATAGGTGGGTGCGGGTTCGGGAAAGCTGGCTCCATTGGTAGCCCATTGAAGAGAATGGGCTCAATGAAATGGAGAGGAAGGAATCAGGCATGGTGGGAAGGGCAAACGTGCGGGAAGGACCATTCAGCAGGATATGATGATTGAGACTGAAGGCTTTAAGATGCTCCATCATTGGCCTCGGAAGATCTGGCTCACGAAGGTTGTCTTGTATCAATGACCGTCCTTGTGGGCTAAGTCCAGAGGAACAATTCGATCTAACCAGAAATAAGCGATTGCTTTTAGCGCGGACCGACGCCAGTACAGCAAGGAAACAACGATGTGCAAACGCTGTGTCAGGGCTCAATCCTCTGGTATAACATGCAGCTATGCGACTTCTCAGTTCACATCACGAGCGTCAAGGTCGCATCTCCGCCATATGCATGGTAGAATCCGTACCTTTCATAAACCCGTCTACCCAGATACGTACCTTCCACGTACGCTTCCAGGCCCCTTTTATCAGCCTTACGTCTCCCCCCCCATTCCACCAACAGCCCAGCCGCTCCCTGATTGCGATAATCCGGATGTGTTAATAGAACATTGAAATTACAGAACAGTCAGGATCAGAACTGAACAAAGCTTCCCAGCGCCACGGTCAACAGAAACTGACATGCATGCGGCGCAGCCATGGTCCTAGGTCTCCAAGCCCTCAACTGCGTATACATCAAATTACACAAGTCCCTCAGCTCGCCCTCAGGGAAACATGTCGCGTCGAACTCGCCGAACGGCGCCCGGTACGGATTCGAATCGTAGAATTTCCACAACGCCCCGGCTACAATCTTGCCGGTGTCGGTGTCGGTGACTTTGATCCATTGATCATGGGGCTCCGTTCCGCTTCCTTGAGACTGTACCGCAGAACCCTTCTTGATGGCTTCTGCTTCGGCGTTGGGTCCGTGGCTAACATCTGGGAACATGAGTTCCCAGACGGCTTATGGGGGGTGCATCCATGCGGCCCATTGGGCGGCGAACAGTTCGTCCCAGTCTTTGTCGAGGTCTACTTTGGTCACTTTCAAAGGCATGGTGAGGGAAGTAAGGGAAGTAGGTCTTGAATGTATGACTGATCGGCATCAGGAGATTAAGGAACGGAGAATTTCGTGCGATAGTGTCTCATCCAGCGGTTTTCGGACGTTGCACGGTGATCAGCATACACTTTTCTCAACCGCGCAATGCTGTAGGCAGCAACATAAGATATCTTCCACAGTTGCGAGGTTCGGAGTGCCAGCAATACTAATCAACGCCAGGACTAGCGGCTTTGAATCTCATCCAAGAGGCCAACGGTTGTAGGAGGCCACAGGTGAAAGTAATCACGCTACTGCAGCCCGGAAACTGTGCAGTCAAGGTGGCGTCCAACATCACTACTTTGTCATCGCTTCGCAGCCCCAAACACTTTTCTCTTTGTGCTGGTGTTTTTGAAGTGGTGGGTGGAAAGAATACGCTGATTCGCTCAAATGTCGTCGACATGCATATGGCATGTAAGGATTGCAGTAGCTTTGCCATGAGATATCAGCTGCAGAAGCTGACCTATCCAGATCTATAATTGTGGACCCTGCATAACCACTTGCACTCTCGTGCAGCAACCCCGCACGATGTCCCTGTGTACTTTTACTGTATTGTTCCGTCTCTTGTCGAACGCAAACTGATCTCAAGAGCTACCTAGGTACATCCTTCTTCTCCCACTCTTGTACAATTTATCCGACATAGTATGGCTTCGCTAACAATCATCGGGGTCTCCCTCCTGCTATTGCTCTTGCTGTACAAATACTTTCTATTCCCCATCTTCTTTTCCCCCTTATCAAAGATCCCCAATGCCCACTTTTCAGCGTCCATCCTTCCACTATGGATCTGGTCTGAACGACGAAATAGTACAGCAGTCCGCACTCTTCTTGCTCTCCATGAAAAGCATGGTCCGGTGGTAAGACTTGCACCGAATGAGATCAGCGTGAATAGTGCAGAAGCGTTGCGGACGGTCTACATCGGCGGATTCGAAAAGCACAGATGGTATCTTGACCCCTTTGTGAATTATGGCACTCCCAATATGTTCACCATGTTGGGACATAAGCCACACTCGGTGCAGAAACGCATGGTATCAAACCTCTATTCCAAATCTCATTTGCAGAGCTCCATAGATCTGCAGGCCATTTCAGACTGCTTGTTCTTTGATCGGTTCCTGCCAATAATGCACGAGGTTGATAAGCACGGTGGGGAGATGGATGTGTTGGAGTTCATGCAGGCTGTGAGCATGGATTTCACCTCTGCATATCTTTTCGGCTTGTCCAATGGCACCGATTTTATGAATGACGCCGCATATCGGCGTCACTGGCTCGAAGAGTTCAAGACCTTCAAGGTCCGGCTTCCGCAAGAACGTGCAGGTGGGGAGATCGAAAGGTGGTGCCTCTCAATGTGTGAAGCTGCGGAGCGCTTCATGAACTTGGAGAAAGCGAGGGACGGACCACTAGAAACACAGCCTGTGGTCTACGGACGCTTGGCCCAATCTCTCCGAGAAGCCGCCCAGTCTGACGCCCCCAGCTTGAAACCCACCATGATGACCGCGGCTTCGGAAATGCTGGACCACCTGGTGGCCGGGCACGAAACTTCCGGCATCGCCCTCACATACCTCATGCACGAACTCTCCCAGCGCCCCGACCTGCAGGACCGTCTCCGCCGCGAACTCCTCACCCTCAGCCCTCCGCCTCTCAACCCGGCACCTAACGACGGAGCCAACGCAAACGCGGGACGGTGTCTCCCCTCCCCGCGCTCCATCGACGCCCTTCCCCTCCTCAACAACATCCTCCAGGAAACCCTCCGTCTCTACGCCCCCGCGCCAGCCCAACAGCCGCGCCTCACCCCTTTCTCTCCCAACGGCACGGCCATCGAGGGCTACGGCAAGATCCCGGGCGGCGTCAGGGTCAGCGCGAACCCGTACTGTCTGCACCGCAACGCGGCCGTGTTCCCGGCGCCGGAGAAGTGGGTCCCGGAGCGGTGGGATGTGGGGGGCGAGAGGGGGGAGGAGATGAGGAGGTGGTTCTGGGCTTTTGGCAGCGGGGGGAGGATGTGTTTGGGGAGTCATTTCGCACTTCAAGGTGGGTTGTGGATTTCTCTGCCCTGCTGGGTTTCTTTTTCGGTGGCTGATGGTGTGTAGAGATGAAATTGGTCGTTGCGGCGGTTTATACGAATTGGACGACGGAGATTGTGCATGGTGGGGGCATGGAGCAGGCGGATACGTTCATTTCGGGTCCTGTGGGGGAGAAGTGCGTCTTGAGGTTCAAGCGCGTTTGAGGGTTGGTTGTGTGGGGGAGGTGGTATTGATCGGTTTCATACTGATATTGTTGCTTCCTCACGTCTGTCCCACTGCGGGTCTCAGGGAGATGAGTAGTGCTGGGCTTGTCGAGTAGATGGAGGGGAATTATGGGAGAAAGACGGTGATTGTTCGTGCGTAGAGGCCTAGTGCTAAAGCACCATCATGGATCTCGCACTCAATGAGATATGAGACATGGTACGATCTCTGAAAATGCCGCACTGTTATTTCAGTCATCGTCATGCTATGCACACATGACGCTGTCTATTCTCGCCACTATCCCCTCAAGAAACCGAACCAAGCAGGCAGCCAGAGCCAAAGGAACCTACAACCACATCTCAAAGATCGTTCATGTAATCCTAATGCACAACACCTCACCGCTATGCCGTCATACATAGCCTTCCCACCCCTCGACCTGCCCAACGTGCTCCTCGACGTACCGCCCCCACGGCGTAACCGGGCTCCGCAGGCCGAACTGCACGCCCGATATGTCCAGGGCGTAGTCCTCGCCGTTCTTCAAGAAGACGTGCAGCACGCGGTGCTTGTCTTTGGCCGCCTGCCAGTCTTGCCGGATGAAACGGCGCCGCAGCGTCTTGAGGGAGAGGGTGACTTGGCGGATTTCGGTGGCTAGGTCTGAATGAGACGTCAGCGGGTTGGCACAAGGTCGTGGCTTTGCTACTTACCTTTCAGTTGCTCCTTCACGGCCTTGCCCATTTCTCCGGTATGTCCGCTGCCGATCAGACACGCTAGGTATGCTCGCTCGTCTTCACTGTTCGCAGGCATGGTTTGCAGGAGTGCGATGGCATCGGTGGTTCGTGGCGCAGCGTCCGATTCGTGCAGTATCATGTGGTTGCGGTTGAGGCTGCCGCTCTCTAGCATTGTCATCACTAGGGTTTGACAGTACCCGTAGTATTCCTTCTGGAGCGCTTCCCCGGCTTCGTACAGCTTTCGCCGAGCTTGGGCGGCCGTGCACGCCGCTTCGTGCAAGGACCGGTTGGCGGTTTGGCAGGTCGGGCTGCAATAGTAGGTGCTCGCGACGAGACCTTCGGTGCTGGAGGGCGCTGCTTCGCATCCTTTGCATGCTTCTGTTGTCAGATGATGGCATGAGGCACAGGGATGGGCCGGATTGTCGGGTTGGGTAGGGGCTTTGTGGGCTTCGTCGGCGTTGACCTGGCGGGGATGGGGTTCGCTGGGTTCGGGTTCGCGGGACTGGAGTTCGCGCGTTTGGACTCCGTCGCTTCGGAAGTCGGATCCTTGGAGTTCGGGTCTTTGGAGTTGGAGGGACTGGAATTCGCGGACTGCTTGGATTGCCTTGCACAAGGCTTTGTGGTGGTGCCAGTCAGCTTTCTGGCAGGATGCACTGCAGTACTTTGTCGTCGCCACTAGCCCTCCGGAGGTGGGATCTTCTGTTTTGCAACCCTTGCATACCAGTGTTGCTAAACGTCCGCATCGTGCGCACTTAAGTATATTTGGGACAAGTTCGTCCATGGTGTAGAGAAGCAATAAGGCGTGCTGGCGAGCCGTGAAAAATAAGAAGTGTTGACAATGGAATGCTGCGGCGGAGTTGAGATGTGAAGATAGGGAAACAGAGCCGGATGGGAATGGTAGTCAACCCTCTCTGAAAGGGAAGGAGGTTGGCAGGCAGAAAGATTTTTTGAGAGTTTTCAAGAAGTATTTGATGGTCGAAAGGAGAGACAGTCCTTGGGCACGGGAAGTCAAATATGCCGGCAGCAGCTTAAGTATACCTTAGAGCCTAAATGAGCACATCGGAAGCTGCTAGAAGGTGTTGCTTTGTTTTGAACCTGCTGCTGGCTGGAACAAACCTTGAGCCGCACTCCATTTCGAGTCTTCGTCACATGACTCAGCCCTGCAGAATTTCTTCCATGGGCAGGTACCTTACACTCACAAATACTCACTCCGCACATCTCCTCTCCCACCCTGTCGCCCTCCACACACCATCACCATCCGTGCTATCGTCATACACAGCATTCCACATGGCTTGCGGTCCGATGACAACAGAAGCACTCCACAGCTTTGTGGACGTCCTTGCCTCCAGGGACTTCGCGTCCTCCGACTTCATCGGTCCTCTTCCCACTACCCCCCAATTCCTGTGCAGTGGAATATGGATCGCAGGAGGGCTCTCCAGTGTATTTGGGGGTCCAATCATGGTCTGCTGTGTGTTCCCACTTATTACGCCATGCCATGATCCACATCAAACTCTCCATGTTTGAAGACGCCCTCGCGTCCAAACTCTACAAAGTATTCGATGTTGACGCGATCAGAGGAGCCATCATGAAGTCCTTGTCGATACGGATCGAAGGGCTGCGTCCTTCACCGACACACCTTGTGCGCCCACTGAAACCACCGGTGCCGCAAATCTGGTTGGCGGACGTCATTTCATAAAGCTGTGGAATCATCGAGCTAGTCGTCATCTCGGAGCAGCAATCCGCTCTTTGCCTGAGTCGCAATCATCAGGGTATTGCGGATGCAGCAACGTTGCAACGTGTGTGTAGGCAGTGTATCGATGTGCGACGGCTGTGCGTGAGGTGTCTTCAGCAATGGAAATTCCACCGGGTACCAAAGAGATGGTATTGCCGGAGGGCATTCTAGTCCAGGCAATTTGAGCTAGCCCAGCCGCCATCGACCGTAAGCTCCCCCTTGATAGTGGAAAAGAAGCCAGATCGCTGACAGCATCCAGGCCTGCAATCCCTCACAGCTGCGCCACTGATCAAAATGTCCCAGACGACTGACCGAAAATGACCCCTTGAGTTCGATATCAAAGATCTCTCCGACGCCTTTGCGTGGCATTGCGCGCCGACGAAAGCAACGTGATGGTAGTTTTTCCCCTTTGTGAAACAGCAAGACACGAAGCATGATAGAGAAAAGTATGCATGAGAACAAAGCTCCCAACAGGATCGCTGACGAAACACTAGTTATGGGTTCTATGCGATACAATCACCATTTGATAGGTACTTGCAGTTCTTAACATTCTCTCAGCCCTTGTGGGGGGGGCACGGCGCAGGGCTCTCGAGCTTGCGCGCCCCATTCTTTCAGAAGCATAGGCTTCCAGAGTATCTCCCAGAATTCAGGTCATGGCATCTCCCAATTCTAGAATCTCGGAGCGTGTTTTGTCAAGTGCTGTGCAGTCTCTTGATGAAAAAGGTTGGCCGTATGACAAAGAAGAAAGGGAACCTCCACCGCGGAACGGTTCCGATCGGTCATGTAGGACGTCACGTGAGGGTACTTTCCTTCACTATAAAGTACTACCTCTCAATTCATCAAGCTTTAATCTAAATGCGTTGCTCCCAGTACAAAACCTCCACTTGCTAAACTGCTACTCTATCTTATAATCACCTCTAGATGAGCAAAAAGCCTTGACCTTTACCAGCAGATAGCTAAGTCTTCTCCCTTTCTTGGCTCCATCTGCTATGTTTTCCCACCAGACTTCATCGTCTTGATTGGCCGGAACAACAACAAAGTGTGTTGTCTAAGCCAAGTATACTTCCAATTGATATTATCCTCAAATTGACCTCCACCTGGTCCAGTACGCACACCACTCTGGATGCCACTCTGTGGCCACGACTCCCTCTAGATATCCTGTCCGTCACCATCGAAAACACCGCAGACCGGGAAACACTTGAGATTGGGCGCGAGGCGACAAAGGAATCGAGCTCCCTGCGCCATGTTGCTATCTGGAAAAGCTACAAAACACACGATCTGCGAGAAAAATATCTTGCGTGCTCCCGAGAATACTAGTAACCACGATTCGTACACCTCCTTGGGAGACGATGAAGCGAGTGACTGCACTCCCAATAGGGCCGGACGACCAAAGCGCCAACTCTTCCTTGAGTTTAAGAGGTACTCCTATCAAAGTTTCACACCATACGTTCGGCGCCTGCACCTCCAATTCTATCTTGCTCCGTCGGATCAGCCAAAAGATCTAGTACGCTCGGAATACGTCAGACATGCTTCGGACACGGTCCTAGCTGAGGCAAAAGCCCTTTAGGAGATCGAACATTATTGGGGAACACGGGCCGGGGAAACCCGCTCGCGATTGGAGGTCGGGTTGGGGCGGGGTTTCTAGCAGGCATTCCGGCCGACTTGCATCCCTAGATCTCTTCTTTGAGCAAGAGTAAGTAATTTAAATGTGTCTTGGGTTTTGGACCATTTCCAGAGTTCCCAAATAGTTGACTAAGTCCAATTGCTCCTTGCAGCAACTGTCCCTGTCGACGATGATATTCGAAGGTCTAGCCAAGAAAAACGACATTCAGAACTTTTTCTTTCAGGATCCCAATTTCTAAGATTTAGGATTGAATTACTTGAAGTCGCTTGGATAGGTCGTGCTTGAGGGTCCACAACCCACTCTCACACTGTCATGGAGCGCGTTCGTGTATGCACCATACCTCAGTGTTGCAACTGCTGCCCAGATCTTCAAGAGCCAGCTTCCATATGTGTATGTGGGGAGAAACTTGGCTGATGCCATCGACCGTGCCAGTAAGCTCGAGCGTTGGACCCAATCGAGCGCAAGGTATACGAATCTGTGAGCGATGCAAGGATGCCAACCTCATGACGCAGCGATTGCCTCTCTGACAGGGGAAAGATGGAGATTGGTGGAGTCTTGTAATTGCGTACTGGTTGGATATCAACGAAACTCGAATGGACATGATCGTTGAGGGGACTGAAATTGATGGCAAGAGGTCCTTAAGTGGAACAGTACTTGGAAAGAAGACCTCTGCAGCTGTCGCCAAGGAGACGGGGAGTCAGGTTCTGCCGATGAAGTAAGAACCAAGACCCTCCTCATCGATAGACGCGAAGAGCACGTTCGTGTTGGCCAAGCGGACGGGATACAGTCTCGGAGTCTGGAGATATTTGATAGCTTCAATACCGCGAACAACATTTGGAAAAAACTTGTGTCACATGGTGGAGGTCAATCGTTTTCCTTGATGGCTCTTTGGTTGCATCCAGAAATTGACGCATGGTCCACGCCAGATGTCGATGCGGGTATGATACTTTGACTCCACTCGCCAGATTCCATGCAAACTTTGATGCTGTTGCACAGAACCCTGACGATGATGGACTTATCCAGCCGGCTTCAAGGATTAGTCGAATACCATCCCCAGGCATCTTTCGTTTCTTACAAGGGGTGTTGCTAGCACAACACCGCATCGAAGGGATTTTCCTGGAGTCACTTGCCAAGTACAGTAACGTTGAGGTCCAACGCAATGTAGAGCCAACAAGTATTACCCACAAACCTAGCGGACCTGAGAATCAGAGCGCGTACCCAGTCACGGTCAGAATCGCGCAGGTAGGAACAGAGACATTATCGTATCCAGTCGCAAAGCCTACCAGCAACGGAGCGGTAGAGGTCGATGGCCAGAACCAAAAGAGGAAGCTCAATTTTATCCATGAGGAGCCAGCAACGAAGGAGGTCATGAGGCCAATGATCAGCCGCGATGGCGTACATAGCTGGACAAGATCGCAGGATGCGGATTGAGGACACAAAGTTCCGAAACTCATATCAAGAGTCAGCCGCATCTTGCAACAAATACACCGCTCGGCCAGCACTTCCTGAGTTTTGCGGTCATCAACCACTGCGATGCACGATCTTGGCACTTTGGCGAACTGCTCAAAGCCGGCGACCTCTTCGCCGTCGTGCTATTTGCTGGTGGTGTCTCCAAGACCGATCAAATTCATAGGGTACATAAATCCGCCGCAGTACTGGCTAATGTGGTCATTCCATTGGTACAATATCACATCAGCGGTGGCGGCCAGCAGGCAATATACGACGTCGCTGACATCCTGACTATTCATTCAGCGCCCGGGCAGCAGGTTGAATACTCCCAGAACTGTTACGCCCCTTCTATGAGGAGCTTGGTAGTCACATATTGCGTATGTATCGCTCCAAGGTGTCCTTCATCTTGAAGGACAATCAAGGGTCCCCACTTTGATTTGAGTTCGGGGAAGCCTCGGCAAGTCTTTCTCGTAATCTACTCGTATCCACTAGGATTTACAATCTCCAAAATTTAATTCTTATAATTTACCACTCCACCTAACACAATATTAAAAACTAGGAAAAAATAAAAAAGAACGTAAAATATAATTATTGAAGAATTAAGAACTATTATAATCGAGTAAATTAATAAAGTTATATAATAGTATATTAATATATAATCGTCGAAGTTTATTACGCTATTATATAAATTTATTATTATTACCTCGATTTTAAAAGTTCTTAAAACTATAAAAATCGCATTTTATATTCTCTTAGAATTTTTGGGTTTTTTATTATGATGTCGTGGATTAGAGACTGCAAATCCTAGTGAATACGAGTAAACGAGTTGGAACAGCATGGTTAGACTTGCCGTTGCCAAGCAAATAACGAGTCATCATCAACACACGTCCATCCATCATCATCATCATCATCATCATCATCATCATCATTATCCTCATCACCAAGAAGATGGGTACTGTAATATGACTCTTGGGATGTCTGTAAAGACTGAGGAGGCAGTGGCCATGAAACTGGTGATGCTAGTAACCGCTCCAGAAGCACTGGCAAGAAAACTTCTACCGAAAATCCAACAGTAGTAAATGGGGCGGTTGCAGCATAAACCCTGCAAGACCAGGCCAAACATGCAAGCCATCGTTGCATCCCGCTGCACCTACAACGCCCTCACTCTCATGCCCCTCATACAACATAGCCGACGCTAAAAGGATGGGGAAGTGCAAATGTAACCGGCGCAGACCGCGCGTATCTTCGAATCCGTCAAAATGTCTCCTCTTTCATCTTCAGTATATGTTGTAACCTGCGACGGTTGGGCGCATCGCATTCTCTCGGTGCTCTGTTTATATATACGGTATTTCTGCGCTGTCGTTGCTAATCTTCCGTTGTGAATTGCTGCGACCATGGCCACCAGGGCTTATCGCATTGCGCAACCGTACTAATTTCTGTCTGTCGATCCCGGTCAGTACACGCGGACCATTACAATGATTTCGTCTCGCAATCGTATCGTTACTCTTATGCTTCTCTCCCTGGCTGCCAGCACTCTTCTTGTGCATCTCTACTTTAGGACCAGTACCGCGCCACCACAAGATAGTGTTGCCCCTAAAGGAAGCAAACAACAAGACCCATGCCGACAGAGGTTAGGCCGTCTAAAAGATCTGAATGTCAAATTTCCTATCAAATACGCTCGGCGCGATATCAAAATCAAGCCCCGATTGGGAGCGCAACGTCCTTCTGTCACCAATGTCGATGAACCACTGTTCCCGAAGCTACAGATCGTTGACCCAGGGAAAGATCCTATGTTAGAACATTGCATGCCGCCTTTGTCGTTGGAAGTCTCTCCCTTTCCCAAAAAGGAGTCAGTTGATGCCTCGCATGTATTGTTCGGCATGTCCACACTCCTCAGCCGTCTCGAGGATTCTATACCATTTCTCGAGCGCTGGCTGGCGCACACTGGTGCCAACTTGTTCGTCATTGTTGTCAACTCAGAAGAGGACCGAAAACCGGATAAGAAGAAGATGTCCAAGCTGCAATCACACATGCGTGATCTCGGCATCAAGACTACGCTCGTTGGACCGCTGGATGAACAAGACGATATGCCACTGCGGTACTTTTCTCTAGTCAAACTATTGTATAGCAAACGCGACAAGGGAACTCAGTGGATTGGGATTGTGGACGATGACACCTTTTTCCCTTCAATGCACTCTCTGATCAACACGCTCGGCAACTACGACTCCAGACTGCAGCAATATGTCGGCGGCATTTCAGAAGAATGGTGGTCCGTCGTTCTCTACGGCCTCATGGCCTTTGGCGGTGCTGGTCTCTTCCTCTCCCTCCCAATGGCTGCGATGATCGATTCCGAGTACCAGGCCTGCAGGGAACAATCCAGTTCCGGCGCGGGGGATATGCGCATTCAGGAGTGTATCCAGTGGCATAGCCATGTCAAATTGACGCCTATCCCTGGCCTTCACCAAATGGATATGGGCGGTGACCTCTCGGGAGTTTACGAAAGCGGATGGAGGCCGCTTTCTCTGCATCACTGGAAGGCGGATTGGTGGGATGACCAGCGCCGGGAGAATTGGGTCCCACTCGACGTCATGCATCTCGTCGCCGATGTCTGCGGGGAATGTTTCCTGCAGCGATGGCATTTTGGCGAGGATACAGTCCTCAGTAATGGCTACTCTATCGCTACATACGCGAAAGGAATTACCAAAGAGGAGCTGCAGAAACCAGAGCATACGTGGCTGGGACCCAGACCGGTACCGGATACGTTCAACCCTGGTTACGTTCATTCGATTGGAACGATAAGGGAGCCGCTGAAGCTTGAGGAGGAGAAGATTCAGTATATGTTTTTGGATGCCCAGGTGGTTGATGGGGGCGTGAGGCAGTATTATCTTCACAAGGGATTGGGGGATGAATTGGATACGCTGGTTGAGTTGTTTTGGAGTGGGAAGGCGGAGAGGGTCTGATGATACGATATATTAGTACTGATGCAGGCTTTACGCTCGGCAATAGGATTCTGCCTTCGAGCCTGCCTCGGGAGGTTGTCTATGTGGGGAGCTTCTGGCCCGGATCCTAAGAATGCCATCGGCTTCAAGACATCCGTAACGGCCTCCGCTGGGAGGTGTTGGAGATGAGGAGTGGTCGCGCCTGGAAGAGCGCGAGGGTTTCTGCAGCTGGGGAGATGAGTGAAGAGGAAGTCGTGTTCGAAGATACAGATGCTCATCATTTTGTATGAGAAGAACTCGTGTGGTGCGGCGTTCTTGAACCTGGTTGGTAAACCTCAATTTGCGCCTGGGTATGTTCCCCACGGCGCCAACAGCGAATCTTACTTCGGGTACTATGTACGTATAGAATAGGCGCATTGCCCCATATACTGTACGCTAGGATTCCGGTTGACCTGCAGATGATCCCTTCCTCGATTACAAGAACTTATCTCTAAGATACTGACAACGCTCAAGCTGGGATACTCGAGTCAGTGCTAGATGACATGGCTACGACCTGTTTGGTGTTTTCGTTCGGTACAAGCCAGCAGCAAGAATAATACTCCCGCTGCATTCCTACACTCGACGCCGCCGCTTCCGAGGAATCCAGAGGACGTCATTACTTTGCCGGCGGGTTTGTGTACCAGTATCGGCCAGTCGAATATCTGCTAAGATCGGTTGGAATCCGGAGCCGAGGAAAAAGAAAAATGCGGTTGCGGGGATGTTTGCCTCACGACCGACTCTGCTGCACGGGCCGATTTCTGGGGTAAGGGAAAATTTAGATGACAATTCATGCGTGCAATTCTGCTTTAGTATTCTGTTGATACTGGGCTGGCCTCGTCTAGATGGTTTTTGAACCATTCGACCATGCTCTGTACAGTCGGTATTGCCTGAACCCGGTCTTCACCAGCTTATTCTCGCAATAGCTGGCTTCCACACAATGTGTATAGCCCCCAGGCTGTGCAGAGTGCGAAGGGGCTCCAGTAACCGACTCGGGCGAGGACTCATAGGCTTTGGTATCAGTATTTTGTCCGTCGCTGGCATCGTTGTCGTCCGCTGGTGCGTCGTCTTCGGTGGCTTCATTTTGGTTGATGTTCGCTTTCGGTGACTCTCCCTTTGTGTCTGCTTCGTCTTTGGTAGTAGTCTCTTCTTTGTTCTCGATATCGCCTTGGTTTTCGGTGCATACCCCTCCTTCAGTAGTGCTTGCGTCCATGCCATGACTGATCTCCATTGCGATATCTAGTTCTGATAGTGGTGGGATCGGAGACCATGTGTCACGAGACAGATACTGCGTCAACAATGCCCAGCAGAATCTCGGCAGATCATCGCCGGCAACAACGAAGCCATTTTCGAAGTAGGGTGACTCAGATTCAGCGGCGTATGCATCATCGATAACACCTATAGTGGTAGTCCTCGTATTCCCACAGCAGGACAATCTCCATCACATGTCGTATAAATTTCTTTGCGGTGTCATTTGCTGCCAGAACGGGTAAGGCATGACCTTCCCCTAGATTCTCGAACACATTGGCTGATAGAATTGGTCCACAGGAATTGGTGCGGATCAACAGTCCCGTTGTATAAGACTTGACTAGCCTCACGCTCTATCTTTCTATTGGTACGGGGGATCGAAGGGTGGAATTTGTATCTATGATCCTCCTGCGGAGAGTCCTAAATGGCTGAGTCAGTCAGGTCTCAAGACATCAAGCACAATGAGTTACGTGCTACGTCAGGCTCTTTGATGACAACCTTACGTGTACTTTCCTGAGAGTAGGTGCCGATATATAGTGTCCCAAAGTTCCCGCGGCAAAAATCAGGAACGGGATTGACATCGGGACCAGAGGCAGGGTAGCAGGTTGTTTTGAGCGTCGGGTAATATCATCTGGACAGACCGCAGCCCAGTACTCCTCCCATTCATCCATGTTGCAATCGTCAACTAAGTGGCGTTGAGGGTATTGGAAATCAGGTTGCAGGAGACGTGGTACAGGTTGGAAGGTTGCAAGGTTGAAGTAGGATTGGGATCCAAAACCTTGGCAACGCTAGGATACATCCCTTCGGCTGGCAGTTTTGCGACCTTGGCCTGGGGGTAAATTTCTACTGAGAGTAGGCTTGGTACGCCTGCCAGATTGCCTGCCGAAGGGATGAAGCACATTAAGTGACAAGGAGAATCTGCAGTTCTTCAGAATATATGGCTAATTGAAGATGTTTGCTGAGAATTGTAGTCAAGAGTTGGTCTCATAGGCTTGTTTGTGGGAATCTGTTTGCCAGTCTTCGGGTTTGTGGCCCTTAATGCGATCTGTACCTGGGTTGCTACGACCTCGTCGTCGTGCGTTGTGCCGAGTGACCGCGGTTCCAATAGCTGATCTTGATCAAGGGTTGCCCATGCCGCTTGACTTCGGGGAACAGAGCCGCGGGTCATATCGAGTTTGGATTCTTGGGAGTGGGAATGCAAGTCCTCCTCTACAGGAGAACTTGCTTTTCTGAAACACCGACCCAAATCACAATAATATCACTATTCTTTTTGTTTCCACACCCATTCCGGGATATACGATTCGCGTTTGAGAATCTCAATGTCTGACTCGGGATCCAGGCGATCGGCCATATTCATCAAATCGTGTATATCCTGTCCTTTGCCAACTCCAGCTCTCTCTTCTCCAATCGCTGCATGAGCAAGCTACTGTCCGGCTCGTATCGCAGCCCTCTGTTCAACGTCCTAACGGCGTCCTGAAGATGGTGACACCGACAGACCCTGTCATGACCACCCATACGGTCCCGCTCTTCCAGGATTTGGTATGCCAAGTGGAAGACCATGGCAATATCGTGCTCTCCTGCAGGCATATTTCCATTGTCTCGTTGCCGGTAAACGAACTTCTGGCTATCCTTGATGTCATTGGTCGGCAGTGTGAACGTCTTTTTGGCCCAGCTTCTTCTCGCTAAATTCGATATGCTCGTATGCGTTCCAGATGGTGCATCTGGCGTACGGCCCCGCCATGATCTCCGTTTCGACATCTCCTCTGTACAGGCTTATAGCATCATCCAGCTCGTTGAGCGCGTTTCCAAGTTCCGAGATGGACGTGGCAAAGTCTCCGCAGTCATTTTTGCTGATAGCTTCCTTAAAGCAGGTGAACACATGGTCAAAGGGCTCTTGGTTCTTTGGCAGATTTCTGCTGGTGTCGGCAATCACTTCGGCTTTGTCTTTTTCGGGAATCGATCCTATGATCTGCAGATTATTCGTGCTGTGCAGCCGACGGAATGGCTCAAGTAGCCTGCGCACTCGACAACTCTTAGTGGCGATCGTGTTATTCATGCTAGCGGAGTTCTTTATGCGCGCGTGTTCGGGACTCTCTTAGTTTTTCTTACCTGCTGCATCGAAGTCAAACTTCCTGGGATGCCTCTATCCAGAAACCGCAGACTTCTGCAGAACGCAGGAAGCTCATCGCAGGTGATAACGAAGCGAGGTTTTCGACGGTCGCTGAGCAGTCCGCATTCAGACAGTAATTCAGTCCTCATGGCATGACGTTGGCTTTTTCTGTGCTTCTGCGCCTTGTGCGAGAACTGACCTCCAATCACCGAGATCCAAATTCGAAATTAGGTCTTTGTCACAGCTGATGTGAATGAAGAGGTTGTTCTTTTAGAAAGTCTGACTGGCTTCATTGTGGATTTGCCGATTGGTGTAGAGGATGGAGGTGTGGAGATGGTATGTACAGGCGCATCTCAGAGGAACCTGAAGGTAACCAGTCACAGCTGAAGGAGAGAATTGGGGATCACGATAGTCCTTACAGAGCGCCGCTGCTGATACTCATGTTTGTTGTATACTTTGTTGACAGCAGGGAGGTGTACACTTGATCTCGCAATTCCCGGGGCAATCGCAGATAATTGGCAGGCTTTTCGTTAATCAGAGGTGCTAATGGCTTGAGATATGGTATCGAGCCTGGAGACATGGTAAACTCTGTAAACTCACCTTGCTCAGGCGTTTTTTAGCTACTCGAGCTAGGCATAAGGGAAATAGTAAGGTAAGGGTGTCTGGAGCGTAGGGCTACGGCTATAGCTGTGAATGATTGAACAGCTATATAGGTGAGAAGACAGTAGATATATAAAGAACACAGAGAAACACATGCAGGTGGGCATGGACCAGTTTAGGTACCCAAACATGCTTGGAAATCAGCCCCATATTTCCACGTCATGCAGGAGGGGATCCAGTAGAAAGTAGGTGGAATCAGGGGCTAGACCACATCCCGAATATGAGAGTGTATCATCAGCAGCAGCAAATAGCCGAAATACGAAGTGTGAGATTATCATCAGAATTCCAACACTCGACAACGGATCCGATGGCTGTTAGAACCGCTATGGGTACCACAATTTTAGACGCGGCAGCGGCAGATCCTCGTATCTTTTTCCAGAAGTAATCTGGTCATGGACGAGTGAACCGATGGATTCTGGGACTAGACACCGGTTTCCCAAAAGGCGACAGAGCCTTACATGCGACATAGCCTTACATGCGACATAAGAAAGCTGCTGGAGAACATGACGTTACTCCCTGTCTTCGTCGCTCTCCTCCGGGCCGAGTCTGTATTGCTTCATCTGACGTTGGCTGCCTTTTATAGTCAGATCATAGAATTTGCCACCGATCCTCTTTCCGTAGGTGGGCCCGAATGGCCCGACTTTGACAGCTTGGGCTTTGGAGTATGCACGGAGCTATCGGCAGGGTCAGCGGAAATGTTGTGAAAAGGGAAGGCCATACTTGGGAAGGCCGTACTTCGGTAGCCCAATCCCAGTGCGTCCATGATCTCTCCACGCCGGCTTTGAGGCTCTCCAACGTAATGACCCCAACCCATGGCTTACTCTCATAGCTTTTCGCTGCATTCTCAAGACCTTCGCGACGTGTGCCAATTTCTGGCCTCGGCGTCCCGTCTTCATCGGGCGTGGCATCATCCTCACCTTCTCTAATTTCGCTAACGATGTGGTTGATGCTGATCATATAAGGTTTGATCTCATGCTCGTCAGCTCGCTCCAGCACTGTTGCTTTCCATCCGTCCTCATTTGCCACGCACATCTCTTTCATATCATGCACGAAGTTCAGGAAGTGCCCGAGTATCAAGGCGATGTTTCGGATATCCGAGTTTTCGGATTTGAAGAGGCTATTCTTGATGAGGATGTCGATGGCCGTCAGAAGTGCGGTACCGAAGAGCATCACGCGTTTTGCATTTCCCTCCGAGTCATCGATTCCTGAAGCATGTGCTGAGTATGTGCGATCGAGTCCCACGGCCGAATCACTCACCATACCACTGTTCAAGACCTGCTGGTCTATTCAAGAACAGCGCCATTCCTTCTATGATTGACCAAATGGCCCAGATGTCCTTGGTTTTCTTCTTCACCTCCTTGTTGAAAGCCAGGAACTATCGACGTCAATGATTGTGTCACCGTTGTAGTAGATACGTATAGTACGAACCATGTTCTCCATCACTTCGCAGGTTCCGTAGCCACTCCAATCACTGAAGATATGCATCCTGAAATTGTCTTGGTCCCGTTGGTATTGCTCCAGTCCCCAGTCCTTGTGCAATTCGAATCCTTTCTTTGTGACGATCCATGTCTCTGCAGGGTTGGCATCTGCGTATCGGCCACACATGCAACTCTTGTCCCACCCACACCTCTTGCCTCTGACATGACATAGACACATCCAAGTCTTTCCATCCGCGTCTCCAGGAACCTTGGCTTCTTTATTTTTCGAGGGCGTCTGTTGCTTCGAGGCAGGAGATTTTGCAGTGGAGGAGACCTAGCGTAAGGTGTCAGCTAGATTCAGCGGACATGTGTGAGATTACTTGCAGCAGGTTCATTCTCATCTGCTGTCGGCTGAATCGCGTCGTTTTCCTTTGACCTCGCCTTTCCAGTGGAAGTTCTCTTCGATGCAGGTGCAACCTCAGCATTGGCGTCTGTCTCTGCTAGAGTCCGTTTCGAACGTGCCATGATGATTCACGATGCTCTTCGAAGTGATTGAAGATGGAGTGATACAAGTTTTGGACAGGAAAGATCGAGATGTCGGAGACGCGTGACGGCATATCCGAGCGCCAAAGCACGTGATAATGTCTTGGCGTGCAGCTCCTTAGGCAAAGAAGAAATGCGTGCTGCTTTATCCAGCATAAAACCTAATGAATCCCTCAATCAATCAAACCATCACCAATTCTGACATATAGTTAAATAGCAATAAATTTTTGTGTGTCGTCGGTGGTGTGGTGTAATGGTAGCACGTAACGTTGTGGTCAATTTACTTGCGCACGACAAACCCGTTCCGATCCCGGTTCGATTCCGGGCACCGCCAAATCGGAGACTTCAAAAGCTGGTTCAAGCCCAGTTATGAGGGTTTTTTTTGTTTTGTTTTCTCCTTTTAAGAGCTGAACTACATATACATATTTGGTCGACCTGGGCACTGTATGTATGGATTAGGTGGATCAAGATGGGTAGGACGCGAAAGAGTAAGCAATATTGTGGCCGTGGGGCCGTTTGCCTGTCGGATAAGGTTTACAAATGATTTACTGAGACGCTCTCACGCTCTCCATCTACTGGCGACCACTAATCTCCAAATTCGTTGCTTGAAGCACAACATCCGTCAACCTCGCCAACGGATGCTTCGCCATTCCTCTATCCCCCTTAATAAACAGTTCCTTGATCCAACCAATCCCTTTATCCCACCAAAAGTGTCTTTCTGGCCTTAATCCCTCTCTCTCCAAATCCTCTCGACCAATCGTCCCCATCAATATATCCAACATCTCCGGCCAGCCTTCCGGCATCGGATGTCTCGAAAACGTCACATTGGTGCCACAGCGCGCACAAAAAGTCCTCGTAACTCCCACGGAGGGCTTGTAGTACCGGAGGACAGAATCGGTCGGCGGCTCGAAAACACTGCTTGGTTTGAACACTACAGCAGCGTGCACCCAGTTCCTCTTTGCATCATCATTTGGCAGCTCGATGTGAGTCTTCTCGAGTGACGGGAGGGGAGATGAGCGTGGTAGGAGCGAGATGCGGACGAATTAAGTGGGCATACATGCGCCAGCTAGGACGAGAGCGCCCGTGGCGCGCCGGCAGTCGTTGCAGTGGCATAGCGCGAGGAAAGGTAGCTGAATTGTTTCCTCCGACTAGGTTGGCTTGGTCGGTTTATTTTAGGGGGTGTAATGGAATAGTTCTTAAGATTTGGAGGTTGCCATGGGCGTTCTGAGGCTACCAGGATGTTGATTTCGTAGCGGATGGCGCGGCAGTTGCAACCCCCGTGGATAGTTAGAGGGGTAGCTGGGTGTGGCATCGTCCAGGACAGTGGAGACTCAGATGGACTATCCTGAGACTTGATGGACACTTCTTGGGGTTGGGGGGACTCTGTTACGAGGGACGACTCGTCTCTCAAGTTCTGCAATGGTTAGTAACCTAGATCGAAGAGCATATGTAAGACTGCTGGTGACAGGAAATCGACAGGTACAGTGTATTCAAGATGTCCATGTCATAGTCATTGGCTCCAGCTTTCTCTGTGGCGCTCATGACGCGGTCAAACTAGTATTCCGAGGGCTGCAAAAGGACCAATTGGGAGCTAAGAACACGGCCCTCGAAGCCAAGCAATAGGCTGGGGGCATTTCTACCCATGCCGGCTCCAAAAGGCAGAGCTTGTCCATTGATTGAAGGACTGTCGAGTCGGAGTCAAGGTGAAGGACTCGCTGATATTCCGACTGGTTGAAAGCGAGGAGTCTTGTGTAACACTCAGCCCAGGTTGCTGCTTCTGCCCTTAGTGTTCTGGCACGTCTTACTCTTTTAGTAGCTTACGATCATGGATTATCCTCCACTGGACTTCTATAGGCTTCAAAATGACGCTGTACTCATCTCGCGCCTTCCTCAGGAGCCGTGCTTCGATACTGTCATTCTCAAGGGAGAAGAAACCTGACGGGTACATCATCAAACGGTCGGGCTTGCAACCAAGACGGTACAGGCTCTCAAAGAGCATGACCGAGTTGCAAAGATAAGGCAGGTTCGTGACATATTGGACGTATGCGAATTGTGACCAATCAGTATCCTTCCAAACCTTGCGGCCTGAATCTTCATGCTCGCTTGAACCTTGGTGTCCGGGCCAGCGGACTGGTTTTATGCTATCGGGTCGTGTTTCACCCGGTAAAACTTCCGGTGCGAGCAATAGTAGCAACGTGATAAAAACGACGGAACCAAAGCCAACAATATAGAAGTGTCTGGACTGCATCATCACTCGTTTTCTGGTAGAAGCCGCACAATAATTCGAGACAGGGCGACCGAGGAGCTCGAAAAAGGTGAGAATCGCACCAACAAAGCTTTTACGAAGTGTAGTTGATGCATCCGTCCAAACGTTCTCTGCAAAGGTTTTTTCGTGGACAAAAAATTATGAACATTATTCTGAACCACAACTCTCTTGGGCAGCGTTCGACTGGCGGAAGCAGAAAAAGGTCGGCAGGATGTTGTTCCGCTGTTCCAAAAAAACGGGATATGAAGGTTGAAATATCGTTGCGGGTGCTCCAGAAATGGATGGCGCGAGAGTGATCTATCCTCCTGCTTGACAGCCGCTACATCGACAGCGTGTTGTTCTGCTATTCCAACATGTCAAGTTCGGAAACTTGACTCGACAATGGTCCGCTTTTACATGGGATCACTTGTCAAATCTAGCTCTCAAACTCTCCGACGTAAGAAAAATTAAGAGAAAAAGGAAAGCAATTTGACAACATATACTGTGAGCCAAATCACGAAATCCCCGGAGCAAAGAGATTGTCTACAAGTATCTGCTTCCAAACAAATGTTAGGAACATGCCTCCGGTGCGAATGAAAGCGGACGCAGGGATAAAATGTCAGTTGCTAAGTTCCGCACTGAGATGATAGTCAAATAGTTGGGAAAAGTCGTTGCAAGCAATGTCAGATTGTCGACGGTGTCAACGGAGGGATCGGGGAGATGAAGTATGATCTAATACGCCTAAGCTCAGCGATGTCCTCTGGACGCGGGATGCGTCCGTTAAGACAGTGGGCAAGATACACATGTGGCATACTAGGTGCAGTCCTACTGACGGCTGCCGTCTCCGACCCTCCTATGACTGGTCCTGTCCTCTCCGCTCTCGCAGTACCCCCCATCATCCAGCCGATTGCCACCTGGCAGGACAGAGTCACTGAGTGATTTTCAGTTGCCTCACAAACCCCAGACCGGCCGGATTGCTCCCGAACCGAAACGCGCCACAGCTCTCACTCTCCAAATGGTTGACCAATCCGCTAAGCGCAGTGTACTCCCTCTTGCACCGCGGGCAATGATAGATAGGTCGCTCGTGTACGGGACTGGCGAGATGTCGGTCTAAGCTCGATAGCTGGTTGAATCCTTTGGTGCAGAAGTAGCACCGGTAGAATGACCCGTCCCACGAAGCTTGGCTTGCGATATCGGTAGTTGCGGCACCTGCATCATACCATCCAATCTGTTTCATGGTGAAGATGTGGCTTGGGTCAACCTCGCGGCAATATTGGTTGATCTTCTCGCGTGTGATGCCGGATGTGCAGTTCCCTGACTCTAGGTGCAGACAGACGCCGGTCAGATTGGTGAACTTGTTTGTACACCAGGGACATTTGACATTCTTTCCGACATGTACCGATGACTTGAGGTGCTGGTGGCAATCTTGTCAGATGAAGAAACTTTCTGTGGACTGGAAGAAATACCTGGTTCAGGTTGTTCGGACTCTGAAATGATCGCTGGCAACCGTAGCAGTAATTGGGGGGATGCTCTTCGTCAATGTGTTCTTGGAGCCCGTTCCTGGTGCTGAATATGCAGGTGCAGTCTTCACATTGATACCAGTGTTTTTTCTGCTCATGCTTCAAGCGAAGCTTGCCGTCATGGGTGGGCCATCGAGCGAAGCACCAGCGGCATTCAATTTCGTTTGCATGCGCGTAGCTATTGTCGAGGTGTTGCCGAAGACTCTTCGCTTCGAATGAACGGCCACAGCATTCATACATTGTAGGCGATATCTGAAGTTAAGGAGTAGTCGGCTGTGACTGAGTTGACAATGGTGGAATGATGTTGAAGATAGAAGTGTTCTTTTCCCGGTGGTGCGCTAGTGTCTTGGCCAGGCTTAGCGCTCGACAATGTTAACACCTTCGCTGTCTATGTTATTTGTAGTGTGAGATGAACGATAGAAAGTAGAACGATCTATCGGGACCACGATCTTTTTGGATTGCTATTTATCAACAAAGCAATGCACAAACAAACAAACAAACAAGGTATTAGGCTCCTGGCGGATTTTTGCAGAGAAGGAAAGCACTAGGCACGTCCATCAATACAAGGATGCAGGCTGTGGCCATCATGGGGCAAGAGCGGAGAGGTCCCTCAACACAGACAAAAGAGTGACTGCCACAGGGGCCGTCGGCTTTGAAAGAGGGAGTGTAGTTCACGCTGCGGTGAATGGTGGCATCTTCTGCGAGAGATGATCAAAGAGATCCGGCTCCTAGGGTTATTGACTATGTGACATACTGATTAAGTGATGTCGTTGACGAGGACTTTGCTGGAAAAGGAGAATTATCGAGTTTCGCGGTTTTGATGAAAGATGTCGAGGAAAGGAGAGACATAGACATTGGAGGTCAGGTCAGCTCATGCTGCTTGTCCAAAGCGATAGAATCTCATGTAAGAAAGTCGATGCAGACATTCAAAAATTGGGACGGCGCAAGTGGGAGTAATCTATCCGTTTGTGGCTCCATAGGGCGCAACTTTCACCACCGCCACATTCGGAGATTCGCAACAGGCTTGACAGCGTCAGAGAAGGACGACAGGGAGAACAGAAGATAGAGAACAGAACACGGTCAAACCGCGAGTTCCCAGGACTGCCGCGAGCAACGTTGCTCCCGGCAGCCAAGGCCGAGCTCGAAACGAACGAGCTCGGTCGTAGCCTCCTCAACTTTTAATGCGTTCGTCGTTGCATGCTACTCCTCGGGAAAGCATTGCCCTGAGGACTAGTTGCCTCGATGCTTCGGGGGCTCGATGTCTTATTATTAAGTTGTGAAGGAGAAAGATTTGAAGGAAAGGTATTGAAAGACGCGGTTATCACGGCTCAGCCTTCCTGCAGCTAATGAGCATGGTACGTCCCATTGATGAGCTTACGCATAGCCTGGTTTAGAGTCTTGCCGCATTCACGCCGAGGAACGCTGCAATGTCACTTTCTTGGAACTTCGATGCCACGGCCAACGCTCGATATTTCGTCTTTGCTATAGCGCTAAGACGTCCAATGAGGAGCTGGATCTTGTAACGGACTGACCGTACCAGTGTATTCCGAAACCGTCTGCAATCATAGACACATTACACTGAGCCGGTCTCCTCGCATTTGGTATACTTTGTCTAGTTCGGACATAAGTCAAGACATAAGTCGTTTTCTTTCTATGCATTCAGTGCATGCAAGATTTTTTTTGTTCGGTATATTGGCACGGGCCAGCAGCAATCATGCTCCTTCGCCAGTCCCAGCTTGACTGTTAACCATACTCCTATTCCAAGTGTACGATTTCTCCTTGCCACGGGAGCTGCCGCTTCTGTCATTACCTTTCTAAGTCCAACCGAAACTTCTGCGTTCGTTGGAACTTCAAGCAGCTCCGTCTCATCATTGTCTCCAGTGTCGTCTAGAGCTCTCAGTCGGCAGGGCTACCTTATACGGCCAAGTCGGCATCGGATTAGGCGTCTCTTTCGGCATCATGCTTTGTGCGATCGTTGGACTCCCCCTATTCCGCTACCATCGATCTAAGACTTCGCGGGCTGGCGGGCCAACAAAGATGTGCTTTGAGACTGAAGAGAAGGCAAAAGGCGGAAGGTCTCGGGTGGACGAGAGACGCAGTGACGGAGTGGTACGTGAGTTGTACCAGTAGACCAGATTCCGTCCATCTGTTGTTGTCTCTATTACCAGTATTTTAGCGAGATTGTTATTGAAGTAGCGTTCGATGGGCGTAGGTGAGTTGACGAAACTTCATATCTCTTGCATCTAATCATCCTTGGACACTCAACCATCCCAGTCCATTCCATGTCCCATATCGCTCCTTGTAGCATGGTATGCCAGCCAACTTCGTCCACCTCTTTTCACAGTTCCCTGCCCTACGCTCACAGCCCTGTCTTCTCTTGTCAAAACATCCTCTGCTCGTGCGAGTGCATCGAAGCGATCAGATTGGTAAGTGGTGCGCAGTTGGACGTCGCTATTGAACCTCGCTGGGAGTGGATGGTGTCCTAGACTTGAGCCTTCGGTAGGTTCTGGGGGACCGTAACTATTATACCTTGATGACTCGAGCCATCTCAATCCAGGTTCATATCCAGTGCTGGAGGACGATGAGCTGGGCTTTTCGAGAGCCGGAATTGGTATTGTAGGGGATGATGAAGCATTTAAGGGTGTGGTGTCGGGAGCATTTGCGGAAGAGGAGGGCTTTTTATCACAGGCTAAGGATACATGCGTGACATGTTCGTGACTGACTCGTAGATCATTTTCCTCGTTGCTATTGGGACCGTAGGAAGCTATCATGGTAGCAAGGGGAGGGCTGTCGATCTCTGGGAGGCTTTGCGTAGGACTGATATAGCCATTGCGTGGATTCGTGTTGGTAGTAAGGGTTGAGCTTTGAATCTCGTCATTAGAGTAAAATTTGTGTGCACTGATATGAGGAGACTGGCTGTTCGATTTTGGTGATGTAGTCGCAAGAGTGGGGGGGCTGCTGTTGTTGCGGCGGACAAAGGGTTGTACTTCGGGTGTAGGTATGGTCGGTGATTCGAAGGACATCTCGGAGAAGTGGGAGGAGAATTTTGGTACCTCGCCATCATCCTCCAGCGGTATAGCAAGGAGACAGGGGCTCAATGGACCGCCGACGCTGATTTCATTCGAGCCTGCGTCCATCAGGCTTATATCCTTGGTTGTGTGACCTTCTCTCTCTCCAGGAATCTTGCGTCCCTTCCTCCGATTCGGCCAGTCCAACAGCTCCTTCAGTTGGGGATCATACGGTGGCGGCTGCTCTTCACTTGTCCCTTCTGGCGCAGGCGCAATGACCACCACATCCTTCGAATAGAGGCAAGTGAAGGCGACTGTCAGAGATTGATGACACACTTGTAATTTTTGATGCTTGTCTCTGACACTTGGATTGTCCCTGAAGACCCACATGATCCTATGCCCAAATCGAATGCCATGCTTCGTTTGCTTGTCCACTCGGCAAGGCTCGACTAGTTTCGCGACAGCTCGCAAAGCGTCCTCGGTGTCGTTGATTACTCTGTCTATCATCGTGCGCTCGCTGGTATTTAGGAGGCCGGCCTTGAGGCGCCGCAGGCGATGAGCTTCCTGGACCATGAAATCGACATGACGGGTAGTGCCCAGGAGGTCGGCGGTCTGTTCGTCAACAGCTTTGAGCTGGTAGGTCACCTCGAGGATCTTGATTGTAGCGTTGAAGCTGGAGCTGATGGCGGATAGAGGATCTGGTGCGGGGATCACCATCTTGAATCAATGGCCGAAAGAGAACACTGGGGACTGCTGGAGACGATGGGGTGGATACCAAAGGAGCTTTGCGCTGTCTGGATCATTCAAGGACTGCACACTGTCATTCCTGCGCAAAAGAAGCCTTTCGAGTGGGCAGCAGCAAATCAAGGCTGCGACAGCATTATAGCAGAGCCCCTGCGCGGACATGGTGTGGGGTTTCCGCCGAAGGATTCGCATACGGTAATCTCTTTATGAGAAACCAAACGAAACGAATGCACAAAAACGAAATTGCACCAGTCGAGGCTAGCTATTTGTTGCATGCAGCATGCAAGCTACAGACGCAGGCTTGGGGACCAGTAGTCCGAAAGAGGCAGGCACGGTAGGATCGACGGCGCAGGCCTCGTTTAGTGATGCAGATGATTATAAATGATTTTCTCAGCCGTACATCGCTGGGTAGCATTTTGCTGACGATCAGATTCCTTTTTCTCCAATGAACCTGTGCCCATCTTCCCAGAGATCTTGTTAAAATCTCTCGGCAAAAGGATTACTGCAGCTTGCCCAAACGCTGGTGGTTCAGGCTTCAGGGTGGTTTGGCTCGCACTAGCGGAGTGTCCGGGCGCTTCAACGCGGGGTCAGTTCCAGCCGCACCACTATTGAAACCACTAACGAGCGAAACGACTAGAATGGGGAGGGGCTGGAAAACTTAAACACATGGCAAGATGGCATCCTATGATCATCGCATGGAGTCCTGATTCTTCCATCAACAGCTTTTGAAGGAGAGTTGCTAATGGTGCCATTACGACACCACCTTATATAGAGTACCCCACGCAAAATCTTGAAAGTCCAGCCTCATGCATCTAGTACCACCTGATTGACCATGACCTGTGATTCTACCAAACCTTGCCCTTTCTCGTCAGTCGTTTTCATCAGCGCCGGCGAGACAACGATCCTGCCAGGCCCCACCTCGCTGGAGGATGGCCAGTGGAATGGGAGGGTCGATGGCTGCGAGAATAAGAATATGCCTAAAGTTGCGGCGTCTTCCAGGATCGCCGACAAGCTGCGCCCCCGTTCTTCATCCTTGTATCCTGTGCTTTTCCATGGCGCAAAAGCCTTAGCAAAAGACTGGACGGTATCATTGATTTTTTGATCGCGCTGAGCCATGTAGGTGGCGTCATTGATAGGATCAGGTCGCAGGTAGGCGGTCATTACACGCCATCGAGACATGATTTGGGCGGATCCTTCGTAATGTGAGCGACTGTTTGACATTTCGTAATTTCGCGTGGGATCAAATGGTACTCACCAGCTTTGGTAGACACACTAGACCTGGCCGATGTGATGGTGTTTGGCAGAAGCGCGTATTCGTTGGGGAGAAGTGATCGCGCAGGACTTGCGCTCGGCGAGATGGAAGAGGTGACAGACTGTGCGAGGGCGTGTTTCATGATGTTGACTCTGTTCTTCGAGCGCGGGAGGAGAGACGCAAGAGAAGCAGGCAGATATGGCGAGTCGAATACCGCCAATTCCGCATTGTCGGGCCTAGAGGCAGAGGAAGACGAGTTCCGGTAAAAGTTCTCGACGTGAAGCTCAATCTGGTCTAAGATTGCTTTCGCTTTTTGCTGTATAGTCCTGTCGTCCGCCGACTGAGGAAGATAATTTTCATATGTTCCAGATACACCGGATGCCTCGCTTGTGAATGGCTTCTTTGTTATTGGTGTTGAATCCTGCTGTCGGGGTGTATTAAGTTCGCGTCCTCCGCTGTCTTTGGACGGAGGGTAGCGCCGCTTTCCTTTAGAACGTTGTTGACGACGCATGATCACAAAAGTTGCCAGGAATGTAAGTAGCGCTAGTCCCAAGGCCACCCCTACGACTATTCCTGCCACTGCACCATTGGAAAGTCGATTACTTGGCGAAGCTGTTGCACTTGACTTTGTAGTTGGGGTGAGAGATGATGAGACTGAACTATGAGCAGTAGTGGTAGACTGTGTATTTTTTGCTTTTTGAGTACCGCCAGACGAGGTGGACGAAGTTGCTATACCGATGACCGGTGGCAACGGAGAAGTCGTTGGAGGAGTCGTTGGAGAAGTTGTTGGAGAAGCGTTGACTTGACTAGTAGCTGGGGAGGATAAAGTGGCGGGGGATACAGTAGATGCGTCTGGAGTGGCGATAACAGCAGAAGCAGGACTTGGCCCTGCAGGAATTGGAGTTGTAGAAATCGTTGTTGGAGTGGCCATAGTTGGTTGTAGTAGAGTGGAAGGAAGCTCGAGCGTCGCGAGTGAAAGATTGAAACCGATGGCACCGAGGGGAAAGCTAGCTTCTTGTAATTTTCGAGGCTGTACGGGAACAATAATGTAGCCTTGCCGGACAGCCTGGCCCCCAACAAGCAATGATTGGCCATCGAAGAAGGACGGATGTACTCTAGTCGATTGAGTCTAGATCGATACTGGCGAATACAATGCCCTCATAAGTGCAAGGCTAGGCCCCGGTCGGATTAAAACGAGGCTGAAGGATCGTTTCAAGGCTGCGCTATTGATGATGATCAACTCAGGTGCATTAGCTATGCAACCCATGCACGAGCGGGGCTCTTACGGTTTCGGCAAAGATTGCAAGGGAGATAAGGCTGTGGGATCGTTCGAATTATTGTCAAATAAATTTGTACAGCGACGTGGGGGGATCTCACATTTTCAGTAATAGCGCTGGAGCGAAGCACACTTGCGAACGAGTGAAAATATCCAGGTCACTCAAGTCTACTTGCAGCGCGCGCCTTAACCATGGCGAGTGACGGATGGGTACCAGAGATTGTGGTCGGAGTCGATTTCGGTATGACATGCACAGGTGTGTTCGCTCTCCATGATACAGTCTCGGTGCTAGTCATCAGCATTTCTCGGTCTGCTAAAGGCTTTTGGTCAATTCAGGCGTCGCGTATTCCATGGGCCCAGATTGGGCAGAACCAAAGACTCTCCAGCATTGGCCTGGCAAGATGATTAACGAACTCGCAAACAAAGTACCAACACTGCTGCAGTACAAAGAGAATTCTCGAGAAGTCAAGGCTTGGGGCTTCCTCTGCGATCAAGAAAGCGAAGACACGGACATACTTGCCTGCTTCAAGCTTCACCTAGATCCTGCATATGTGGACCCAAGGACGGACGCTCCCGTTCCCACACTCGAAGAGGCGAGGGAATGGTTCCAAGATTATCTTCGCTGTTTGCACGATCACATTGAAGAATACTTCTCCAACGCTTTCCCGCGCTGGAAGACTCAGCGAACTGAGTTTGTATTCAGTGTGCCGACAACTTGGAAAAGCGCGAGTATGATTGCCGAGACGGAGAGGCTCATCAAGGGGGCGGGGTATGGAGGGGATGGAGCCAACCATCGAGTCGGGATTGGACTCACCGAGGCTGAAGCTGCCGCTGTCTATGCTTCGAAGCAGCAATTTGAAGTAAGCTGGCCGGACTTCTCAATCGATGAAATAGCACTCGCTAACACATTTTTCCCAGAAAGACGATGTGATACTGGTCTGCGACGCTGGTGGAGGGACCACGGTATGACCTCAATGACGACATGGTTGTTTCAGTGGTTGTTGACAAGAAACCGGGGGTAGGATGTGAACGTACTACAGTTGAAGTCTTCTAGGGGGGAACCGACTCAGCTTCAGCAGCTAAGCTGGGTAGAAGGACGCTCGATAGGGTCTGCCTTGATCGACATCAACTTCCACCACATCGTCACGGATCGACTGAACAAGATCCGAGACTATCTAGAGGGCGAACCGGACGACATCGCTGATAAGATGATGCAAGGCAGGTTTGAAAGGTTTAAATGTTCCTATGGTACTGCGGGATCTTCTGCGATACCCACAATACCACTCGAAGTGCCTGGCCTACGGCCTGGAAAACATTTCCTCAATGTAAACATCGAGGATTCAACTATGAGAATTACCAGGTACGTTACTAATCTGACCGATGAAAAGCAGGTGACGGAATATTGACAACCTTCAAGGGAAGAGTTGAAGAAGTTATTCGACTTCCAAATTGATCGCATGCTTAGTCTCATTAATGAGCAATTTGACAGGATGCAGAAGAAGCTTCCGCGAACGCAAATCGTTGAGTGATTTGGACGGGTGTCAGAGACTAGAACTCGTGCTAACACCAACGGCAGTCTTACCTGGTCTTGTCGGGTGGTCTGGGGAGCTCACCGTATGTCAGACAGCGTTTCAAATCCTACTACGAGACGGGTGAGGGATCAGAAAGACCCAATGCCCAGGAAACGAAGATCGTGGTTGTTGCCGAACCGTGGGTCGATCCGTTATTGCTTTATGTCTGTCTCGCTGACCTGGAGATAAAAGCCAACTTGCTGTTGTCCAAGGACTAGTAATGGACCGAATTCAAACCATCGGCCGCGGAAACATGATCTTCAAAGAAAGGTGCTGCCGGGTCAGCTACGGTGTGCGATGCCGCGAGGAATACCAACCCGATAAGAACAAAGCGCACGTAGGTCAAACGGTAGTCTTGGATCCGCGAGATGGAAAGAAATATGTGGAAAACCAGATCGACTGGTTCGTGAAACAAGTAAGTAGTTAATCAGTCATCCAGCTACTAGGCAAGCTAACGAAGACCGATCTCCAGGGAGAGAATGTTCCCAGCGATGGTTTCTCGAAGCCATACTGGTTGAAAGTCAAACCCGGCCAGGAAGGTCATCCGTGGAAAACGAACATCATCATGTCGACTGAACCTCACGGTCAACTTCCTACGAGCATGAATCAAGATGGTGCCAAGGTCCTATGCGGTGTTGAGTCTGTGCTCAGGGACAAAGGGGTGGACATGAAACTGAAGAATCGGCATTGGTACAGTAAGGGCGAGAGATACCTGCGCGTCAGATTCGATATTAAGGTCATTCTTGGCGCAGCCGACCTCAAATTCCAGCTACGGTCCAAGAATAATGTTGTACTCAATAACGACCATGACGCGATCCAGGTCAAGTGGGACCCTCCCCAGCGAAGTCCGAAAGAGGATGGGGATGACATGGCCATGTACAGAGAGATATAGTCGGGTAGTGTAGCACCGAGAAAGACGCACGTCGGTGAAAGCTGTACAACATGGGGTACTGTATTCTGGCCAGATTGTTTGACCTCTCGCAGGTCGATTTTCTCTACAATCACATCTAATCGAAGGGATCATCTTCCCAACTTACTTGCTGCATCCATTGCGTGGCTCCAGCTTACGGATCAAAGATTTCGCCACCGCGCCCTATTCACTTCGACCTTGGTAGGGAAAGTGCTGAGTGCAGCCAGAACATCTTTGTCAGTGGACACCACGGGATGTCGCGTCGTCAATAGCTTGAGCCCACTCTGATCCCTGTTCTCGACCTGGGGAATCTTTCCGGGGGCCTCGAGGCATCAAAAGAGAGCAAGAAGTACGCGTGGCCCTCTCGGCCCTTCAAATTGGTGTCTTTCCGCTTCATGTTGGTTTTGACGGCTTATGGCCATTAGCCACAATGTGGCTGGGGGCTACAGCCATATAGCCATGGGCAAACATAGCCATGGGTAATATAGCCATGGGCAACAGTAGCCATGGGTGACATAGCCATTGGCAACAGTAGCCATGGGTAACATAGCTATGGGGAACAGCCATATAGCCATGGCTATGGTGTGCCAGGGTAATCAGTCCACTTGGCGCATATGTGGAACTAACACGCCTGGAAGGCTGAGATGTATCCCCCGAAGTGATCCGATTTACTATGGGCCACAAGCCGAAATCGGATGACTCGAAGGGACGAATCTCCAGTGATTTAGCGAGCGACTTTTTGCATTTATATTAGGCCCATACTCACTGCATAAAGTTCTTTCCTTATATTCTATCTATTTTATATGCGATCTATTTATATAGTATTTTATATAGCCTAGCCTTAATTATATTAGATATAGTCTATTATATTATTAATAGATTATAAGCTTAAATAGTTATTAATCGAGATTTTAGTCTTTCGCTATATCTATTTATTATCGCTATACATCTGCAAATCTGAAAGTTCCTGCTAAATTTCAAATTGCTGATCTTGCGAATAGGGCTGAAATTAAGAATTCCGCCGGTTCAGTAACTATCTCAAAATCAGTCAAAATTCCGCGGTTCGTAACTATCTTAATCTTTTCTATTAGTTCTATTAGTTTAGTAGTAATACGCACAAAAAGAAAAGTTTTAATGATCGACGTTGCGATGGTAGGTTCTATAGCGATAAGTATTAACGCCAACTCAATTTAGCTATAGAATTAGATGATTTAATAAAATTAGTCGCGTAGATAATGCTCTGATATAGCGCATAATAATACGCATGTTGTGATGATATATATTAATATTATATGTACTCCGTATATAGAATAGTACTTAGAGTGCATTACGTAAAATTTTTGAAGTTACTAAAAATTTTTGAAGTTGCTAAACTAATAGAACTGGCGAAAAGAGTTAAATATAGGTAAAGTCTACTTAATAGGCTAAATCGTGCTAAATCGTGCTTATGATGCGAACCCGGCGGAAATTATACGGAAGGAACTTTTCAGATTTACAGATGTAGTCTTAAATATTAAAAAATATAATTAACTCGAGAATTCCGCTAAAGAATACTTAAGGGTAGAGCTATAGTAGACTAGAAAATAAGATTATTTATTCGCTAGATAGATAGCGTTATTAACTAGAGATCTTTCTCATTTAAAAGAAAAGAAAGAGAAGAAAGAAGATCTCTTACCCGATTTAAATAATTTACTAATAATCGATTTATTAGAAGAACTTAATAAGGGACTTATTAGTAAACTATATATTAAAATAGAAGTTTTAAAGAACTTAAACTATTATCTATAGGCCTAAGACTATTAATAGTTCTTTAAAGAATAGAGTATCTTTGAAATAGTGTTAGAGGAATTATTAATATCTATATAATTTAATAGAAAGCTAGCTAAATAATAGATTATTTTAAATAGATAAATCGCTATATTAATTAGAGATAATATTAATCGAAATTAGAAGAGTTATATTATCTATCTTATTACTTTTAAATTTATATAAGATAAACTTTATCGAATTTATAAAATAAGTAGTAAAGAACGTCTTTCGATTATATTATAGAAGTTTCTTAAATATATTAAATTAATAAATTAGACAATCGATTAAATAATAGTAGATTTATAAAATCTATAGAATAAAGTTATAGATTTAAATTTAGTCTATATATTATATAATCTTATTATAACGATAATAATTATAAACGCTTATTAGAGGGTAAATTCGATATAATTAAATATAATTTAAAGATTAATAATAATCTTACTATCGAAATAGCTGTAAAATATTTATAGATCGTAGAGTAAGATAGATAGATTAAGAATAAAGATCTATTTATATATAATAAACGAAAGAATTAATTAGATTAAAGATCTTTTAAAGATATAAGTAAGATAGAATACTATAATTATAGAAAAATTGAGTATTACGAGAGAAAGTATCTAAATAAGAAGAATAAAAAGGATAAGAACTATAGGGCGAAGGATTTAAATGGGCGAAATCGTGAATTAAAGGATCGATTAAAGGATTTAAAGATATTTAAAAATAGTAGATAAGGACGCTTAGATCGTGCTATAGTAGTAGCGAATAAATTAGATAGCGATAGTAATGTTAATAATATAAGTGATATATATAGTCGAAAGAAAGGCTTATAAATAGCTAGGGAAAAGCTAGAGTCTATAAATAGTATACTATTAATAAAGAATTCCTTTATAATAGTAGATTTTTTAGGAAATAGTAGCTGGCTAATAAACTCTAGAGCGACTCGCTATATAATATTAAATAAGGAACTATTTATCGACTTATAACCTTATTCGAAAGAAGTAGAATTCGATAATTAACGTGAGTTAATGGCGATAAATAGAAGAATTATTCGAATTCATATAAGTAATTATATATAGACTATAATAAATACTCTATATATTCTAGAAATAAATAATAATCTACTATCTATTATAGTACTAAATCGAAAGGATTTTAAGATATAATTCGAAAATCTATATATTAGAATTATTAATATATTTATAAGCGAGACGATAATAAGGGGTTATACGAGAAATAGTCTATATTAGTTAATTAAATCGATATCTAATAGAGTATTTACTTTTAGAAAATCGGGATCTTCTATTAAAAGTATATCTGTAGCTATGAAATAAGAATAAGTTAATTATTTTCGATTAATATATTAACGATTAAGCTATATTAAAGCGTATTATTTAAAAAATCTATATCTCTATATAAGAGATATAGAGGAAATAAAATTATCGAAAGAATTTTAATATAATATATATAACTTCACGAAAATAGTTTAATAGATTAATAAGGATCTTAGGCTAAAGAAATAGTACTAGAAGCTTAAATGTATATCGACTTCTAGAAACTATATCTCGTAGTTAGTATTATAAAGAGTAGTAAGTAATTTATATCTCTTATCGATAAGGCTATTAATTAATTAAATCTCGAGTCTATTATATTAAAGAATAGATCTATATTTTTATTCTTAGAAATATAATTATAATTAATAAAACGATTAAAGTAAGAGAAGTAATATTAGTTAGAATTAATAATATATTAGAATATAAGTTAGTCGAGAATATACTTAAGAAACGAGATATTATTATAAAATTTATAATTATTTATATTCTATACTAGAATAATATTATAAAACGATTTAATAGAATATTAATTAAATTTATAAGATTTATATTTAACTAGTTAAATTTATCTATAAACTTCTAATTAAAAGTCGTAGTCTATATAAATTATCTAAAAAATAAACTATTATATAATAGTAGAGAGAGTAAGTTACTCTATAAACTATAATTTAATAAGAAACTAAATATTATATCGTCGCTATAAATTAAAGAAATTAAAGATATATAAAATTCTTAAGTAGAGAAGAGTTTCTACTAACTTTCTAGAGAATATAAATAATAGTAGAGATTCGAGACTAAGTAATTTAAATATATGCTAAAGTAAATTAAAATCTCCGCTAGGCCTTTCGAAGCTGAGAGATTCTTAATATCTTAAATAATAAGAAAATAATAAACTAAGAGATAGTATCTGAGATTAATATTTAATAATCTATTATATCTATATCTATCTCTAACTCTTTTAATCGTATTAAATAACGTCTTATATCTTAAATCGTCATCTATTCTAGAAGAACAAACTAGAGAGTTATATTAAAAGTTTACGTTATTTTTTACTTTTCTACTTTTCTATAGAGATTTTTCGAAGAGTAATATTAACTATTTACTCTATTATCTCTATCTTCTTAATAGTTAAATAAAAGAAAGTATTAATTTTAATAACTTATAGTTATTAGCTATAATGTAGCTAAGAGCTATAGTTATATAGTTATAAATAAATATAATTATAAGTAATATAGTTATAAATAATAGTAGTTATAAATAATATAGTTATTAATAATAATAGTTATAGCTATAGTATATTAGAATAATTAGTTTACTTAACGTATATATAGAATTAATATATCTAAAAGATTAAGATATAATCCTCGAAGTAATTCGATTTACTATGAGCTATAAGTCGAAATCGAATAACTTAAAGGGACGAATCTCTAGTAATTTAGCGGCGACTTTTTGTATTTATATTGGCCCATGTCTACTGTATAAGTTCTTTCCTTATATTCTTCTATCTTATATGCGATTATTTCATAGCATTCTATATAGCCCTGCCTAATTATATTGGACATGCCTATCTATTGCCAACACTTCAGTATTTTGGCAAGCTAAGCTAAATGTGACCTAGCGCTCGACTAGTTCTCCCTCAATCATTCCTTAACGGTCAAGATGGCAACTTGGATGGAACGTCAGATTGTAGCCAGCGAACTTGTCTGCTGTTCGTCACTGATATGCTTCTACCGCGAGTGGATTGCCAATACCTGTAAAAATTCCCTGGTGTGGCCTCTACATTTGATTCCAATTCATTTGATGCAAGGGTTCATTACTCTGAATATCTTTCCTTTTGTGCTTATCATGTGACAGTAACGACTGCCACTTGGAGTCTGACCCCTCTCTGCGTTGAAGCCTAGTCTCATCCTGAATACCAAGGGTCCTCTTTCCACCACCGCCCCAACACCTGACGGCGGAGATGACCCCGAGCAGGAGCTCTAACGCTGTCTTTCAGGTGCTTCGCTCCCAGTGAGTAACAAAATGAAATAACCACCGATCGAAACCCAGCCACCCATGAACTCATACTCTTGAGTCACGCACATCCGCGCAATCTCTTGAGCGATTTCAGCCATGTCAATCCTCGGAAAATTGACACGAGCATAACTCCAGCCAGGTGTGAGAAAGACGCCACACGAACGATACGACCAATTCACTTGCGATGTCCAGATTTGGGGCTCCCGGGGGTCGCCTCCCCTAGTCACACGAAAGATGGCACTGCGGCAGTCGGTCGGACGTGCAATTTGATGTGTCTCCGGTGGCACAGCCCATCCCGGTGGAGTGTTGTCTTGACCGCATTCGATAGCCCAGGATCCGACCGGAGACTCGCTGGGTCTCGGGGTTGTGATGCTGGCGTTGAGGTGGAGGTCTGGCAAGGTCAGAGAATCGAGGTTGCCCGCTCGAGATGACACGGAGCGTTCGGCTGGTTTGGGCGCTGAGGAAAAAATCATGCGATTTGGAGGAAGAGCGAGACTGCTGGCCAAAAGAGTGCAGCCAATGCCCAGCATGGCTAGCGAGGATACCATGGCTCTGTTACCTGATAACGTGCGTTGACGAGGCTGGCACTGTGAAGAGAAGGTATTGGCCTCTTAGCTGCGAAGGCATTTCTAGAGGTGCAGAAAAGTATGGGGACACTTTTCCGTGGATTAAGCGCTTCAACCGTCCGCTCGTGACCGCGATGCGCGTTCCAGACATATCACGTGGTGGTCTCACTCGCCTGGGTGCGATATCTCATACAGCCGGTTATACAAGAGGAGACAGGCGAAAGCAAAGAGTTACAGACCGGCTGAGTCTGTTGGGTTTAAAGGCAAAGGAGTTTGAGCTTTGCGTGGGTTAAGGCGTACGCAAGAGCGATCGCGAGTCGCTACGATGCACGTCCAAGGCCTTCGACTAGCCGCATCACTTACTCGAGGTCGAGTTGGCCCGAAAGAGTGGTTATCGAGCCGGACGTGCCATCGTTCAGAGACATGCCTGGGCCGAGTATTGTGCCGTTAACAGAAAGATGTCACGGCTAAAAGCCTTCCTTCGATCATGCCTCACAAGGTTGTGCTTGGCTCCAGAACTCGATTGAATCACATTGTATCTTGAGCTTGGATCTTCGTTGAACCATGGTCTTCATAGAACATACTACTTAAGCCACGTATTGTCCCACAAGAAATCGATCCCTACACTTGAACAATCCCAGTCGTCCTCGACAGTCAAAAGCGATCATGCTTAACACGGCTACTGGCTTGAGGTAGTGAGGAGCTCCGGCCCTCGCATGATAACTCATGTAATTTCTACTCCCACCTGCTCAAACATAAGTGCAAGTGCAGTACCTAGTAGGAGCTTTCACTGCTCCGAGCGGTGTATCGTTCTAACAGTTGGGTGTAAGCCACAGAAGCTAGGAAGTAAGATTGTCTACATCTTGTTGTGGTAAATACGGATAGGGAAGTATTTGATTTAGGGGCATATACTAGAATGGTCACCACTACCTATTTGACAGTCTTATCATCATCATTCCATTTTCCCCACATGAAATAGTGTATGGAAGCAAATGCGGACTTGATGCAGAGATGCCGAATAGGTACTTGATAATGTCTTGGCGAGGGGGCCATTCCCAGATTAGAAGGCTAACCTTCGTACCTGACCGAAGCGAGACAAACCCTAAAGGACCCTAAACTCTACTAAGCTTATAGTGGGTCCGCTACGGCCGCTTTACCCCTGGCGATCCCCGGAAAGAGCAATGCGGATTCCCGTACCTGAATCTCGGAGTTTTGGGATTCTTTACCTGTATTTTCTTTCTGCTAGACCATCTTTTACTTGGCTGAGTTATGTCGAAAAAGTCAAGGTTAACAGTCCAGTATTCCTGAGGATGATATTCATATACATCATATCCTGATGGTCAAAGTTCAGTCAGGGTTGGAAAAAGCGGTAAAGGGTTGGAATACCTGAGATCTCGGCGAATTGAAGCTTTGGATCGCGCGTCAAACCGCCACCAACTAAAGTAAAGTAAAGTGACTAAAGTCAAACTAAGGTGGAAAAAGCCTGCAAAAACCCGTAATCACCCCTGCCAAGACTTACTTAATCTCAGACAATAATAACCTGCATTTACCCCTTCTCTTTTCTCCTTCTTTTTCCTGCATCTGATTTTTTTGATTTTTATTAACTTATTCCCTTTCATCATTCTTTCTCCCATCTCGCATATACACACATATTCTACTTTACTCTCTTTTACTCAACCCAACACACTCGCTACATAGCATAACTTCACAGGTCACTCGTTTCCTGTTGCAATTCTCATCATCGCTCTTTTCCACCCTTTCCACCCATTTACAATAATACTCCTAATATCTTTAATTCCAAACATTCCCCAAGAACCCTCATCCACCACAAACAATCAAACATGAAGTACGCAGTTGCTCTCTCCGCTCTGGCAGCAGCAGCCACCTGTGTGTCTGCACAGACTCCAGACGGATGCTCTTCAGATTACTCCGGCTACTTCGAGTACAACCCGGTGCCTATCTCTGGCGCCTCCAAGCGTGACGTCGCTCCCTTGCACAAGGTCAGTCCGGTCTCATCCGCTACAATCAAGAACCGATCAATGCTGACATCCATGTTAGCGACAAACGCAGACCTGCACATCCGAGCCCTACAGCACCCTCAAAGGCGGCGTCCTCACAGACCAATGTGGGCGGACCGGTGAAATCGTCGCCAATGCCCAATTCCAGTACGATGTACACCTACAAAACAACGCCATCAACACCGGAGGCTTCTCCATCTGCGCCAACAACACCCTGGCTATTGCCGGAAGCGCTGTCTTCTACCACTGCTTGAGCGGCACCTTCTACAACCTGTACGATGCCAGCATCGGCGCCCAATGCTCCCCAGTCTACATGGAGATCATTCCATGCACTCTTCCGGCCGATGCCGGCTCCGACTGCCCAGCCGGCACTCCTACTTCCGTCTCTTCTTCCACCTCGCCCTCTTCCATTTCGAGCACATCCGTCGCATCCGTCCCCTCGAGCACGTCAGGCACCTCCCCCGCAATTACCCCCGCTGCTGTCGCTGCCCCAGCAAATGCTGTCTTGGTGGTCTCCATGCCATACACCTACACGTCCAGTAACGCCACTGCATCGGCCACCGCTACTGGTACCGGTGTTGTTACGCCAGGAAGCACTGGCACGGCCAAATCTTCCCCCATTGCCTTCCACGGCGGAGCCGCCAGCCTCGCAATGGGCGGCAAACTCCTGGTGTCGGCCGTTGCTATCGCGGCATTGGCTTTTTTGGCTTAAGTACTACATTGGGTTTGACGATGGAGTGGGGGAGAGGGCACTTTGGATTCATTTTCGAGGCATTGCATTTGGGACATGTGACACGGGTGTCACGCATGGGGAAGGGCAATAATTTGCGATAATAGATGAGACTCTCTTGAAATCTTCAACCCATTTACCACGTTCGTGCCACGCGCCTATTCGTCCATTCTCGTACTGTGTGCGTGTAAGCACTTTGCAGACACGATGCCTTGAGGCAGACATCCTATCTACTCTCAATTTCATTCCAAGCTGTAGCGCTCCACATTGATGATACCATTCTTGTTCTCTCTGAGCCTTTCAGCAGTGACCAAAGGTAAACAAACATAGCACGGTCTCTCATAGTCATGGATAGCACCACATCGAAGATCCCTCGATCGCCGCATCCCGCTTCACCCCTCCCCAACTGCATCAGCAACGCACAGACAAGCTCCTTGGCACCCCCGCATGCAGATCCTCACCCTTCGTATCGAAGACGACGGCTTGCTTCTCCAACCGGCGAACTTGCCACCCCCCCCATTACCCAAGCCCGACACTTCGCCCACCCGAAGCCTTCCAAAAGGAAGCATTCTTCTTTCACGCCATACCCAGGGACCCCAAACTGATCTCCCACCTCCTCAACACAACCGTCACCACCTCCTCTCTACGCCCTGCGCTCATCGTCGCCCGCTCCCGCGACCTAGGGCGCCGGTGTACGTACGCAAGGGGCTCTTGACTGGCCCGGCCGGAGCCGTGGTCCGAGGTGCAGGTGGGTGGTGTACGTGTGATGTTCGAAACGGGGACTATGCGGGCAAATTGGCTAAGTATGAGAGTGATGGCGATCGTATGTGCTTGAGTCTTGCAGGATCTGTTCTTGATGATGGGGCTGATGGGATGGGTCGGGAATGGGGTGAAAGGTGTGGGAGTTGAAGAGGTGCGAGGGATGGTATTTTTGTGTGAAGGCCCTGGATGGCAAGAGGGGGGTTTGGCGGTTGTGAGTGAGGTATGGTGCCGGAGTTGAGAGGGGTGCTTGAGAAGCGGAATGCTGTGCCGATACTTGATGGTGATGCTTCCGTCTTCTTCGGTGTTTCGATATCGTTGGGTCGGTCGCTGGTTGCAAGGTTTAGTTGTTCGTCTTCTGGAGAGCAGGTTTGTCAGGTTCTTCACGGCACATGGCAACGAGAGGCGGCGCCGGCGAATAAGTCTCAATACCCTTGATGGATCTTTCTTTGCAGATGCGTAAGTTCGATGGCGCTTGAAGTCCGAGCACCGACGATTGAGGACTCGATCGCCACGACTTCCTTACGATAGGTGTCCTCCCCCCTGGAAAAAGAACCTTGTGCAAATCCTGTGCGGAAGATGAGCCTATGGGTTGTGGATGTGCAACATAGTGCCGAGCTGAGAAGGGAGCTTGAGAGGAGAGGGTGCTCATTGTCTGCGGACAATGCTGCGAATCTCCATGCACTTTTCAAATGAATGTTTGGTGGCGTTTAGAGACAATAGGAGAGACAGTTGATCACTTGATGCCGCCTGTGTCACACCCTTGGCCAATCGGATAGGTACGGGTTTGGACATTAACAGCACATCATCAAACTCACAGAGTATTATACATTCTCCCCACATCATGATTGGCCCGGAGTGGTTGCCCCGTCTTGCAGGTGTGATTGTCTTGCCTCCCTCGGGTCCTCTAATCTCAAAAATCCCCGACTTTCCTGCTCTTCCCAGCTCCTTCCAAAAACCTCAAGATACCACCCAAACCATTCGACTACCGACAGAACTTCCCCCCCTCGAGAACTCGGTCTCTATGCAACCTGATCTTCAGGCACAGATCGACCAAGCATTATTCGACTACGACAACATGGCGTCGGCCCCACAGCTAGAAAAATTGCATCAAATCTTAATGCTGTACACACAGGGGGATGAACACGCGGTGGAGGGGATAAAACTGACATACATTTCTCTCGTAAGCAGAAATGCCAGCGGAACCAATGTTGGAAGTTCATCGGCCAATGACGCCCTCAATAGTCGTCCGCACAAGCTAAGATCAGGGAACTCGACCTATTACAACAGACATTGCACAGGTTGCCGGCTCAGAAAATCGGAGACCAGTTCCAAAAGATCAACGACGCCTTGATGGAGCTTACCAGACTGCTCTTTCCAATCGACCCGGAGATGGCTTGCGAGTTGGTCAAGGAGCAGTATCGCTGCGAAATGCAGTGAATTGAGTCTTGTGCTTTCGCCGGGATTTCGGCTGTAGGGGTCCAGCCCTGGCATGCTTGGGGCGTGCGTTTCATTCGTCGTGTTTTTTGATCTGGATCCGGTCGTATTTTAAACTTAGATCTTGGACAATACAGCACAGCGCACTCATAGATCTCGGTGCGTTCACATCACATCATGGTCTGATTGATGTGAGTGCCACGTCTCGCAGGTACCAAGTATTAAATCCTCCCCGTAGCATATAAAACCCACTCATTCTTGTGTTCTAACCATACACCTCAACAAAGTGCGTACAAGGAGAAGTCGGACAGACAAAAGCAAGTCCATTATCCACGATTCCTCCTCATCATGCCGTTAGATCCCGAGTCCATGTTCTTTGATAGAAGGGACCCAATGCTATCAGAAAAGCTCGAACAAGTGGAGTCCATGCTACTAGCGAAGCTTGAGAAAGGGACTCCAGAAATATGGAAATTCACCAAAGGCGACGAAGAATTGACCGAAGCTCTCAAGAGAATCATGGCTTCCCTCGTCAGTATCCTTGCCACCAGACTTTGTACAGACAGATGACACGAAGTTGACAACCACGCCTCCAACAACAGTGGCTGGCGCAGGCCAAAATCCACGACGCCGTCCGCATCCACGAGCATTTCCAGGCTCGTGGCAAGTTCACCGTCGGTCCTCAAGAGGTCCGGCATCAGCGTCAGAACACCGTCGATGCGATCGATGAACTCATCCAGCTGCTCTTGGGAGTCAGGTTTGACCCTGATAGCAGCGAGTGGATCGCGATCGATCTGAAGCTGTACGCCTCACGCGCTCAAACTCGGTATGCGAATGATGAAGGGCGGGGAAGAGGAAAAGAGGAGGAGGAGGAGAAGAAGGAGGGGGAAGAAGAAGAAGAAGAAGAAGAAGGAGAAGAAGAGGGAGAGGAAGGAGGGGAGGAGGAGGAGGAGGAGGAGGAGGAGGAGGAGGAGGAGGAGGAGGAGGAGGAGGAGGAGGAGGAGGAGGGAGAAGATGAAGACGAAGATTATGAGGAAGAAGAAGAAGAAGAAGAATCGCCGGTGGAGTAGGTTGAGGTATCGAGATGTAGGAACATAGCTAGAAAGCTTCAATACTCGGGGCGCCGCGCGTGATTCACAGAATTTTGCTCACCGTGCCGCCTCTCCTGCCGAATGCTATGCCTGTAATCGACGCGAAAAGATCGCCTAAACCATTCAAAGTGTGGAGTGCTTTCGGTGGAAATTAGTGTATGTCTCTGGACGATTGTTGTCTCCTACTGTCCCACTGGTGATGTTCAGCAGCTGCATCCTCGGGCGCAGATTCTGGATTGGTTACACGTGTATTCCAAATCTCGAACAACGCATGATTGCCTAGTCATTAGATCTCACCCCGTCCACGTCATCCTTGTTTGCGACATTTAACATATCTCGACCATTAAATGAAAGAGCATAGAGACGGCGTGAGAGAGTCCCCTGCCCTTTCCATCCTCACCATAGTTCACCCGAAAGCGTGAAGCATTCTTCGCTTACCATGACTGCTGACAGTGAGTGGCTGTACGGGGGTCCGATCGAAAATAATCCGGCTTTAGAGATATCACCACCGATCAAGAAGCATCTTCAAACAACCTTCGTAAGAAATCCTTTCACCACGAAACCTCGACTTCACAACATCTACGACGAGTTTACTAATGCCCCCCCAAAGCATGATATAAATTTCAAATTCACTGAAGTCAAAAACATCGTCGACGAAATGGTGACTTCAGGGGTAGTGTTCAAGATTCCAACCATGTTCAAAATGCAGCTCGACAAAGTCAAGGAGGAAGTAGATGAGCTTCATAAGGTATTCGCCATGGACGTGTACGAGGTGAATAAGGAGCGCTTCGTCAAGTCGGAGGAAGGAAAACCGTAAAAGCAGATAGAGGAGAGCCATTGCGAGAATAGAATCAGCGATGCTATCGCTCGCCAAACTGCAGTTGCTTGCAAATAAAAAGGGCTCGTGTCTCGCTGAGGTTCGGATCTAGGACAGCACATCAACAGCTCAGAAATCGAATATCGTCCACGTCACCACGATTCCGTCTCGCTGCATTCATAAGCTCTTTCTCGCGCCCACACCTGAAAAGGAGTACACATATACTACATCCCTCTTTGCCTTCCGCACCAGCTTCCGCACATTCTTAACCGACTCGCGCAAATCTTCCCCCAAACCCAAGCTCCAGAATACCATGTCTCGAAGTGATAATCCAAGTCTCGGGGAAACGGATCCCGAAGGCATCCGCAGCGCGGAGCAAGACGAGGTCCAAAGAAGCAGGGACATCTGCGGGGCCCTTGTGAGTACTCAGTGGGAAGCGTCCGTCGTGCCGATTTCGATGTCGGCTGACGCCATGGACAGAGCAAAGCGGATTTTGAGCTTCGCAAAGCCGAAGACCTCTACTATGCCTACAAAGATTTGGGGCTCTCGTATGCGACCATGCGTACGTCGGATGTCAAGAAGGAGTTTGAGTTCGCCAAAGATTATATGTATCTTCTTATTCAAAAGCTCTTTGGGAATTCGGAGAGGGGTTGAGTGAAGCGGAAAACGAAGACCCCCGTGCATGACTAGGTCGATGATCAGGGAATCAGAGGAGCATGAAGGCTCGGTGTGTACTCGAAGGGTTATATTCTGTGGTCAACTTGCCCGTGCCTTTCGCCTTCACCAGAAGACAGAATTCGAAATGGCACCAATGATTCTAGTCGTTAACGACGGATTGCTGCCCAAGGTCAACATCGATTTCCCAATGTACTAGTCTTTTTTGGAGCCATAACATTCTTAGATCAGATACTAGATCTCGGGAATGATTCCACGTGTCACTGGTGTCCGTGGAGGGGGGTTTTCCTTTTTCGCCAATTGATTCTCAAAAGTCGACTGTAAGGCCCAGTCGCGCAAATGGAATTCTCTTTAGGCACGTCAAATAGCCCAATGTCGAAAGAGGGTAAAGACATTGGCTCCATGAGTCGCTATTTGCCTATCAAGCTACATTAGTGAACAGTGGGAGCGTAGATGTGATAGGAACACGAGTTCGCAGGTCGGCAGCTATGCATGAACAGCATGATGGAAGAATCTTGCATTGAGGCGTTCGTTCCCCACGTGAGCCAAGCTCTCACCATCGCGTGGCATGGTAGAACAATCCAATAGGATCGCCGCAGTCAGAAAACGCAAATTTCCAGGTTGGGACGCAAGAGCTGTACATGGCGACCTCATCGATCGGTGCAGTCGCGGCCAGACCGTAGATCCTAGGATCACTGATCCCAATGGTGAGTATCAAGTCATTCGATCTGGTGATGATGTGTGTGAGTCATTCCACGCTGGCAAAACCTGTCTTCCCGACTACAGATTCTAATAAGATGGGATGCCTGTACATATAGTTGGCTATAGACTCCTTTTTGACAGTCGAGGACGCTTCAAGTTCCATTGGATTAAAGGTGCTCGCAATTGCTCTCGACATCCTCGTCGGCCCTCTCGAACACGATCGTGGATATCGAAAAGTTCTATGGCTGCACAAACCCGGCTTCGGAAGCTTTGCTTGAGGGCTTGCTTGACGACATGAAGGAAACAGGGTGTGGTAGCAGAGAAATTGTTGCGGCCTTGAAGGAGACTGAGATGAAGACATCGCTGTAATTGAGTTCAAGACTTCAAGAACGTCGAGGTGGAATTATTTGGGCAAGAACAAAGGAAACATAACAAGTCCTACATGGTGAGGGCGACGAAAGTGAGTATTAGCCCGGTGGATATTGGCGACAGATGTATGATCGGAACGCGAGAGACGGTCACCATCATGTCAGAGCGGAGGGTTCTCGTCTAGTTCGGGGTTCTACGTCCTTTCAGCTATAGCTTGCGACCATGCAGGGTTGATGTTTGTACTTGAGTCTGGACTTGATCGTTCAGCGGCTTTGAAGACACCAGCTTATCGACGGATGTTATTAGCAACCTAAGAGGTGTTCAAGTCAATAGATCTTATTACACCAGTCAACCTAGTAGGTACCAATTCTGGTTTCTGCAAGCCGGAGAGGGCGCTTTTCATGAAACGTAGCTTGTGCCTCTGCTCGGTGCCGCATGGTGCGGCTTGATCACTGCAAGATAATTGTCTCTGCTTGGGTATGCTTGAGTACTGCATGTATTTCATGCGCTACTCATTGCCGGCAAAGTGCTACGAAGGACCGAGGCGCTAAGGAAAAGTCACGTGGGCAGGCGTCGGACAAGTCACGCTGGTCACGCGCTTCGCGTTTTTCCGCCCACCCGCTCAATCCTCCTCAAGCTAATTGTGCTGCAGCAACTATTCATCAACAATCCCGCTCGCTACGGACTACAGCATTGCGGCTGCTGCTGCCACGGTCCTCATGAATATTACGATGGTGTCATCTATCGTGGGCTTACAACTTATGAAGAAGCATGGATACGTTGCGACTGCAGCAAGCAACCCCGGGTATTCCACCATGAGTCGACCGGAATGAACTCCTGCGGAGACAGACGCCATTGTCGACGTTGCGCCTGCGCCAAAGAGAGCCTCCAGCGACAAAGCAAAGCAGCACAACGCACCATCGGCCTCGCAGAAGGTGAAGAAGACTGAGGCAAGTTTCCCTATCAATGCCTGTGGTATGTAAAGCTGACGCTTTGCACCAGGCTTCCAAGGAAGCCTTGCCAGTCCTTCAAGACCAAACATCAATATCAAAGATTGCCCAATCGAACGAGGACAAGAAGAGCTGGGTCTATACCTGTGAGCTAGAGGACGATACGTGTGGGAACAAAAATACTTGCGGATGTGGGAAGTTGGAGGATGGACATACAGCACATAAGTGGGTCGTGACGAAGAAATATCATGAGCTGGCAACGAAATTGATAGGTCAGAAGGAAAGCGTCCAAGACGCTTTCGGCATGTACATCTTCAATGACTGAACTGGGTACGGTATCTGTGAGACCATTGAGAACATAGTACGTGTGGTGTTGGACTGTCGTTGTAATGTCCTGGGCTAAGTAGCAAAGTTCCTCGTGTTCAAGCAGGAGACCAAGGAAAAGGACAGAGATCCATGGGCAATGTGGTCACATGTCGAAGGCATGACGCTTGCCCTCAATGATGGCATAGCGGAATGCAACAGTATGCGGCCCGAACCATTGGCATGAAAATCAAGCGAATAGCTAATGTTTCTGCGTAGTGCTCCATAGCTCCGAGGGAAGTGCAAAGCGCTCTATACTCATCGGCGCCGCTCTTCTAATCACACTCGAGATCCTCGGTGACAAAACGCTTCTCGAATATGATCTTTCGGACATTCGCAACGCCGGTCTTGGCCTAATTCACCTTCTATATTTCGTGCACAGCATGGATTTGCCTTGCAGACTTAACGACAATGGATGGAAGTCCAAGGTCTTGGAAAAGGCTGATGGTTATGAAATGGCCATAGAAGACACACCAGTATAGAGAGACTACTCGCAGACATCCGAGAGAAACTGCATAACGAACAATCCGATGAAGACAAGAATGAGCAGTCGACCGATAAGGATGATCTAGACGATATCACTAACTGCACGCTTTGCTATAAGAGCAAGTCATGGGGCGGTGTCGTCACGTTGAAAAGTCTCAAGCTGGGACTGTCAGTGCGGAAACACTGCAACTGTGTACCGGAGGTACGATACCAATCCGAGAGTCTTATGTGGTGTTTGTGTCATTGACGCTGCGCAGTTTGAAGGATACTCTCGGCTCCAATCGGTCAAGGTTGGGCCCGGCCAGGGGCCTGTCTATGGCGGCAGGATTGGAGGGAAGTTCTATGACTTGACTGCGCAGCGCAAAAAAGGGGTTCATCTGAAGCAATATCGTCTTAACGAGGGGGCGTGGTGAGTGGGGGGTTTTCCGCAGTGTTTTTGAAGGGCTGAGAACTGTTTGCTTTCCCTCGGACGCATCATCTATGTCTGTAGCAATGATCGTATAGCTTCGTCGATCAGTCCAACATAGCCCATCGAGACGACTAAAGGAACATCACAGAAATATGATAGACAGCGGTTGCGATTGGTGTGTGCGTCGACTGATGCAACACGCTAATACATAGCCCAGTCTCAAGTAGAGTGTGGAATTTCTCGATCGTCGGAGAGGGCGTTCGCAGATTTGCGGCGGGCACGGCGGGCGCTATAGATTGACACTCCCCTTGTCTTGTCTTCGCCGTCCACCACCGTGTCCCTCACTCTGATCCCTCAGAATAACTTTTAGGTCCAAGTTCTTTTTGCAAAGAGTCGATCTTTCGCTTATGAGCTGTGAGGAGGCCACAGTTGCTGGAGAATAGTGAGAGGCACGTGTCAGAAGGCTCCTGGAAAAATGCTCGCAATACAGCCTATCTTGATGATATGAATTCCTTTATTGCCATGCCTGGACAGTGGATGCAAAAATCGACACCGCCGTAATAGAAGGGTCTCAAACGTTATAGAAAAACTTTCCTGGCTAGGCGCGTTCATGACGATGTGGCCAAAAACCTGCGTCACCCCTCATGTCGGTCATAATCGCACTGATCCCATGATAATTATACAGTCTTTGGTCGCATATAACCTTTTCTTTTTGAACATGTGTTTCAACACCACTACCAATGCCTTTTAGAACAATTTAGATACAATGAAGCATCTCATTTACATCCCGTTATTGCTAGCTGTCGCCACCTCTACTATCGCTGCCCCTCCAGCTCGGCCTTTCCCATCCGCTGCTTCGAGTCCCTCCAGTGGTTTCAGCGCCTCGAGCGCCCTAGATTGTACTCAATTCACTCCGGCGGGGTCCAGCAACTACATTGCCAACCCTGACCAGTGGGGTCAAGTTTCATCCCTCCAGCGATGGTTCGCTACAATGGAGCGCTCAGTGGAGTTGGCCTGAAGGAGGCACTAGTGTCAAGAGTTATCCAAACGCGGAACTGAAACAGCTAGGAGTGCAAGCCTCTGGGCTCGTACAATAGCATCAATTCGTCATGGACGTGGAAGTAAGCAATGTCTTGTTCCTCTCTGCCTCTCTGGCGCAGCTGTGAACAAGCCAAGAGATCCATCTTCTCGACGAAGGACAATTATGGTCAGTTACAGTCCCGACCCAGTCAGCGCCGACGTCTCTTATGACGCTTTCATATCCACCGGCTCCTGCGGCGCCGGCCACAAAGCAGAAATCATGACCTGGCTCGCTGCCTATGATCCAACCCCCATCACTAAGACAGGTGCCAGCCCATACAAAACAAACGCAATTCCCGGCTGGAACTTGTTCGTAGGCACGAACAAACAGACCAACGTACCAGCTTATAGCTTCGTGGCGCAAAGCTCACCCATGAAGACATATAGTGGCAATCTGATGTCGTTCTCCACGTATCTGAAACTGTGAAGCTGATTGATGGGACCGAGTATCTGCAGGAAATGCATGCCAGGACGGAGCCGGCGAGCGGTGATAATGTAGTCCTTACCACCTCCGCGTTCACGCTTTCGACTTCTTGAGGGAGGCCAGCGGCTCTGCAGTCGGAGGATACCTTCATGAACGGGGCTAGGAAGAAGGGATGTCCAGACTTTGTCCAAGCGAAAGACACCTCTGGCAAACTTACATGCGCATCTGTGACCATGAAATGAAAATCACTGTGCATCTGCTACTTCTCAAATGGTCCGCTGAACTCCGTCTCATGATTGCTCGGAGCCCCAAGGGAGGAAGTGCCCCTCGTAGAAGGTGTGAAAAGTCTGCTACTTCGAAAGCATGTTGTCTAGGACTTTCATATCAGCGGTAGAGCATTTTGTCTCACCCCAATGTAGAAAACCCAGGTAGGGTTGCACGATGCAGAAAGGCAACGGCTATGATCGTGTAAACTCCCATTCATGCCTTGGTAGAACTTCCGACAACATTCCAAGCAACAAATCACACAAGGTTTCTCCAAAAAAGGAAAAAAAAACTTTTTCCCCCCCCTAAAAAAAAATTTTTTCCCCCCCCCCAAAAAACCCCTCTCCCCCCCAAAAAAAAAAATTTTTTTTTTTGGAAAAAAAAAAAAAAAAAAGCCCCCCCCCCCCCCCCTCTTTTTTTTTAAATTTTTTAAAAAAAAAAAAAAAAAAAATTAAAAAAAAAAAAAAAAAAAAAAAAAATTTAATAATTAATATTAAAAAAAAAAAAAAAAAAAAAAAAAAAAAAAAAAAAAAAAATTTATAAATTTAAAAGTTAATAAAAAAAAAAAAAAAATTTAAAAAATTAAATTATAAAAAAAATTTTTTTTTTTTTTTTTTTTTTCACCCAAGAGTGTTAGATTTTTCCTATACCTGGGGAGACTCGTTCAGACATGTACGGAAAGACCAGGGTGACTCGAATTGTGAAAATAGAATATTCCTAGGAGATCGCGGCAGGTCGGTGAGACCGATGGCGCTCAGGGTGAGAGCGAAAGACCACAAAGCAAGTTGCCAAGAGCTCGTGCAACGGGCATCTTCAGGGTCTGGGAGCTGCTCTTGGTTTGGAAACTCGACTGCGAATGTCGATTCACCCTACCTCCTTGAGATATTTGAATGCTTACGCTGGGTACTCACGACGATTGAGGGGGTTCTGTCTGCCCAACCGCTCACCTTTGTTTGAAAGAGTTGTACATTGCTTTAGGATTCAGAATGTAGAGTTAGTTATCACGGTTGTGTTGTCAACAATGGCCGCGCTACTGCTAGTTTCGCATATATACCCGCAGATAATGTCCATTGAGGCTGCTCTAATGAGAGGCGAATGCGACACGTTTATGCGACACATTGGACATGATCTTTTGGCAAGCGGATCTTGGATTCTTTGGGCTACCGCTTTTCAGGCAAATCGCAAGTCGACGGACCGGGCCCCAAAGTCAAACACGGCAGGATAAGGTGGCAAGCGATATCATTGCAATTTTCGAATAACTAGACAGTTTTCCTGAGAAGAATTCAAGGTTAAAAGCTGACTTCATAGAGCAAAAATGGCTCATCCATATTTCCGGCAATTGACCGTCGTGATCAGTCTTCTCTCCATAGTTACGACTACGTCTTCGGCGGCCCCTAGACAAACGACAATGGACACAGACACATGTCCGGGAAAGACAACAGACGACTCACTGTACAGTCTCTTACCGACATCGAGGTTCAATCCAAAATACAGCTCTTCCTTACCGGTGGATGATACGTCCAGAACGCAGCTCGACGCCAGAAAACAGAGCAGGCTCAAAGGATCAACAATCAGCGAAGAATACGGTAACACACCAGAGCCACCCACGAATGATCTAATCGCCCATTCATCCTTCGATCGACCGAGGGAGATTCCTTATAGATTCCTTGCAAAGCGCCAAGACTGGCTGGAGCGGCTCATAATGTACAACAGCACCGTCATTTTGTTTTTAGCGTTCAATGCCTTTGTGCCAACATTCCCCCAGCAGGTAGATCGGCTCGTCAAACAATATGCCGAAATCGCGCGAAAGGCGGCACATGAATGGTCGACGCTTACACCGGTTGGGACGCTGAAGATCAAGTTAGGAGTAACGACATTAAGGCTCGAAGCCCACGGCAAGCAAGGCAACGAGACAATCCCTTGGGGTTTCGTCGAGGAACTGGCATACAGAATGGGCAGAGCTGCAAGGGCTGGGTTCGACGGATTTTTTGAAGCGGTCGGTTTAGGGGTATGGTTTGGGGCACCAGTTGCTTACGCTGTTTTCCTCGCCCGATTTGTCGGGCCTCGCCAAGACCGTTTGATCCCAAACCTTATTGGTTATTAAGTGACGGTCTTGATCTGTGATGGTGCAGCGTCTCTGCAAGAAGGTCTCGCTTGCCGGAACAGGTGGCTATTAGACAAATTGGGTACGTAGAAGGTCGAGATCGAAGCTGTGAAAGGTCTCAAATCAGTAGTGAAGTAAGAATAGAAGCATTCATCGCATCAAGCTGGTCTACACAGATGGCACTCAAAGGAGGGACGAGGTCGTGGATTGTATTTTCTGCGGGAGACAAAAACATTCAACACTACAAAAAGCGCTCGACTCGTCTCACTCTGTATTTTGTAGTAAGATTGAAACATGCAAAGAGATCTGAAAGAACATAAGCGTTGCATCAGAGCGTCCAGGTTATACGAGCTGGTCTTCAGCTTTATTTACCATTTGTTCTATTCTAAGGTACGAGAAGAAGGCAAAATGGAGATCGCGAATAGACACAGTGGCTGAAGATCTGATGTGAAGACAGGAAGGGAAATCTGTTCCTACCACCCCAGCGAACATTGGCAACATACTTGGACTTCCCATGCAGAGTATAGCGATCGTGCGTTTCCTGGACCTGCTACAGAGAGACTGTTGATAGGAGTGGAGGCATTTGGTTGATTGATTGATTGATTGACTAAGTCATAATGGAGGGGCTACCCCGCGGGCTTCACAAGCGTCAATCGCTTCAGGGAAGATAGAAACATTTTGCTATCTAGTCTTAGTGGCTTTACGCACTCACGAATTATGGAGAGACTTGGACTCGAGAAACTAGAAACGAATGATTATTATTAATGGTGCTAAGGACTACGTAGATTTCTCACGTCTCTACAATATCCTTATTATCATCGATAGAGATATCGACATCCCAAACCATATGGCTAGAATCTTAGATGTTATCGTCTTGGCCGGTGACGCAGCACTTCTCCCCACACCACCCGTCGCACTAGGAAACGACGTTGCGATAGCACCACCGCTAGGTAAAACACCCGTGCTAAAAGTATAACCCGCGCCTGACATGGTAACTGTATTCAAGACAGGGGTTGCATAGGCAAAGGTTGATGATCCAACAAGCAGACCGTTTGAGGCAAGCGAAAGCCTCGTCCCATCTGCCGTAATTGCGGGGCCTCCGATAGCAAGAGTAGTACCGTCGACCACAACTGCCGTGCTGCCCAGTGGAGTAAATGTCTCTCCACCTGCTGTGAGCGCATTATTACTCGTGTTGCTAGAGCCTGCGGTAGCTAGAGGGATGGTAGATGTGCCAACAATAAGGGAGTCAGCTTTATTGATGGAGTATGTTATTCCATTGATGGAAACGGCTGAGGATCCTGGAAGGAGTGTGGAGTGCCCAATCTCGAAGCCTCCTTCGATGCCCGGAAGAGCTGTCAATGTTTGTGAACCGATTGCCAGCAACGACGTTGGAGGAGCAGGAGTCGAAAATGGTAAGCTTGAGGTTCCTATAACGACGCCAGATGGCCCGAGAGACATGCGTGTGCCAGAGATCATGACAGCTTTTCCACCTTGTGTGAGAGCCATCCCGCCAAAAGAGAAAACCGCTGCACTCTGCAGCGAAGGCGTAGGATTTGCAATAACTGGGGTGTATGTCATGCCTCCTATCATGATCGGCTTGGAATCTGCCTGCGCTAATTGGGGATTGGGTTGGTCTATCTTGGTGTGGTCATTGTTGACTGAATCATTGGACTGCTCTTGAGAAGTTGAAGGCTCCAAATCCCCTTGGTCTGGCGTATTGGCCGGTGACTGTGGCGTTCCAGACTGAGAAGTGGGTGCTACTGGTGCATATGTCTTCCCACCTACGACTACTGGCCGAACTTGGGGCTGATCCGGCGCGGTGTCCGATCCAGTAGATGGTTCTGATAGTGCTGCCGAGAATGTCAAACCGCCAACGACAACGGGAGAAGGCGCCACTTGCGCAACCGGACTTGGCGATGCCGGTTGGAACGTCAAAGTCCCTGCAACAACGGGTTGCGCATGCGATGGCATGGCTTGCGCTTCCGGAACTGGTGCTGCTGAGGTGCCAACAAATATAGATCCGGAAGCGACTCGGACAAGCTGTTTGCTTATGGTGATTGGATTCCCATTAGCTGGCACTGTCTGACCCTGCACAAGGACTGGAGGATCTGTGGCCGCGGGGGCTACAACTGGCGCTGCTGGCTCGGATTCTACCTGCGAAGCATCTGTTCCTGATTGAGAGTCCGTTTGCTGCGTATCTTTCACGGGTTGAGAGTCCGTTTGCTGCGTATCTTTCACGGGTTGAGAGTCTGTCTGCTGCGTATCTTTCACGGGTTCTGAGTCTGTCTGCTGAGTATCTTTCACGGGTTCTGAGTCTGTCTGCTGAGTATCTTTCACGGTTTGAGAGTCTGTCTGCTGAGTATCTTTCACGGGTTCTGAGTCTGTCTGCTGAGTATCTTTCACGGTTTGAGAGTCTGTCTGCTGAGTATCCTTGGCTGCTTGGGGCACTGGCGATGATACGGACTGTGGCTTGCTCTCGGATTCCGATGGGGCATGGGAGGTCGGTATCAGGGCGGTCGCAGGTTGGAGGGCTGCTGGTACTAGGGCTATTGGTCCTACACAATCTCGCACGCGCAGATATGCAGCGATCCGTCCGCGGAATATCCATGATCTCTTCAGGCCAGGATCGCAACCATTAGTTGGCCCTGCCAAGGTTCCAGTCGTTCCGGATCCAGGGGTTGTGTTGTTAGTCGCTACTGTCGCACTTTTTGTGGTGGAGAGTTTAGCTGCTACAGGTTTCTTGACTGCCGGAGCGGCGCTCGACACGGATATCAATGTTCGAGCTGATGTCGGTCGTTCCTTCTCGTTGGTGACAGGACGTGACAAAACCTGGGAAGAACTTGGCACTGAAGTGTTTGCGGCCAATGTCGACTTGAGCAGAGGCTGAAGATCACTATTGCCAGCATTGGCTTGGAATTAAAGATTGGACGTCAGCTATAGCCCTTAATTGAGAATGGAAGAGTTGTAATTACCGTGGGCTAATGATATAATTAAAGTAAGTAGAAGCAAAGGAACGAATGGAAAAGGACACGCTCGTCTCATAGTGATAGTCATAGTCGTCGATAAAGACAGTGGCGAAAAGAAAAGCTGATTTGTTACATATGATCTAGAGGCGACCTGCCATCATTTCCAAGACCATCGGAGTACTGAAGAGAATGGCAGTATTGTCAACATCGAACTCTTCCGGGGAGACAATGCAAGGACTGAGGTATAGAGTCTTGAAAGGCTGAGAGACGGATCAAATCTCGCTGGTTTTCACCGATCTCACGAATCTTGAACATTGTACCCTGTAGCGGCCTAGATGTCAATGTTAAGGGAGAAATTCCAATTGGTCGCAGCTGTTTTAGAGTTGTGAAAGCCATCATCTGGGGTGAGTTTTTTAGGGGCCGAAACATGCTTAGCGAGGGGGCGGATGGCCTATCGAGCCTTATTGGGCCTGAAGAGATTGCGAGGTCGCGGCGTAGCAGCCTTATTCACCATGCTCATTCCTCGTATTCAGGTTTGCTAGAACCAAAATTGTCGCCTCATCCTGGCTCTCAATCGAAATAAGTGGAAAATATCAGGTTTCCTTCTCGGGAACGAATAGCTAGGAGGATGCTGGAATTTGGAAATTCCAGTCTCTACTGTGAAAGGCCTGCGGAGCACTCGCGAAACGAGCAACGAGACTTTCATGCTGCGCTTCCGGAGTAGCAATAGATTCGGTAAGGAGACGCCTTTGATGAGATTGAGATCGAGGTGCTTCGACAAAGACATTTTCTCAAAGGAGTATCCAAAGTCTTAGGGTTTTCAGTACCAAACGAGGTCGACATCAATCACGAGACCTAGATAATGAGATCCTGTCGTTGTCTTCATGCACGATCCCGATGTTGTAGCGGAGGAACATGTGGACGCCACCACATGGCTGATACTTCTTCTAGGAAGTATGAATGACGCCTGTAGTATGATGTAACACCTCTGACAGTGGCCTCACTATTTGAGCGACGCGAGTAGTGGGGCGAGGGGCTGAGGTTACCTTCAATCGGCTATGAGTAGTTGAGTACCATCATTCCTTAGAATGGCCGGTGCTGGCCTTGGAATTTGGGTGGTGGGAGCTATCGGCAAAAAGTTATCCCTAACTGAAATTATATCCAGTGTCTACACTATACCCCCTTTTATCTTCTCACTCTACGGTCTTATAAGTGCGGCTAAGAACTTAAATGCTTACGCTTTGAATTCGAGTCTAGAAAAGTTAAGTGAGATATCTTAGTTTAGCTCTCAAATGCCGGCCCTGGAACTAAGGTGGTGCTAATTGCCACTTAATCCCGGGAACTATCGGCAAGAAGTCATCCCTAACTGAAATCATATCCAGTACCCACACCGGGGGGGCTGTACTTACAAGGTTCTACGACGCCTCGCCCGCTCGCGACCTGGAAGTCGGCAATATCCATGTGCGTACTCCGAGATGACTCCAGCCACCACTTCTATTTATAAATGTCACCCACTCTTCTTGGACCAGATTAGGTTTGGCCAAGATGCTTCAGACGTAAAAGTTTAATTCATTGTCAGATGCAGTTTCAAACTCGCGAGTTGGACCGGCACAGATGGTGGATGACTGTTGCTGTCGCTGTTACTGACTTGTTCACCAAGTCGCTGACGTTATAGAAATCCCAGCCTCGCTTATTGACACGTTGTTGAGGAGCCTAAGATTATTATAGGTCCGATATTCGACGTTACAATAAGGCCACCTAAATTTCGTAAGCGAAATTTGCTGATGCCCTCCAATCACTGTTATACTTACTTGTTCTCACTAGCGGTGATATCATCTCCTTAAAAGCCAACGTGGTCGTTCTCGGGAGAAACAAGTTCTTCATTTGCTGGAAATACTCCTTGCAATAAACAAGAAATGTCGTAGTCCCGAGGTGGCAGTCGACTTGCTTCCTGTGCGGCACTGCATCCAGACCTGTCCCATACAGTAGGTGCTGACAATTGTGATATCTGAAGCGGGACTACGGTACCAAAGGGTGAGAGTAGGCTGGTCTTTGGGTAGTAGCAGTCCTATAGGGCGTTTGGTTCACGTATTATGTTTTCATTATGAGAAAGGCAAAGCAAAGAGAGTGAAAATAAGGTCATTGCAAATTGCTATTTTCACTATTTGAAATCTTCTGGTCATAGCTGTGGGAAAGCAATATAGGGCGAGTCACCCCAGAGGGCTGCGTAAATCAAACAATACTGAAAAGAAGCACATATTTCAAAACGGCGACAGAATCACTACGGAACGGTTCAAACACATCGTTTCGAAGAAGTCTCCAGACTTTCTGGAACAGCGCAATGAGAATTAGCACTATGTCAACAATTGCCAGTGCCCTTACAACAGGTCCTCAATTTTTGCAGTTTTTAGCCACTCATATGAGTTCACCGATGTTTCTTCTGCTTAGAACGCATGGACCACCAAGTTGAAGAAGACGAAGTCCTCGAGGGTAATGAGCCGCTGGCAGAAGGCTGTCTACTGGCAGCACTGCTGCGCATGGCCTTTTGGTGCTTCGCCAACAGACTGGTGATTTCAGGAGACTTCCTTAATGCATGATTGGCTGCACCTAGTGCATCATGCCCGCACTTGTCTTTGGCGTCAGCATCCGCCCCAGCTTCCAGCAGTATGTGGACCATGTTCTCAAGTCTGGACTCTATGGCCGCGTGCAGTGGCGTCCTCTCCGCGATATCTCTTGCTTCGAAATCTGCACCGGCGGCTAGCAAGAATGAGACCATCGAAATGTTCCCCTTTTCGATCGCATGGTGTAGAGGCGTCTTTTGGTAGCGACATCTAGCGTTGATGTCCGCGCCGTGAGTAAGCAGCATCTGTGCGACGCCCTGACCGACCCGATTCACCATAACCCGATGCAAGGGTTTCCATCCAAATTCGTCTCCAGTGTCGACATTTGCGCCGCTCTTCAGCAGAAATTCAACAATAGCCTCATGATTACCCTCGGCAGCGCAGATCAAGGGCGTACCGCTGTTAGGACTCCTAGCTTCAATATCGGCACCTTTTTCAATGAGCAAGCGCACCATTGCTTCTTGACCCTTGGTAGCCGACCGTAAGAGAGCAGTCCAGCCCATGTCAGCATCAGAGGCATCGACTTCATCGTAGTCGTCTACGTCACTGCCTAGTCGAGCTAGTGGATGCTTCTTGGGCGAGAACTCCTTAGGACTTCTCGATTCGATATCAGCACCCTTCGCTAGAACCGCCTTCACCGTGGGAATGTTGAACATGTCCGCTGCTCTGTGTAATATGGTCCACCCGGCTGTTGTTGCGTCGACTTGGGCACCTTTCCTAAGGAGTAGCTCCACAATGGACAAGTATCCATGATTCACAGCGTGCATGAGAGGCGTTATCTGATCGGCGCATCTTGCTTCGACGTTGGCACCTCTTTGGAGCATCAATTGAACTAGCTCCTCATCCCCAGTTGTAACCGCAGATATAAGCGGCGTCTCCCCAGACTTCGTTGGCGCGTTGATGCTCGAAGGATCGACCCAAACGTCCGGCGCCCACCTCAAATGGGATTGATTGACTGGGTGTACTTCGTCTAGTTGAGGTTGCAATGGCATACTACGTCTTTCTGACTTCTCAGGCACTTCTGGTGCGGCGCTCTCCGCTCGGTAGACTTTTCGTAGAGCCTCGGCCGTTTCTGTCTTATGCTGCAGTTCGTAGACACGAACGAGTAGCTTGACGGACTCAACGAGTAGCCTATCGTCCTTATCCAGCGATCTCTGCCTGCCCAGGTATGCTCTCTTGGCAAATTTCTCAGCTTCTACTAATCTGCCCTTCTCCTGGTAGATCTCAGCCAAACAATGATAAAGCCTCCATTTCCTATCAGTCTCGCCTTTCTCTTGCATCAATAAACGATTTACAAGCGACTTCGCCTTGTCCATCTTCTTTTGTTTCATGTAAAGATCCGCTAGGATTTCGTGCATTTCAGTCTGGTTGTCATAGGGTATCCCTAACTTTCTTTCCCTCTCTGTCAGATACTCCATTGCTCTGCGATGCGTTTGTTCTGCCAGTTGGTAGTCACCCGCTTGCTTTTGATTATTGACTTCCTGTCGTACAGAGAAAATGAGTTCTGAATAGACCTCTGGAGGAAACCTGTCTTCAAACTCAGGCTCTGGATCGAAGATGGAATCGCGATCAGAATCCGAGCTACCACGATGCTTTGCGTTAATGTCGTCCAAGTGCAACACGATCGGCGCTTCCACTGAAGGCTTGGTATTCTTCGGTTGATGAGCCACAACTGCTTGTCTCTGAATGGCAGGTTTTGGAATTCCGTTTGGTGCTTCCAGTAGCTGCTTCCTCTTTTGCAATCTTGGATCCTCAGGTGGCTGTAAATCCTCTTGTCTCTGCTTTTCTTGGTTCGATGCAGCTGAAATCAATTCTTCAGCTGGTGAACCTGGCAACTCGCATGGCAATTGCCTAAACGGTGATTGGACATTCTCGTGCACTGTTGTGGTCGTAACATTCATGATGACCTCGGCCGAGAAAACACAACTGTCAACATCGTAAAGGAAGGTCTCCTCTTCCACGGCACTGTGTTGAGTGATGTTCATACCAAGACCCTTTCGGCACGATACTGAGTCCTTCAGACTCTGGATTGCCTCGGATAAGTCCTTGTGTTGAAAGTAGATGCCGTCTTGTGGGAGCTGACTCTTCCACTGATAAACTCTGTGCAATGTCAGCAGTGTCTCTGAGGTGTGCTTTTTCCTCCTTAGTGGTTACAATTTGACGGTCTGCAGTGACATTTGTAGTGTTTGTATGTAGAAGCCAATCCTTGCCCTGAGCGCCAGCATTTCCGAACTTTCCATGTTCCTGAGGGCTTCTTTCAAGTCATCCTGTGAATCAGCCTGACCGACTTTCGGTCGCAAGGTTGCAAGGATATCGCAAAGTCGAGAGAGTGTCGTCCGGCATTTGGCAAGTAGGACCTCTACGCTGGTAAAATGCTGCTCCTCAAACGCCATCCGCGGCAACTTGGCTTTGAACACTCTGTCAATCAGATCTAGGAACTTCCGAAGCGTCCGCACTTCATCGCAGAAAGCCTTTACGTCGTTGGCAGCATTCACGAAGTTCCGCAGCGTTTCAAGTATAACATCACACAGGTGCGCGATGGCTGGATCGCCGACCATTGGTGGGGATTCCATGACGATGAGAGTCATCGAGACGAGTATTGTTTTGTTGTTGTGCAATAGATGAAAGGGCGGGTTTTAGGTGAAGTGTCCGGTCTGACGATGAGGCTTGCAGCGGGCTACGTATGCTTACATCTGCAAGGCCGCCCAGCCACCTTCCTAAATCGGAATCTTGCAGAACACTGCCTTGGCGAAGCCATTTACCTCTACAGTGCTATTGATAGACCACCGCTATAGGAGGCTATGAGTGCCTCGCCAGATATAAAGGAAGCGCTTTCGAAGGCTAGCTACCAAATCTACAATTTCACATCGCTTGCTACGCTAACTCAAATCATGAAGGTCTCTGAAACTTGTATAGTGGGCGTAAAACCACATTCCTGCGTAGTACGTAATAGCGGAAGGCCCATGGTAGTACCTCGGTGACCTGGTATCGCATGTGTTGACGAGTTGGAACTGCGACTTGATCCCACATGTCAGCTATGCGTCACCCAAACATCTATAAGGCAATGAGTTACATATGTAGTCCAATTCTTCAAGCGTCCTTTGTTTAGTCTCTGGTACCCAAAGAAATATCATGATCAGAGCTATCACGTTGAGGCCACTACCACTGATGATTAGCACAACCTTTGGTAGAAAGAGGTCGGTTGCTATCTCACGCAAAGAAGCCCACGGCACCGGCTGCGCCAAAAACAGCTACCATACGTGGGAAGACGAGGGTCAAGATTCCAGCGAAAAAAAGATTGACCGCAACAGATAGACTCATCCCGACCTCTAGTTCCGGTTAGTAGGAACATGACTGAAAGGGGAAATGTCTCTCGTACCGCGATGGAACAGAGGAAACGCTTCGGCGGAGTAGGTGAAGGGAACCGGCCCCTCACCAGGCGAATAGAAGGCAGTGAAAAGGTAAATGAAAAGCGCGAGTACAGGTAGATGCGCGGGGCTCTTATTTGGTATCTTGAAGCAGAATGCGGCGGCCAGCAGAGTCCAGGCCATATTGGGGAAGGTGACGAGTAGCAGAGCACGGCGCCCGAACGTGTCGATTGTTGGGACTGCTGGCCAGGCAAAGCTATGAGATGTCAGCCACTCTGCTGACAAGTGTGCGCGACCCTAGGGTTTACTTGCACGAAATTTATCAGTCCGAACCCCCAAGAAAAAAAGAGGGCAGATCTTTTACTCGCATGTGCGTCTTTGAAGAGGGTGGCTGCGTAGAAAGCCATGATGTTAACTACCGCGATGTTAGTAACTTTCGTAGAGGTATCATGAGAGCTAGTGAGCTCACTTCCACACATTTGCTGCGCGATCATGACTACGAAAGCAGCCAATGTCGCACGCCTTACTCGGGCAATGGTAAATAGTTGTACGAATCGAGCCAGATATCTACCCCTGTTGGTGAAGTGCTCTTTACCATTTTCGAGGTTCATCTTCTGGATGTCTCCATCTCCTAGCATAATCTCCTCGAGTCTCACCTGAGCATGTATGTAGTATAGATCGCGAGCGGCCTGAAGGGGAGTATTTCGCAGGCGTTGGAGGGATCGAAAAGCATCGTTGTAGCGATGTTTTTTGATGTACCAACGAGGCGATTCTGTTTAGTGTAAGCCGTTGACTCGGACCTATACGCAGGCATGTTACCGGGGCATAGATATATTCCAATGAGTAACGGAACCGTCGGAATGAACGCAGACCCGAGCTGTAAGCGCCACGCGATCTTTCCAACTTGGTACACTGCCAGATTGGCAGACGAGCCCCTATCGATACCGAGTCAGCGAAAGCGCCGCCCAGGAATTATCTCAAAATCTAACATGAAGATTCCAAAGGAGACCCATAGTTGCCAGCCCATGACTAAACTCCCTCTAATGGAAGCAGGCGAATTCTCAGCAGCAAACACCGGAATTGTTGATGCCTTGGTCCCAATCCCAATACCGAGTAACAAACGACAGGCAAACAGCTGTTGCCATGTTTGGGTGAATGCAGAGCCTATGACAGACGTCAAGCAGAAGATTGCCGAGACGAATATTGTTCCTCTTCGCCCGATACGATGGTTCAATGGATGAGAAAACCAACAGCCTCTGGCCGCAGATGTGGTTAGTGGTGGGCAGCGAATTTAGAGGCATTTCCCTACATGAATGCAGCCGCAAAGTAGGGAGCCGCATTGACCAGCCCAAATAACCAAGCGCCACTGCTGCTGCTGCCTGCTGTGGTGTCGAGGCCAAAGACGCTCGGCCAGTCGAGGTTGGCTCCATTCGACCCTGTCTGGTCCCATCCCCTTAAAGATGTTCCTATCAGCAACCCACTATCCCTTGTGCAAAGATATGGTCCAAGCTCACTGTACTGCAGCACCGACAGAGCAAGTGATGATTGTAAGGTATAGTGCTATTGGCTGCTTGAATCGACGATATTCCTCGTCTCGCAGCGCTTGCTTTTCTGTCTCCGTTATCCCTCGTATCGCCTCGTAAAATCTTGGATCCTTGGCAACCTGTGCGCCCTTTTTCAATAGTTCGACATGCTCCTCGAGATGATTCGCGCGGGCGAAGTCACGGACGTCTCGTAGGAGTTGCTCGGGCGTAAGGTGCGCAAGTGGATTTTCGATACTGCCGTGATGGAGAGCTAGTAAGTAAGGATACACATGTTTGGGATAGTTGCACATACAGAGCCTCAACATTTCTATTCAAGTCAACATGAGCCAGGCCGTCTTCAGCGGACCGAGTCGCCTGCGCAAAGGATTGTCAGCCTATACGCAAAGGAAAATAAAGGCGAGGGAAATGAGTTCCTGTACGTACGTATATTCTGCTGGTCAAACCGAAAGACTCTTTGTGCTCATCCATCTTGGCGGTGAGTTCCAGGCAAAGGGTGTCGAAGTGTAGCGTTGTCGAGATGAGATGAAAGTCAACGAAATCGTGGGAGCATGTTTCGGTGTGATATTTCAGCCTCGTCAGATCTTTCAGCCTTGTCAACCCCGCTCAGCTGGGAATGTTTCCGACGATGTAGGTGAGATGGTGGATGCAGGGTAGTCATGATTGGGTGCATAGCCGCATCAACCCCCCTCCATCGTCTAAAGTTTCGCTTTTCGTTTCCGTTCCTAAGCACGTAATCTTTCCATTGTAACCTCGTCTTTTGTGATTGAGATGCATGTCCTATCGTTTCCGCCACCATCACGGCCTGAATCAAGCAAGCAACTTGTTGGTAGGCTTGCTGCATGAAAAAAGTGGTAGCATATTGACAAGAAACGAAAACGAAAATTTACCCAGCTGGGTACTTGCGCTTGGGCCTACCCTATCAACGTGATTTTGTTTATTGGGATGTCCATCCCAGCTGCAGCTTGATGCACAGAACGGCCGAGATTACTGTGAAGGGCTAGATCGTCGCGCCCATCGTCTTGATCACAACGAAAAGGCCACAGGACCAGAAGACAATGCCCCAATCTTCGGTGCTGGCGGACAGATTCTAGATGCAGATTCGTTCTACTATGTTTTCCGTTATTTCCTCGTTTGCAGACAGTAAACTCAGACTCTCAGTGTTCTGGGCCTCTCAACTCGGTAAAGGTCGGACGGTCTGTCCTGCCCATACGCATATGCTCCTTATACCGAAAAGGGTTTCGAGTCTCGCATCAACTCTGGTATGCTAAGATCGAATTGATCATTTGAATTGAACCGCCTATTAAAGGGCGTCTCCAGTGATTTTAATCGAGAATATTTCTCCGAAGTTTTACCGTTCCGTTTCAAGAATAAGAACTCGCGTATCTTTTCTAGAAATAGATAGCTACTACGCGTATAGCCTCTATTTAATAGACGTATAGTCTCTATTTATTAGACGTACAGCCCCTCTAATCGAATTAGCGGCCGCGCGGAAGCTAATAGATACTAATCGAAAATAGTAAAGAACTCGTATCTAGTCTCTTCGAGATTTTTATAAAGATACTTAATAATAATAAAGTAAGTCTCTTTATATCTCTCTCTATAGATTTATAATATTAGATAATTTTAATTCGTCGATTAATAAGATTTTTAAATAATTTCTCTATGGCGATAGCTGATTAACTAGCTACTCTCTATACTTACTATTAAAAATACGCTTATTATACTTAAATATCTACTATCTATTAACTAGCTAATCTTTTTATATCTGAAATATATTAAATATAGTCTTATTATTCTATATATAGATCTATATAATATTATCTTACTATTTTTATACGAGTAAAGATTTATAAATTAAATTTATAATTTTTTTTTTAATTAAAACTATTAAGTAAGTAGATAAGCGATCTTTAATAAGCGAACTTTAATAAGCGAACTTTAATAAGCGAACTTTGATAAGCGATATTTGAATTTCTTATACTTTAATAATTATAAGACTAAACTTCGAAATTCTTAAAAATTCGAAAAGTACAAATAGCGCTTTAAAATTTAAAAAAAAATCTCTAAAGTTTTAATAGAAAATAAAAAAGTAATTCTATATATTAATAATATATATCTATTTTTTTAATAAGAGAGATATAAGAGAGCGAGATTTTAATAATTATAAATGCTAATTTATTTATTAACGATAATTTAGTCGATTTAATTAAAGAGCGTAGCGAATTTAAATTAATAATTAATTATATATATAAATTTAAGATTTTTAAGCTTAGCTCTATCTTATTCTTTTATATATATTAATAATATTATCTCGTTATTCTTCTCTTATAATTTATCTAGCTTACTTATCTTATTACTCTTTTTATATAATATTTAATTATTAAAATAGCTATTATAGCGATCGTAAACTCTCTTACTATAACGCTTATAGTATAGAAATAAATATAGAGATAGAGATAGATATAGATATATATAGTAAGATATTCGTTTAATTATCAAAAGATAAATCTAGAGTTATTATTATTAAGTAAGATATATAAATAAACGATAGAGTAGAAGTTAATTCTATTACTATATTCTATTATAAAGATATTTAACTCTAAAATACTAGATACGAGTTCTTTATTATTTTTAATTAGATTTCGTTAGCTTTTATACGTAATTATTAATTTAATTAAAGAAATTATATATCTAGTAAATATAAGACTATATATCTATTAAATTAGAGTTATACGTTTATTAAATAAAAACTATACGCGTAATAGCTATTTAGAAATAATTTTAAGAATAAGAACTTATATCTAATTAGACGAGCGAAGAGATTAAAGTTATAGCGACGAATATATAAGACTTAGAAAAAAAAAATTTTAGATTTTTATTTTATTATTTTACGCTTTTTTATAATAATATTAAGATTTAAAAGTATAAAAATAAATATATTAAATCTAATAGCGTTCTCGATTTTTAATTATCTAATTTTAGTTCTTCTTTATATATTATTTTATTTAAAATCTTTAAATAATCTATAATCGCGATATTAAAATCTATAAATTATATTTATTTTAATATATTTTATAAGTTTAAGTTTATAAATTAATTTTATAAAAAGAAATTAATTTTTAAATCTAATTTCGAGATTAAATTCTAATTTCGAGATTAAATTTACTCTCGAAGAGTAAAAATACTTTAATTTAAGATTTACTTAGAACTATAAGATCGAATTTTATAAATTATAAAATATTATAAAATATAAAATATATTCTATAATTAATAGAAATAAGAGAAGTTATATTAATAATAAGTTTATAAGAATTTAATTAACTTTAAATTAATTTAGATTTAATTAATAAGAAGTTAATTATAATATCTATTATAGTTTATTTATATTAATTATTATTATTATTATAATTTATTAAATTTTTATAATTTTTATAATTTTACGATTATTAGAATTTTAGAATTTTAGAATTCTTTAATTAGTATATATAAAGAATAAGATAGAGTTAAATTAGAAAATCTTAAATTTATATATATAGCTAATTATAAATTCGAGATTATTATATTTTTTAACTAGACTAACTAAGTTAGCTCGCTAGCTCTCTCGAGCTTTCTTATTAAAAATTTATATATAGAAGTTTTATACTCTAAAATAATTAGCTTTTTACGAATATTATTTCTTTATAATTTCGTAAATTATAGAGCTCGCTTTACGCTTTCTAACGCTATAAAAATTATAAAGTTTAATCTACTATTAATAAATTAGATAAATATTTAAATATAATAGTTATAGTAGTTATATTAAACGCGTTCGAGATCGAATAATAATTCTTTCATCTATTTATATAACTATTCTTCTTCTATAATTCTATTAATTTACTAATTATAAATAAATTCGCCCTCGATATCTCTCGTCTAAATATTACTAAGTATCTAAGATATATATCTCTTTTACTTATCTTTTAAATTCTCTATTAATACTTCTAAATTATCTCTCGACGAATTCGCTATTATTAATAATCGAGGCTATAAGCGAGCTTAACTATCTACTACTACTTATAAACGCGTTAAAAGACTTTTTAAAAGAGTTTAAACGAATATATTCTTCTCTATATACTTCTTTTAAGCTAGCGATAATATCTTTTAATCTAGCGATATTATCTTTTAAGACGCGTCTTCCTCTCTTATTTATTCTTTACTACTTTATTTTAAAGTCTCTTAACGCGTATTAGATTTTAAATATTATTAAGAAGAAGCTTCTAAAAATATAACAATTATATTAAACGCGTTTAAGATCTATCTCTATTATATTAAGTAATATTAAGAAGTAAGAGAAGAAACTATAATAGATAAATACGAAGAATATTATAGAGAATATTACGAAGAATATTATAGAGAATACTATAAAGAAATTAAGCGATAATAAGATTATTATTATTAAGAATATAACTTAACTCTTTAAGATTTTATATTATATTAATTATTTACTTAATTAGCTACTTAGCTAATTACTTAATTTAATACTCTATAAAAGAAGAAATAAGAGAAGAAACTATAATAGATAAATGCGAAGAATATTACGAAGAAATTAAGCGATAATAAGATTATTATCGTTAAGAATACGACTTAGCTCTTTAAGATTTCACGTTATATTAGTTATTTACTTAGTTAATTATTTAGTAAGAAGAATATATTATAATTTAATAATTTTAAAAAAAAAAATATAAAAAAAAAAAAAAAAAAAAAAAAAAAAAAATTTAATATTTAGAGAAAAAAAAAAATAAAAAAAAAAAAAAAAAAAAAAAAAAAAAAAAAAAAAAAAAAAAAAAAAAAAAAAAAAAAAAAAAAAAATAAAAAAAAAAAAAAAAAAAAAAAAAAAAAAAAAAAAAAAAAAAAAAAAAAAAAAAAAAAAAAAAAAAAAAAAAAAAAAAAAAAAAAAAATATTATTTTTTTTTTTTTATAACTTAGTAACGATATTTTAATTATTACTATATAAGATAGACTAAATTCTAGAGAACTTAGAATAGAAATATCTCGTAGAATAATACGTTAGTAAGAGAGATTAAACCTCTATTATTAACATCTTTTATCTATACGTCTAATACTATCATATAATTATATTAGAGAAATAATTCTCTCAAATCTAATATAGCTCTAAACTATATTCGATTTAGACTCTTTAAACTCTTATAACCCTTATAGTTATTCCTCTTTTTTTTTAAGCTAAGCCTCTATAAGATATTATATTTAAGAAAGAAGAATTATATAGATATCGAATAATAGTAACATTATTAATTAGACGCTTATTCGAAGTCTTAATATTAAACTTCTATTCTCTTATTATATTAATATCTAAATAGTCTTATTAAAATTATAAAACCTTCGCGTAGAGTAGAAAATAGAGATAAAAGAGTACTATTATTTATAGCACCGTAACGAAGATTAACGCTTTTCTTTACCCTTATTCTTCG